ATAAACATTAAATTCGACTTTCTCACCATCGAACTCTATAGATAATGTGCCTTCATAGGCATCAATTTTTGTCCTTGCAATGCGGAGAAAAGGTCTCCCAAGTAACAAATCAGCTATAGTCGAGGATTTATCATCCTCCATATTAAGTACATAAAAATCTGCTGGAAAAATTAAATCACCAACCTGAACCAAAACATCTTCTAGCAATCCCACGGGATACACAATAGACATGTCTGCCAATTGAATAATAATACGCGTTTCTTTCAAGGGACAACCCTTGAAAGATGAGTTTTTGGTGAACTTCCAAAATGGCCTTTAGTCCGGCCGGACTGTTTGCAGTCCGGGAAAACTGGCTCTTTGAGCCTCAAAATTTGGGTATTCACACAGATAAAGGCATGACATTTATAGAAGCTCCTAAATCACACATAGATCTCTTAATCCCTACATTGCCTATTTTACAAGGAATAGCAAACATACCTCAATCTTTACACTTTGATGGGAGTCTCTTCCTTTGAATCATGGCAGAGCAAACTTCACCCATCTCCACCTTCTCAACACTATCTACCTTCCTTTTATTGGTACAAAGTTCCTTGAGAAACTTTACGTACTTGGGTATTTATAGCATCCAACAATGGAATATTCACCTCCACCTTGCGAAAGGTCTCCAAAATGTCTTTCTCTTCACTTTCCTTCCTTGTTTTAGCCAATCTCTCGGGAAAAGGAGGCTGAACAGTAAAGGTTTGGGGCTGCCGTACTTCAGCCTATTCGAAAGGCCTATTTCGGTGAATTTCTACCTCCTTTTCAGCTTCTTCCTTAGAACTCCTGCTGCCTTTTTTAGGGGCTGCTGTGTTTAGCTCTTTACCACTCCTCAAAGTGATCGCACTTGCATTTTCCCTTGGGTTTACCACCGTTTGGGAAGGAAGCTTTTCCTTGGGTTGTTACCGGCCAGGTATTGAGGATAGGGAAGCGTTGCCCTTTGTTGTTTCCAATCTACTTCAAGGAGAAAGATCGCAAGTTGACTAATTTGGTCTGTTCCATATCTCTGCATTCCCCTTTCTTGTTTCTCTGCTGGAATTGCTTGTTGAGAGAGAAGGAAGTTGACTGCACAATAATTCTTGCCTCATATGGTATTTTTTGGGGGAGGCAGCTTGTTGAGGAGGTGGTCCTAGCTGGTTGGATATCGCTTGGAAATTTTTCAGTGTAGTGGCTTCCACATAGCTTAAGAATTCAGGAATGGATCGTCTTCCCAAGTACTATTCGACAGGTGTTACCCATCGCGGATTCATTTGGGGCTCGCCCCGACAATACCTCCCCATTAGCGTTAACTTGCTCTTTGATCACACATGATCCATGGAAGATTGGATCCATGTGTACCAGTTGGGTGATCCATGCAACATGACCCCTCGCACACAACTGTCTCTTCAAGCAGGTTGGCCCTGCAGAATAGAGATTGTATTAACAATATGTGAGGGATTGGTTAAGTTATTCGATTCAGTTGAAGCTGGAATGGAAGAATTACAATACCTGAATATAGTGCGCGTTTGCCTGGAGGATTTCTTTCAGCTTGCGGCCCAAATTGTTGTGGAACTTGGCGGCATCAGTACGATGAAATAATTTTCTCTTGCTGGCGAGTGGTGAGTCTTGTTAAACAAGTGCTCCCCCACTAGCTGCAATCAACCATCTTTTCTTATTCCATCGTCCAATCAGCATCCTTTGCATACACAAAAGTAACTGTAGTTAGGGGCTGTTTCAGACACATACCGCATGTTGCCGCGGCAGGCCTGCACATAAACTTCTTTGAAGTCTACCTCCAATAGTCTAAAGACCTCTTCACAGCCTTTTCTGTCTAGACCCGACAAAATTTCTCTTCGAGTAAAGTGATGGCTAGCCCTAAGAAGGCGGGAAATAACTTGTACCAAGAAATGCTCGCCAGCCCAATTACTTCAGGCCAATGTGGTGGATGGAAACCGTGGAACGGTAGAGTTAAGCAACCACGTCACTGTAGCAGCATCTATAGAGAGAATGGGAATGCATCTCAAAGCTGGTATTGCGCTCTTCATTGTATTCTCCTGCGGTCTCAATGCGTACGATACAAGACTCCATGGAGATGTCCTCAAGTGATGAGTGCCGGGTTTGTCAGTCTTCTTATTTCATCGTGTACAAGTAGTTCTCTCCGGAAGTTGCAATGATACTCAGACCCCGATTTTATAGCGACTCAAAAGTCACTAGTCTTCCAAGCTCCGGGTAAGGTAATACCGATCATAGGCTGCTGCTGCTCCTACAGGGGCAGCCTGTGAAGCGTCTGCGGAACAGTTCACATAACTTCTCTTGTCATTTCTGGCAAGAATCTCTTCCTGCTCCTAGTAGACTTTCTTTCTTTGGTTTCAGCCTGTAAAATCTAACGGTGACACCAGCTGCTAGGAACATGGCTTTACCGGTGTCAGGTTCCGGAACATCGATTAGCGGTCCCTATCTTCTCTGAGCGGACGTGCACCTGTTCTTAGCCATTAGTCTCCTGTAGACACCCTGTTCTCTATCTCAAGGAGATCAATATTTGTAAGACTGAGCACATTCAGAGAAGGACAACAAGCTCGCAGATAGAAATGCTTACTAGTCCCAGGGCAACGGCAGCCAAAATTTGACAGGGCGTCGAATCGCAGCCAAAAAAATAATTAACTATTGCTCCCACTACAAAAAATAAAACTGTAAAATATGGTGGAAGGATCGAGACCCTAGCGGATTAGCTTTGTATCCGACGACAATAGGTCGAACCCTAGGGATTAGCTTTGTCGAAAATAAACCAGAACTGAAAATAAAATTAAAAATAGATATTGAAACGGGGGAATTTAATAATCGAACCAAACGAATTAAAATTAAATCAAAGAAATAAATGCAATAAAATTAAAAATTGAACCTGAACAATTGATAGTAAATTCAGCCAAGGCATACCGCGGTTTGAAGATTTGATTCGAGTGATCATTGATTCAAGATTAATTCCTTAATTCATATTACAGACAAGTTATAGCCAGAAAGAACGTCAACCCAACCAATTCTACCGTAGGAATAGGTTGCTAAGATACTGCTAAGGGTAATTCGGATTCTAATTAAGTAACAAGACCGCACCTGTATGGCAACGTAGCAATCCCTAAGGTCACGGACGAAAGGATTTTACTTGTTAACCGCTTTATAAATTCAATAGAAACCCGCTGTCACAGGAATTTACAGAAAACTAGCGAGCATTCCATTTAAATCTGATGTATATCCTTTCTTATACAACCTACGAAAAGTTTCTAAACGCACATAAGTTATATTAATTACTACTGCATCAACCTAAACCAAAACAATTACGGATTTAGATTTACGCGAATAGCTATGGAAATTTCTACGCAAACAAACATAACGGGCCTGTTAAACTTCAATTCAATAGAATTTCGCTAGGGCCTGGAATTATTATTTCCACAATAAATCACAGAAAGAGGATATAGTGCAATAGGAATAAAGAAAAATTTAATTAAGTTATTTCAATAGTGAGATCTCACAATCGAGATCAAACTGTCTACCTTGGTTCTATACGCACCTTAACTGGAAACAGAGGAACGTGCTTAGCCACACCATTGACTATGGAGATTATTGTTATAATAGCGATGCCGCGACAACGAATTGAAAGTTCGGTAGAAATCTCTCAAAAAAATTCTGGTCAAAGCTTCGTCACACCAAAGGGAGGCGAGGAGATAATAGCGCACAAAAAGACCCTAATTTTCGACTTAAATAGCCCCTAGAAGGTGGGTTCCATAATACAATAAAAAATACCACACACTTAAACCTGTGTGCTCAAATATCACTCCTGTGGCTGTGTAAAAACGTGCTGGGAACTGATTGAGGTTTGAAGAAAGTCGTGACCATTCAGACGAAATGGTACTGGGCAGCCAAATTAATGATTTCACAATCAGTCCGCTGGTACTGATTTTCCTGCTTGTCCCATTGGCCCAAAGGCTAAAGAGGCCTAACAACTTGCATTTGTGTTCCAAAATCTCCCAAGCAGGACTCTTCTTGCTCCAAAACATTTAATTAAGTGCTCCTTTGTTTGCCTTCAATTCATATACACAATCCAACTTCTTTCCTAGCATAAAAACGAATTAAATCAAGTTAAACCACATCTTATTAAGCACAAAATGACACCAAAATCCAACACAATTGAACAATAAAAGAAAAATTGGATTTTTGCAGTTTAATTCGAACACTATTCTTTGCGCAAACAGGCCTCAACCAACATTTTAATGGGATAAAAACTGAAGGTCCAACCAACGCGAACTCCATTGGTCATTAACCGCAATTGGTGAATTTCTATGAGGATAAAGGTGAAACTCTCCAAATTAGATTACAATAGGTGTCCAGCACAACCTTAGCTTAACGCAAAAAAAAAAAATGTACTGTTAATTAATTAAATTAATGTCCATAATTCCAGTTGGTACCGCCATGTCTTCTCAAGCGACAGAGAACAAAGTCCAACGCTGTTAAATGTTAAAGTAATAAGAATACAGATCTGGGTTCGTGATTAGAAGTGAGGAAAAGCGCTATTTAGCCCTTTCCACTAAGTGGACGAAGTTTATGCGTCTTTTACCGAGAGTAGAAAAAAAAAAAAAAAAATACTGTAATTAATTAATTAATTCCAATAATTCCAGTTGTCCACTGTCTTCTCAACGACAAACAAAGTCCAACTGTTAAATGTTATAATAGGACAATCTGGGTTCAGTGATAGAATGAGGAAAACGCTTTTAGCCCTTTCCACTAGTGGACAAGTTTTGCGTCTTTTACCGATAAAAACGTCAAAGCCTAGGAGTCGCTTGTGAGTGGAAAATCCGGGTAAGTAAATATTAAACTAGTTCAAATTGACTTATTGCCCTACTATTTGGCATTTGTGGGTCCATCATATGACCAATAGAACTACAGTACACGTGATGAAACAGGTTTCTTATGAAGAAGTTCAGAAAATGACAAACCTGCGAAGGGCAGCAGAAGCAGCAAATTATCAGTGGCTAGTAGATTCTCCTTACTCTGAGGAATGGATCTGCAACGAATAACATACTATTAAGCGTATTGTTCCCCATTTTTGATGTAGTAAAGCGACAAATGCTTTTAAAGCTTTCCCAGTTAATGACTCAGGACCGGCCAGAATGGATACAAAATCTCAAATCACGAGGCTTTGGAGCCAAAATCCATTGCAAGTACAAGACAAGCACTCAAAAAATAGCAGGTCAGGTTGACATCACTAGAACAGAAATATTAATAAAATTGATTTGGAAGATTTGGTAGATCTTGACCAAACATAATGAAGATAATAAATGAGAATTTTTTTTCTTATTATTCTAGTACTTGTTACATTCTATTATTATAATCTCTCAGACATCCTGTGGTTGTGATTACGCAACCTATGTGGAGTAAAGCAGGACCATAAAGATCATTCAGATAGGCAAGTGTGAAAATGATAACATAATAATCAAATTATGAAGTTTTTTTGACCATCCAAAGAGGACTTGCAGATACAAAGCAAACATCTAAAGTCGCAGGTCAGATTAAGCTTTAGGTCTGTCACAATAATGATGTCTACAATCCTCAACTGAGGGAACACATCAATCCTATTCACTGCAACACAATGCCTGGTACCCAGTAAATGTTTGAATTACAGTTACATAGGGATGAAAAACAAATGCAGGACAATGGGATTTCCTCGATAAAATATCCCTCGTACAGATTAAAAAAGTCTTACTATTACGAGGTTAATCAAAGTTCAAACATCATATTTAGCATCTACCTTGGATTTAATGATCTTTTGGCTGTCATTGAAGTACTGATTGGGATGGTTAATCCCAGCATCACATGATAAGCCATGAACAGCTTCAAATGACAACGTGCACGCCAACTGCATGTTTACCAGGTCAATCATGTAAATCCGTGTATTAAAATGGATAAAGCACTTGGGGGTATAATCAGACGTTAACTACCAATCTCGTTACCTGATAATGTCTATTTCGCACTTTGTCAACTACATCCTCTACAGCGCCACTGTTTACTCCCATTCTAAAGAGTGCAGCCCTCAAATTCTCTTCACTGCATGCCGAACAAAATTTGAATATACATATGGCAATCAAATAAAAAAGATCACGCGAGTCCCACACACACACACACGCACACATGTGACATCACAACGAATAATGTGTAATTTTTTTTATCAATTGATAAGTATCAAGATTTAGAATAACTAATTGATTCCATGGGTCTTATCATCAATTTCACCATTTATGGAACTAAGACACTCTAGCACTTGGTAAGTATCTCTCACTGGAATTCTGAAATGAATCACCCCAAAATATTAGTGTTTCTGGTTGGTTATCCATACTCCATAATTTGGATGTTCCCTAATCCATAAAAACAATGAGAATTGCAATATACTGATGATAAACAAAGCTGAGGATTTTTTATTATACAAGACGCCTAGTCACAGACCCTCGTCAAGATGAGTTATCATTCTGATGTGTCTAAGTTCATGTCCTCAAAAACATCAAGTTTATAGAGAATTAACCTAAAATGTCGATAAGGGCAGCCATGATGATCTCCAACACCAGGAATTGAAGATATTATCTTTTGACAAGAATAAGGCGTATAATCCTGCAATAATGAAAACACAAACAAAAATTTGAATCCAGATGGCACAATTACCCAAATTTAAATAGCCCACCCCCCCCCGTTATTCATATCTTGATATGTTGTCTCAAGTTCATGTCCTCAAACACTCATCAAGTTTAAGAGAATTAACCATTGTCGATAAGGGCGAGCCATTGATGAATTCTGTTCAATCTATCTCCTAAAAAGTAGAGATATAGTTGGTTATTAACTCAGTCTATAGGAACAAGAAATAGATAGGAAGAACGTATAACTCCCTGCAATTATTTATGTTATTATATACAAGAATTTGAAGCCAGAGGCACAAATTACTCGAGCAAATTTAAATAGCCCACCCCCACCCCCCAAAAAAAAAGGAAAAAAAAATTTCTGATAAGACCATCGGCTAACATAGAATCTATTATGCAAATACGTGGCATTATAGTTCAACATGTGAATAGAGAAAACTATGCTGACCAAAAAAAAAAAAAAGGAAAAAAAAATTTCTGATAAGAACCATGGCCTAATAGAATCTATTATGAAAGTGGCATTATATTCAACATGTGAATAAGAAACTATGCTGATAGTTTCAATATCTTACTGTTCTCTTTCCCTCTTTTCCATAATTGTGGCGTATGCTGTAGGCGTATTCTTTGTCAAACTTTTCTGCGCCAACCTACAGTAGATTAAAGATGATGCAATTAGTGGTTAGTATGTTGTTTCCAGTCCCCAGCACACCATACTACATTCCCAATACAGCATTCCAAAATAACATTGCATGCACATCCAAACTGCCAGGAGACTGGAGAATGGGAGAGAGTGATTTATGCCTCTAATGCATCATTATCCTTGAAACAGTTTTACTAGAATAACAAAAACAAAAAGAGATTATAATTAAAGAAAAATCAATACCAGCATTATTGCAGACAATGTGTATAGGTTACACTTACTTTTTGGGAGAACTCTGCTTTCCAGAATGCAAGAGCATCATCCAAATTCAAGCCAATGCCCTAAAGTATAGATAAAGGAAATTCTTAAAAATTGCAAACACTACTTAATTAGGAAAACATATCAATGACTTCCATATTGAAACTCCTTATCTGATTCATGGATCATTCCCTACTTAATTGCACTTGCAAATCTTACTGCTTGAAATTCACAGATGAGATGTGAATTCAGAGTAGAAAACAACAGAATGAACTCAAGTATGATGAGTACGGAGAGCACGTTTACTTTAAATAGTTAAAAACGTGTGATCGATATAGAACACTCAAAATGATCAGAGGGAAGGAAGGGAGCAACTAGGACAAGTAATGCTTCTGAAGCGTCATGCCTGCCTATATTTATCAAGGCAGAGTAGCAAATCATAGACAAGAGGAGAAAAATACAACCTTGAGGAAAAGACCTAATTGCATCCTCCCTCCATGCTTTAGATGATGATCCTCTCTGAGCTGCAAAATATAGCACAGAATACTAAATGAATAGATAAAAAAAAATCATGAACATCTTGGAAGAAGTAAAATTTTAATGAACTTGTTTGAAATATCAGAACTCCTTACTTTTTCAAACAGTTGTCGCATGCATAGAGGGAATGAACTATTAGCTACTGCATCAATATCTTTAATTGATATGTCACCAAATTCTTTAGGCTGTAAAGGTAGTCAACCAAATTTTTCTTAAGTTACTTGAAATTATGACTTGAGAGTACATAACTGAGCACAGCCATAAGTACCTGAGAATAGTCAGGACCCAGATAGCTTGTGCATAGAGCTTCCACAATCTAAAAGATACCGAAACATTGTGACAAACATCACATTTAAAAAAAAACATGACCAATATAATTCAACATGATCATGATTGAACACTTACAGGAGTTAAGCGATCTTTCTCATTTTCTCTGATCATTGATGTCCATTTCCTGCAAATAAAACACCCGCATTGTAAAAGTTGAGGTATGTGAAAGAATCCAAACATTATGCCTTGCACAATACCACAAAGATTGTCACATCAACCAGCATAACCTCAGACATAATATGCTTCTGCATTTGTCGAATTCTTCACTACATTCATTGAATAGTAAAGATAGGAGCAGATATTGCATTCAAACATAAACTATAAGATAGTATTTGAAACATCAAACCAACAATAGTGACCTGTTTGTTAGAATGAGTGTCTTTGATAGTAAACTGCGAAATTGTGTCACAACAAGGGAGACAACCTAAAAAATGAAAGTTAACAACATCAATCAGAAATTATAACTGAAAGTTTAAAGGTCTACATGCAAAAGTTCAGACACAGAGAATTACCTGATTCATAGCAACATAAGCATAACCTTTGCAAATAAAAACTCTACGACCCGCTACAAGTTCTGGAACTTCCTCGAATGGTACCTGCAGCAAAGCAGGTGAAATGAATATTACTATCAACTTCAAGTTAGAGAAACATACCAATACTGCTAGGATTCAAACATGGGGAGGATCTTTCTAGTCAAACATGTCAAATCCTTAAATTTGAAACCCTACTTTGAGACCTTCAATTACTTTCTGAAATCATGCCAGCCAAAATAGATTGTAAGGATTGACACTAATATATTTTCTGTCCATTCATATAGCAACACAGTGTCACTGTTCACATGACTGATAATTTGGCCCAAGGAACTACATTAACCAATATGTTGGTAGTAAAAATGCTATGACTAAAATCATAAATATATGCAAAGTTTTTTCATGTTCCTATCAACTACCATGAGTTCGCTTAATCATAGATAACTAAAGCTGCAAATCTCATACAGATAGGATGAAGCAATCAAGCAACATGGACAAAAACAATCAAGCAACATGGACTAACCTTGTAGTATATTGCATCAGCTGCAAAAAGAAAAAGGGAAAAAAAAAGAATTAGAGTTCAAATAAAAAAAAAAGAAAAATAAATTCTCGGTACCAAGTTTTGGTGTGCTACCAATGACTATTTGACTAAGGGAACAGAACCTAATTTTCCTCTTAAACTATGCTCCAACATTATAATTTTGGCTCATAAGATAGCGCCCAAATATGTCTTTCAGTTTCATATAGAGTAGCTTCAACTCTTAAACCCAGACTTTATGCCTGTTCTATGATCAATAAAAGGCAGGTTAACTACTTGGATACAAGGTTTCGAATATAGAGAAAGTAGAGTTTGTTCCAAGAAAAACCAAAAGAATTAGTGGACTAACATAAGATCATTCAGCTGTTGTGCAAACAAAACCACAAACAATATCAAGGTGCTTGCTCAACCTTATTTGCCAGTAAGCCAAGTAACAATGCAATTTTGACAGAATCAATAGTAGGCTCCTCCTTAATTGCATATCAACATCACAAATCGGTTTCTTACACAGAGGTTTCAGAATGCTCAAAAATTCTCTCAGCATGGATCTTGTTAAGAAGATAAACTACCAAAAAAACTGCTGTGATACAAAAACTATGCAGCATTTTGGTAGGGCAACAAAATCTCATCAATGACAAAGCCTCAAGAATAGGTGACATTTGTTATACTAGATAAATACAGCACATAAAGTATAATTCCAATGAGCAATAAACAGAATTACAAATGAGAATGAATAAGATATAAACAGTTTTACAGTGAGTATTCACAAGATTTAAAATGAAAGGCCAATGAAGCCAACTAGTGATATGATCTTACAAGAAGGTATAGGCTGACCAATTGAACGAGCAACTTGAACCAACTTTTCCTTTACACCCTGAGATAAAATAGTAACAGTAGAAAAATCTAACATTAAACTTAAAAATTTTAAAAAGTAGGTAGCGCATGTACATTTAAAAGGAATAAGAAATGTGTATTGCAAAACGCAAGCAGATTGATTGAGCAAGTGGATGCAACATGACAAACCTCGATTTCTGCACCAGGAACTGCCTTGTATGGAAGTCCAAATTCTGCAAATAGAGCTCTCTAAAACTTGCAATCAATAAGAAGCCAACTCAAATAGAGAACAAAAAACAATAATAAAATAAATCTATCTATCTCACCTGAGCTTCAGCAGTCAAAAGGCGAAATCGATTGCGAAAGAGCGCAGTCTCCATGGAAAGAAACCATTTCCTGAGGTCCTCCCTAATGAGCAAGTAACAAAACAAAAATTCTGCTAATAAGTAGAAGAATTCAAAAATGTCACAACTGTAGTTTAAATAACCAAATGATAATTTACAAATTCCAAAAAGAAAAAAAAAAAAAAAGAACAAAATAATAATTCACCAAAAGCCTACGTTCTACAATACGCAAGACGCAAAACAAAGTGAGATATAACGTCCTTGTTGAGTACTTCAGATGCCTGTGAATGCTTCATATTTACTTTCCATAGATCTTTTACCTGTTCAAGAAAAAATCAACAAACAAATAAGGTTTGGCCTAAAAAGAGGAATTTCATTTTAATAGTAACAATTGAAAGTAAGTACCAATTTTTCCATTTCTTCTGGCTTTTTGCCGCGAGATAATCCATCAGATATACCTTTAAGAACTGCAATTTCAAGTAATAAATTAAATCATATATATCTAGTGTAGGAGTATGTAATAAAAATTCGACCCTAGAAACGGATTTTGCATACAAAAATGATACTAGCAAGAAAGATCGAAGCAGAAATGATAAGGAAAAGTGACCTCGAAGGCGATCCATGGCGTAAAGCTCGAAATCTTCGAGTCTAACTTCAAGAGACGGAGCAGAGCGGTAAAGAGGGAGTGTTGAAACGACGTCATTTGTTGGAGGCTTCCACTGAGGTCTTACTATCTCCATTTTTGTCCAAAGATTTTTCGTTTCCCTCTCTTAAGCCTCTCACAGTACACACAATACTGAATAAATTCTGCGAGAGAAGAAAGAAGGTAGATTTGATTCTTCCTTCTTTTTTCTCTTCTCTGCCTGGTCAGTGCGAGTTTTATTCGCGCGCCAATAGGGGAAGTGAAATTGGCGGGAAACGCATCAGCGAAGCTCCTGCTCGGTTTTGGGCCTCTATTTGGACTGTGAAGTGGACTACTGTGGGCAGAAGCGGGTAAGCAACAGAGTTAAGTTTTTTCTTTTGTTTTTTTTTTTTTCCCTTGTTTTTATTTTATTAAACTAAAATCATTTGAGATGACACGTAATTTTTTGCCTCCGACGGAAATATTTCTCTGCCTAACGGGGGAAACTCTTGGTCCGGCAGAAAAAAATCCTTCGTCATTTAACTTTCACGATGGATAATTGGGATCGCGTTAGCTAAAAGACTTGCATAAAGAGCAGACAGGATAACCGCCGGCGAAACAATGGTATACGACAACGACAGAGCTCATTTTGATTAGATCAATGGAATTAGATAAACAAATTATGAGCGATATTGTCAGACTGCTTGTTCCTTTCGTTATACATGTCTCTTGATCGATGAAATGCCTCAAAGAAAAAGTTTGATTAATGTAAACAGTTCGAATGATATGGACGCCATATACTACGAAATATTGTGGAAAAAAACATAGGAACAATATCAGAGCAAAATCATGAGAAACAATGATTTTTTGTTTATGTTGTCGGAGAGTCCCAGTAGACAAACTAATCGGCATAACAGAGTAAAGATCCATCTGGGTTTCACCCCTTCCATCTTCTAAGTTCCCATATCCACTGAATCTATACATAGAAAGAATTTAAAGCCAGCATAAACATCTCTACAAAATTTAGTACCAGTCTGGTATGTCCATATAGCTGGGGACAGACCAAGGCCAGTCACAACAAGCCTTGGAAGACCTCCCACTATACAACTAATTACCGCATAAAAGTATTGTTCTTCAAAGCAAAATTTCATCAAGATCATTGTCTGCTACTTGTTTGCCGAGACACAGCATTTGTCGCACTGTAAGTTCTTGGAAGAAATGATCTGAACCAACCTGAAGAGCCATTGTTTGTTTCACTTAGAGTACGGATCCCCTCAGAAAGCCCAGAAGCGCTTGAAACTGAAACTACTCTTGAAATCCCATTACTCATCTGAAACAAATTTTAGTCATTGAGATGTCAAGATGATATATGTATGCATAATAAGGATGTAAAGTGCAATTAAAATCGAGTTCAACCTGCTGGGGTGTAGATAATGCAGCATTTTGGAATGACTGCTGAACCTGAGATATGTCAAAGCAAGAAGGGAAAAGAGTTTATTATAATTCTGAAACAGCAAGTAAGAATTTCTTATAAAGTAGCAATCTTCCAATCTACAAAAGGGGTTCTCAAAAGTCACGGCAGACTATTCTTTAACTTTAATATATCCTATTAGGGGAGGAGCAAACAAAAGAATCGGTATCAATCTTCTCCAAGTGAATCCCATGGAAAATAAGTCTTGCATATAAGCCAACGTAAATGAACAGGGCTAAATTTTTGAGAAGTCAACAAACCTCAATTGCTCCACTGGAAATAGATGGAGAAGTTGGTTCACTGGATGGAGCAGGCAAAGCCTCCTGGAAAAGCACAAACAAACACCAGTGAGAATACTAGTCATTAGCAAACACCAACAAGAACACAGCAGGCAAGTCGATGACATTTTAAGCTTGTAGTCAATGAATCGGCAGAACAGAATAGATCAACCAGGTTAGGCATGGCAAGTGGCAAGTGGAAAGTTTGAAAATGGCAAATGGATTCAGTTCCACATACAATTTTCCAGTTTTGAACAGATCTCATGACCATGGTACATAAAAATAGAAAAGGCATTCCCTAGTTCTGAAAATATAAATATCACATGCCTCCAACTAGCTGAACTTCTATCATACATGTAGAACAGTATACAAGTCATAATGTGGAAGGAAAATACTACCTTTGGTGAGAATGCAATTCGAGAACTGGATGATGAAGCCTACAGAATTTGGGGAAACATAATTAATAGCATGAACTCATGGGATAAAAGCAAACAAAAACTATGCATACAGATCTACAACCAAGATTAGAAAAGAAATCAACACACGTTTGAATTTCCTTGGTGCCATACAAACCAATAAAAGGGATTGATTCACCAAAAATTCAGTCTCACAACAAACACAAAATATGAAACTAATGATCTGAAAAATCAAATCTGTCTCACTGTAGATATAGAGAGTATGTATCATTCAAGAAAAAAAAAATCCTGGATACATGCCTGAGTGTTCTCTTCGAGTGACAAATTTTGCAAATTGATTGCAACATCAACCAACCTCTTTACTCCACTTAGTGTCGTCATCTAAACAGAGAATCCAAATCAATGAGCAACTTATTCCTAACAAGACTGTACATGATGCTATTGATAACAATAATGACAATTACCTGCTTGTCTTCAATTGTTTTGATTTTTTCTCCCTGCAACATTAAGGAAAAAAAGAAGAAACAAATTCAAGTCCTCAATTCGAATCTGAAAAGTAGTTCAATTGGATGGAGAAAACTCATCTTAAAGATTTTTTTACCAGTGTTTCAACAGCATCACGAACATTCTTAACCTTATCATCTATCATTTCTGAATTTCCCAACAGTCCCACAACCTAAATAGGTTGAAATATTCTGTGTGAGTCAGAGCACTTTATCATATAAATTAAAATATCTTTTGCAGACAATATCAAGTTTGGACACACCTTCTCATGTGTATCAGCAGTGAGAGCAGCAACTTCATTTAAATTAGTATCTACACGATCAATATTTGAAGATAATTGCCTCCTGGTACTCTATTAGAAAAGAGTTAAGATAAGAAGAAAGCTCTATACTTTAAACTTCAGAAGCAACCAAGTTAAACGAACATTTCATCGGTAGATATTTATAAAATTAGTAATCTCAGATAAATGATTGTAAGCAAAATTAAACATATTAGTGAAAAAAGAAGAAGAAGAAAAACAATCATAATACAGAGGAATCCACAAAGACAAGTCAGAGGGAAATCAGGAAAAAAGATAAAATGATGTTGGTGTGCTGATGTGGCAAGACATGATACAAGAGGGAGTTCTTCCTTTAATATAAAGAGGAAAAAAAAATTTAACTTATAATCTCATACCCTGATTGATGCATAAACATTTTCAAGTTGTTGGGCTACAGAAGCACAAGCATCAGATAAACTTCGTCTTGTTGCAAACATCATGTCTGGAAGTTTCCAGCCCTGAAAGTATAAAACAATTCTCAGCATCAGCCAACATTGAAGAACATTATGCATTAGAAACACCACAAAGGAATTCAGTCATGAATCATCTACATTTTATACACAGTACATAACATATTTAAATAAAATTAGAGTTCCATTGAACAAGCATCAAATTCAATTGAATTTGCTTATACAGCACTCAAGACCCTCAGTATGTACTTCAACGATGCAATTTACGCTGAAGTGCCAATGTCAGGTGAGGATGTTTTGAGATGTATAAGTTCAAATTGAATGTCTAGAAATATGTAAGTGTTGGATGACAGATGAGTTCCCAAACACATACCCATATTCAAATTTAAAATATCTAGGGTTTAATGAGCAACAAAAACTAAAATCTTTTGACATTATAATTGTGCCACAAAAAAAATGCACTCTACATGATGCTGCACAAAAAGAAAGAAAATCAATCAAACTGTAAGAAATCAGCTTCCCATAAGCTTTAGCAGAAAGAGCAGATCAAAAAAGCAACTGGATGTTGTTATTTTATTTGCCGGCGTATGCTATGCCCTATAGCCATACCTAGCTAAATTTATAGACAGACACAATCAAATAGGTTTAAACTAGATGCCCTAGCAAGGACAAAATGTAGGAAACAAGAACCATGTAGCCCAAGATTAGAGTTGAATAGAGTTCTGCTGTAAATGCAGTTGGGAATGGAGGCCTTGGATTGTATGAATTATTCATGTATGCACGTCTCGTCAATTATTCCAAAAACCTATTAGAAACAGGAATATACCTTCCACCAAACATAGCCATATCCAGCTACAACCACAACAACAATTATGCCATATTTATTGCCACCTGCACATTATAAAAACATCTAAGAACGCTCAGCAAAGTCAAAAGTCCAACATATTATAAGAACTTCGATAAGGACAAATAATTGGAGATGTGTTGCTGCTTTCAGAGAATGGATCCAATAACAGGAGTAAGAAAGGGACAGGTAGGGAGCTTCCTTCATTGCGAAAAGCAACCTTCATTAATGTAAATCACTAGCCTTGTCTAAACATGGTTTTGTAATTTCTCAAAGTATTACTATAAATAACACTCTCCCTTCATACATAGGAGAAGGAGCAAAAATCCAAACCTGTCCCACTTCCAGTAACAATTGTAAGTGGTCTGCTTGATGCTAACATCTGCAGCTCTTGGCGAAGACTGTTAACCTATAAAAGTCAAAAAAAGGATATATGTTCAAAATTTCTAGCAGAAATTTCTAAAACTGAGCACACAGTGACCTTATTGTAAAAAATGATACACATATTTGAGAAAAAATGAGAACTGAAGCAAATTAGACTCTGTCTATCAAACTTAATCAAATTCTGCTCTATTTCGATCAAAAATTAAGATAAAGTAGAAATTGGCTCCCTCCATGCGCGGGTTCAAACCAATTGCCTTACAACCCCTCCCCACTCTCCAACCCAAAATATCTCCCCTTTCTTGTGTGTGCCAAGCCCATTTCTGGAACTGCATCTCTCTATGCATCCTCTTAGAGTTGCAAAATTATTATGTAAGTTCCTTACCTACCACGCCTAACTCTAATCGTATAGAAAATGAAAATCTATGATAAAAAAGTATGCATGCAAACCTGAGCCATCAACAAGTCATTATGTGGCTTGCTAACTGATGAAGTAGAATCATCTCGCCTAATTTGCTTATAAGCAATCTGCAGTAGAAGACAAATCATTAGTAATTGGCCTTGAATAGAGTAAAGCTCTGTCTATTATGCACCAAATAACCAATTATTGGAAAACATTGTTTGAGAAAATGAGCACTTTTGCATTGTTCAGTTCTATTAAATAATCAGCAAATAACTTTATATTGTTTCAAGTATACAGGAAAAAATCAATGTTCTTTCAATGAAAAAGCCATGAGTGTGTTTGGACCCATAAAATTTCCATTTTAACTAATAGTCCAATGAAAGAGAAAATCACAAAGCAATGGTGAATGATGACAGCCAATGGCAGTATGGTCTAAGGACCAGTCTAAAAGTTTCTTTTTTTTTTAATAAAAAAAGTATAATTAGATTTCATACATTCCGAAGTTCTCATAATAATTAATCCTACAAGTACCTTGAATGCACCCGAAACCAGGTCAGAAACATTAGAAAAGCGCCCTTCTTTTGCTAGGACTGAGCCGATAAGACCTAAAAGGCATAAGATAACTAATTCAGCAACACTAGCAAAGAAAATAAATTTGATACAGAAATGAAGAATCATTATAAGCATTTGAAGTTACAAAATAGTACAAACTTTAGTTTTGTCATGGTTAGCATTGCAATTAGGCATTTAGTTCCACAATTCGATACAAACAATAACACTGATGACTGAGTGCCATGAGAATGGAATGGGAAAAGAGAATTACAGAGACAAAAAACCCAAAATGGCCCTTTGCTCAGAAAGCTAAGTACCCTATCAATTTCTTTTCTTTTATCTATCCCAATGTGCAATAATATTATGCAACTTCCCAACTTTTGTACTCCATGTTTTTCATTGGCAATAACCACATATTGAATAGTTCAAAAAAAATAAATAAATAAATTCAGAGGCATTGCCAGCTAATACAACCATTAATTAACCTTGAATACTAAAAAGGTCACACCAATAGATCGAATTAAGCGTAGGGTTTTCAGAAGACTTAACCACTCTTACACTCTACGGCAAACACCAAAATAATAAATCAAATCAATTTGGAACCAATTTATGATCATACCAACCCGAAATTAAAACAAAAAATCGAAAGAGGGAAAACTGGAGATGGGACAAATTGCACGGACCTGCACCAACAATGATGGTTATCTTGCCGAGAGGGAGAGCCATGGACGGTGATCCTCAACCAATAGATACACACTATATAGATTATAATCTATAATCTTTAAAAATAATCCAGTTCGCTGATAAATGCCATCAACTTAGTCTCTAATTGTATAATTGGCGAACAAGAAAGGTTTTTATTTCTCTGCACCTCTCTGTGTCTGTGAGGGTTTTGTATCGGGTTTTTGTCTCCTTCCAGTGAAGGAACTGGAAATCCAGTACAGAGCGAGGTCCTACTTGTTACGAACGCAATAAACCTATTTGCTGGTTAGGTTGGCTATTGGACCTCATATTTCGCTTTTATTCACGATTTTACCGTGGTTTAATTCTCGGAAATACCCTTTGACTATTATTTCCAACCAATATTCAGAAATTACAGTTAGAGTGTGATTAGAAAACATTAAATATTTTTTCTAGCTAGTTGATTGAGACTTAATTTTAAAAAAATAATAATTCAATTAATTTAATAAATTAATCTTGAACTCAAATTTAAATTTATAAACAAATTACAAATTCTTTTTTATTATAAACTATAAGCAAATCGAATCAGAATTGAATTTTATAATTTCAAATCTCTCGAATTGAAATATATTTTAACTCAATTATAAATTTACATATAAATACCAAACTTCAATTCCATAACTTTTTTTTTTTATTAATTACATCACTACATGGGGATTTTTTTTTATATGTCATAAAATTGAATATAATGTGTATAATGACTAAGATTTCAATTGGAGATAATTTTTATAGTTATTGTTAAAAAAAGACCGTTAAAATGATGTACATTAAACTTATTAATTGATGTCTTTCAATAACAATTATAGTAATGAGCTTATTTAGAATTCATCAAATTAAAATTTCCATTTCTCATAATGAAATAAGATGTATTTATTTAAGATGTATTTTAAACTCAGTCCGATTTTATGGATCAATCCAGAAAATCGATGAATCAGAAATTTAATAATTACTCGAATTCTTTAACCGGATAAATGTCATGAATCAAATTTAATAACGCTTAATAAAAATATATTATTATTAGAGTGTTACCATTATTTAAAAAAATATTATCTGAATACCAGTCTAGGTGGAGGGAAGAGTGCAAATAAAAAAATAAATGGAGTAGAATATGCCTTGCGGGCACAATAGTGACACGTTTTGTAGCGATGGATCAATTGCGTTATGCGGTCACAAAATTAGCAGCATTCGTCGGATATTCCATCATGCAACATTTCTCTTCTTTCTTTCAAGTCCTTTTCAATTTAAAAAAAGTTGTATTTACTTATTTATTATCTAGCATTCAACATTGAGAATTAGATACTCTCAAAAGAAAAAAAAAATGTAAACCTATTAATTAATTTAGACATTTGTGCATTTTTTATCCAAATAAATAAATTTAAATACACTAAACGAAGATTTAATTATGATATCATTTGAATTTAGCTACATCAATTAAAAAAATATATATTTTTTGAATCGTGAGATATATGATTAACAGTTAAATGGAAGTAAAAGTCAATTGAAAAAGATTAAATTTTGCATTCAAAATGAATAAATAAATAAATAAAAAATATATATATATATACACCGAACACAAAATTTTAGATTTTTAAGTGTATTTTACAAAATTTTATGGAATTTAAAAGTTTTTATAGTTTTCTTTCCTTTTAAAAAATTAAAATTCTTAACAATTATCATGTTTTGATTCTTGATTTTTTTTTTTTTTTTTTTTTTTTTTTTTTTTTTTTTTTTTTTGAGAAGGAATTCTTGATCGTTTTAAGAATTTATGATTTATATAAAAAAAAAAAAAAAGTATTCAGAATGTTTTTGGAACTAAGCTAATACGAAATGGGCTAGAATCGAAAATAACCCAATTCATTACTCATTGGGCTAAAATTTTCTTTTAAAGTCTGGACATGACCCATTTATAGCATGGGAGTTGGTCCCTTTATTTTGTACTTGGACGAGGTGAAATATAGAAAGGGGGAAAAACTTAAAAAAATTATAATAATAAGAAGAGGCTATTTTTTTAGACGAATAAGGCTTTTTCCGTAAAATAACTCATAGAAAAATATTTTTCATAATTTTTTGTTGTTTGCGACATTTTAGAAAATAAGTCAACGGAAAAAATTTTCCTAATAAAAAAAAAATTAAGTCATTTTTTAAGGAAAACAACTTCTCATTTTTAAGAGAGTAAAATATTTTCTCAATATCGACAGATCTTATAAATTCATATTTTTTTAATTTATTAATTATCATAGTCACTACCACTAGTCATCATTTACCACTGGCCACGGACAGCCACCACCACGGGCCACCGCCAACTTTTATAATATATATATATATATATATATATATATATTTTGCTATATATTTGCATTCTTCTCGTATTTAATAGCAAAATTTTAAAATTTCTATTATTATTAATATTTTTTATGGTATTATCAGATAAAAAGTATAATATTTTCAACTAATTTTCAATGTCACAACCAAACAACGGAAAATAAATCATTTAGAAAATATTATTTAAGGAAAATGTTTTTCATGCAAAATATTTTTCAGTAAGTTATTTTATGGAAACAAACGGGGCATAAGAGAATGATATTTTACTATTTAACTGATCAACTATAGTTATTATGTTCGTCACTCCTTTGTAATTGATAATGCTAGAAACTTAGACAATAAAAAATATTCTATACCAATTTTTTCACCTAGCAAGAAATTAAGGAAAATTACAATAAAACAAGTATTACATTATTATTGAGATTTTTTTTTTTTTATCTAGGAAGTGCATAAAAAAATAAATAATATACAAGAAATACATTGACTTGTTTCAATTAAAAGGAATTAGTGTAGATTTGCATTTGGGTCAAAATATGCTCAAAATTATCAGTAGATTTTTCAATTGGATGGGAATGCATTCCTTCATATGTTGTTATAACAATTCCTTCATCTCTTGTCAATCTTTGAACTTGCTTTTTCACATTGCACCCTTGGTGAGTACACCTATAGTAGCTTCTGTACAAAGTTAAAAAAACAAAAAAATGTAAATAATCTAGAAGATATATTAGGGTTTAGATAGAAAATAATTATTTTTTTGCAAAATCTTCCAATTAATGGGTCCCTAGTTCATGGACCTTAAGGAGCTTACTACATCATACACATGTGCATATCTATAAAATTCAACTTTAGATATTGATTACTAATTAATTACGCATGTTTAGTGATGACTAATTGGTGATTGAAATAATTCCAATCATAGATTTTTATTGATGCTTAATATAATTTAATTAGATGTTCAATGTAAATAATTCCAATTATAGATTTTTATTGATGCTTATTACAATGTGGGAGTGCAAACAATATCTAGCATGAAAAAAAAAAAAAAAAAAAAAAAACTCTCGCAATTCTATAATTTTTTTTTTTGCGAGGATAATTAATATTATTCTATTATTCATAATAAATAGTAGATATTGATAGGAGAAAAAAAAAAAAAAAAAAAAACTCTCGCAATTCTATAATTTTTTTTTTTTGCGAGGATAATTAAATTATTCTATTATTCATAATTAAATAGTAGATATTATAGGCAGACTATATATATTGAGATATACATTCCTGAATATTGTTTTACAATTGGTTGGTTTTATTTCATACAATTCTAAAATTGTTAATTTGAAAACAATAGAAACCAAAATATGCATAAGAAAAAAGTTATACAATTCTATTGTGTTTGTCACTTTATAAAAGTTGTGATGATGATTCAAAATGTTAATTTGGGTATAGCAAGTCAAAATGACAAATCTCTATGATAAGTATTTGAACCCTTGTCCTGTATAATTCACTTAATGAAACAAGTTTATTGTTGCATTAAGATGTGTATTTATATACGTACGTATTATTATACGTATTATTATATTCTTTGCAAAATGGAAACAGAAAATTCTCAAGTCTTAATTTGATTATATGATCAAATAGCATGAAATGACAAGAGATATATATGATAGAATGTGTATACTTCGAATTACATAAATTTTCGATAAAAAAATTAATTTGAATTTTCAATATAAACTAAATACTTTGTAAAAATAGTTGTATATTTCATAAATATGTGAATTCCACATACACGAATATATGAGAAAAGAAAATATATATTTCATTAGTGTAGGTATAAAAAGTTTTGATGGATTGAAGTCGAATTTGCATAAAGATATATAATTGGTTATATATATTTTTGTTCCCTTAAAGAATGTAAATTTCGAAACAATAATTTTTCTTATATCATGAGAATAAATTGCAGTAAAAATAAGAAAAAAAAAATTAAGCTCAATTAATAATAATTAGAAATTAATTACTAACCTGGGAAATTTATTGTTCTTCACAGCTTTTTGGCCATATTTTCTCCATCTATAACCATCATCAAGAATATCAACTTGGCTCCTTGTTTGAAAAGCATATCTAGGCTTTTTTATTTTCTTTTCTCCTTTGCTGTTACTACTAATCTTTTTCCCTATCCCTAATAATTTCTCTTCATTTTCACTCCCTGAACCAAACCTTTTACTCTTATTATTCTCATGTTCAGAAGATATACTACTATGATTACCATTTAAACCGCCACCGTGGCCGCCTCCGCTGCCACCTAACATCAAAGGACGATCAACAGCTTCCACTTCTTGCATCAATCCCAATAACCCATTTTCTTTACTATTTACTTGGAAATAGTCAGTGAAACCATAACTAGAATTATTACTACTTCCCATGTTTAAAGACATGGAAGAAGAACTGGCCGCGGCATGCGGTGGTGAAGATGAAAGCTGAAAAAAAGAAGTGTAGTTCTCCATGGAAAATCAAGAAATGGAACTTCTTGTATATTTAGATAGAGAGATTCAAAGATTTTCAAGAAAAAGAGGTATAGTGATAAAAGAGAGAGCAAGAAACATATAAAGAGAGAGAGAGAGAGAGTTTTGAGTGGCGGCGGTGGATATGGTGGCTGGCTACCTTAGCCTCCTGCTTCTTTTGTCGTATGTTAGGTGCCGTAAACGGCACGTAAAAATCTGTATATATTAAGAAAGGAAAAACTATATATATATATAGAGAGGGAGAGAGAGAGAGAGGATTAGAGTATTAAATGAATATATTACAGTAGGCTCCATGATTAAGATTTAAGATCAGAAAGAAAATTGTACTGCCATCTTTTTTTAACAATTAATTAAATATTATACATATTTTAAATATTTTTGGGTTGGTTTTGACCGAGCTTTGATTTCGTACACATGTACTACTCTTTGAATTTTGCATACAAAATTAATGGCACGTTGGCACTAGGAATATATAAAATCTACCAAAGAATATCTCAATTTTTATAAAAATGAAAACATAAACTATATATAATTCAAAAATATAACATTACATTTAAGATTAGATTGAAAAATTTAACTGGCGATTAAATAAATGCAGTTGAAGATAAAATTTACCATTTGAAACCTAAAATAAAGAATTTTTTCACAAATATTACTTTCATCTTGAACATGTAGGGTGTGGAGGACAATTTGTTTTATCTTATGATGGTGATCTTTCTTGCATTATTGGTAAGAAAGCATGCTTTCCAAAATATTATTTGGTGTTTTATATTTCTTTGCATCCGTTTTCCGTTTTGTTCTTCAATAACTTTAAGCAAGATAGATAAAATTGAATGAAAACTATACAAAGATATAAAAATAAATAATTAAAAGATGATTGCAAATTTAATATATTTAAACAAATATTATTTACGTGGCATAAGATTCACTCCATATATAAATATTATAAATGCATTTTCCGTCAAAATGATTTGTTCACTCACGAGGAAAATTATCATATTATATATATGTGATGGAAAATCAATATATTAATTATTTTGTCGGTTTATTATGTGTAAAAATTCCCTTAATAAATTATGAAATGAATTTACTTTTTATTTAATTAAACATAATTTAAACACTAATTTTACAAGTAAAATTTATCTAAAAATACAATCCACCTTCTCTATTCATCTATTGATTGATTATACTTGGATATTTTTCAATTTTAATTAATAATTTATATATATAATCGATTATTTATTTCATTATTTTCTAGAAACCTCACTACTAAGTTGAAACAAGCAATCCACCATATTATAGTATTACTATTATTATTTTTTTAAAACATAATAATTTGCTTTTTTGAATTTTAGTTTGAGCTTCTCTTACGTACTAAGTAAAGTAGATATATATTAATTTTTATAAATAAATTGAAAAGGTTTGAACAAATTTTGCCCCAAGATGAACGGGATTCAATGGATTTGGAAAGTATATTTTTTTTTCTTTTTCCTACAAGCATGATTAGTCCTTCCTCTTTGACTATATATGTTTGTTTTTTTTTTGGAATAGGAACTATTTATGTTAAGAGAGAGAGAGAGAGAGAGAAAGAGTTGGTCCAAATTCAACGAAGAGATAAACAAAGATTAGATATGAATAGTTTATAGTGTATTCCAATCCAAAAGAGACGTTTCTTTGTTTTTTTTTTTTTTTAAATTTAAAATAAAGTATTGGTCATAGTCGTTTTACTAAGGAAAATACAAATAGATTTTGGGAACAAGCACGTGGGTTTGAACGTGACTCCTTTTGGTTTGAATTGAAATATTGGCATTAGCAGCCTCTCCTTTCCCTTCAGCACACCAAATTTTATGCCCCCAGTTAGGCTAGTACTAACATCTTTTCCTTCCAAAAGTTGCCTAACTTCTCATTCTACCTATAGATGAGTAAAAATATATTGTTTCTTTTTAAAATTATTTTATGTCTATCTGCTTATTTTATATTTCAAATTAAATATTAAGGTTCGAATACTCTTTTTTTTTTTTTCTTATATGAAATGCTCAATTATTATAATAATTTTTCGCTTTCATTTTTGATTAATTTTATATATAGATGTAACGTGCAATACACGTTTAAAAAAATTAGTATATACGAACGAGCGTTGAAAATGAACGTTACCTATACATTTTATTTTAAAATTGAAAGTTAGAGTTTCAATTCCTCTTTTTCTTTTTCTTTTCCTTTATGTGAAATGCTTAATTATTGTAATAAATTTTTTTTAACTTATCACTTATATTATCGATTTGAAGAGTTTGCACTTCTATATGGTGAAATTGAATTCAGATTAATAACAAATGGAAATTTTTTTATTGATGTTATTTTAATTTTTGATCTCAACTTAAACCATTGTATTTGTGTGAAAGGTTTGAAATTGAATTAGGCGAAATTTTATTTTAAAATTCTAGGCTCCATTTGTTTCCGTAAAATAACTTGCAAGAAAATATTTTTCATAATTTTCTGTTGTTTGAGGCGTTTAAGAAAATAAGTCAACAGAAAATATTTTCCTAGTAAAGGAAAATTAAGTTGTTTTTTAAAGAAAATAACTTCACATTCTTGAGAGAGTAAAGCATTTTCCTAACATTGACAAACCTTATAAATCTATATTTTTTTAATTTATTAATCATTATAATCATTACCATCAGTCGCCACTTACCACCGACCACCACCACTAGCAATCGGTGGTTTTCATGATTTATATATATATATTTTTTGCATTTTTTTCATATTTAACAATAAAATTTTTAAATTATAAAATTTCTATTATTATGAATATTTTTCATGGTCTTATGAGATAAAAACTTTAATATTTTTAACTAATTTTCAATATTACAATCAAACAACGGAAAATAAGTCATTTGAAAAATATCAACTAATTTTCAATATTACAATCAAACAACGGAAAATAAGTCATTTGAAAAATATTTTTCAAGGAAAATGTTTTCTATGAAAATATTTTTCAGCAACTTATTTTTCTGCAAGTTATATTACGGAAACAAACGAAAACTTAAGGTAGTATTAAAAGTTTCCGGTAAATATAATAGTGGTCACATATTAAATGATCAACAACCGGCTTGTAAGTTATATATGGGGTTCTCCAAAAATTTGCTTTTCTTTTTTGGTCTGTGAAAGTTCACTAGATTGATCCGATTGTATCCAGCTTGAGTACTGTAACATCTATTATACGGGACTTTTCTAACGTGACAATTTTCTCAAGACACAAATAAGTTGATTCATAATCCTAAGGTTAGCTTTAGGGTTTGCTATCCTATTTTTCCATATTTACCTACCATTGCATATAGTTGAGACGATCATGTTCTGGTAAACTATTATGCTACCAAGTGAAAAGGAAAGAGATTAGATATATTTCTTATCGACTTCTCAATTCATCACAACACAAGCTAACTAGTAAATATTTATTCGAATAGTCTTTGTTAATCATTTTTTTATTTAGCGATAAGGTAATATTACAGATCATATTTTCAACAAGTTATATCGATTTTACTATTTAAATTTAATTATAAGAAAACTATTCATGTTAAGATCAAAATTGCTTAGTTATTGTTTGAATTATTTTTCTTTGACTAACTCAGGAAATTGTACACACCTTGTATATTTGATCATCAATAAAAAAAGTCCGCAAAAGGTACCACACTAACTAAGTGCATCCGAGAGAATTGAGGGATCTATAATATTACGATTTCACATTCCTCCACATAAAATTTATACGGGCTGTCTCTTTATTTGTTCCTAGAGCAAGAAAAGAATACTCAAATTATGTAAACCGTTAAACCAATATTTTTTACTATAGAATTTTGAAAGTTAGGTTTAGCTATGATGTTTTTAATTAGAGAAGCATGCTTGATGGTTTGCATATTATGTGGCTAGGATTGAAAATGTGCATATATATATATACATGCGTACATGTTGCTTCTCAAACAATGAGGACAAGTGTGTACAAGCCCATCTTTGTTCCCTTTGATAAGGAAAAGTTTTGTGCAATTCTGCAAGTCATTTTCCAAGAGCATTTGAATGGAATAATATTATTAGGTTACTTCGAGGACCAAAAGAGGAGTCCAAGATTTAAATTCTCCACAATTATTACATTTTTTCAAATTTAAAAATATAAATTTCACTAAAATCAAAATCATTAGATTTTGAGTAATGATTCTACGAGGACAATAACACGTAATTTTGGTTGTCAATTTGATAAAAATGCTAATTTAATGGTCAAAAATTTATTTATTTATACTTACATAAGCATATGCGTATGGATTTTATTAAATCATTACATGCCATATAAAATTAGAAATTTATGGGAAATAGATTTATATTTAATATTTGACAAGTGGTCAACGTTTTAGGCATATGTACAGGTATTGGATTTAGAAATTTTAGATCTTGACTAAGGGCACCTGTCAAATAAAAGATTGTCATCATGATTAATACAGGATCCTAATTCCTAACCTTTTCTTTGCTTTTCTCTAGAAATATTATGAATCTGATCGCAATCTCATCACTATATGTATATATTTTTTAAAACCATCCATTGGTCTGACTAATTTGTATTTGCATTGAATAAATTTATGAAACTGTCAAATAAAAGATTGTCATTATGATTAATGCACGATCCTAATTCCTAACCTTTTCTTTTCTTTTCTCTAGAAATATTATAAATCTGATAGCAATCTCATCACTATATGTATATATTTTTTAAAACCATCCATTGGTCTGACTAATTTGTATTTGCATTGAATAAATTTATGAAACTGTCTTTCTTTTCTCTAGAAATATTATAAATCTGATAGCAATCTCATCACTATATGTATATATTTTTTGAAACCATTCACTGATCCGACTAATTTGTATTTGCGTTGAATAAATTTATAAAAGAAATAAAATCCTCTCTATCGAGTTTGAAAGATGCTTCATACTTATTATCAATGCTCGAATTAGAAGCGTGATCGAAGAAGAAGAGACACTTATCATTTTATTTCACCCTTCATCACCATATTTTGATGTTCCTAAGGTATTTAAATTCTCTTTTATATTTTTGGTTCGAGTCAAACTACTGATTCATCATTGAAAATGAATAGGCATGCAATTATTCAACCTAGACAAAACAGCAGCCATGCCTTTTAAGTTTTCAACTGTAAAAATGGAAAAAGTAAAAAAAGGCATCTAAAGAAAGGCAGATGGGTTCGTTCCAATTTTATGCATGCAAGATCTCAGAACACAAGCAGCCACTGCCTGTCCAGTATTTTGGTCCTGAAGAATGGCTACAAAGAAATTATAAAAATTCTTCTTTTTTTAATAAAAAAAAAAGGGTGAAGAGTGTTTATTGGAGAAAGAAAAAAATTGGAATGCATTTTTTATTTCAAAATTACAAATTTAAAATTCTGAAAAAGAAAACACAACTATTATAAATAGTGAGCTTAATTATATATGCAAACGTGCTTTCTGAATATCCTGATGAGTAGTCGTAGTTGGAATCTTGAAACTTCAAAGGTGTGCAAATTAATGAGCACCCCGGAATGGATTTGGGCAGTCAAATTAATAAATTTCTGTCCAACCTACTACATCAGATATGTATACGGTTCCAATTGCATGTTAAATGACTGGTCAACATTAGAAATCTTTTGTCACAATCCATAAATATAATCAAATCGTAGATATTCAATAATGTAATCGTTCTTAATTTCATACGAATAATAACAAAATTTTGATCTTTGAAAAGATCGAAAATCATTACCATACGAAAACGAACGGCTAAAAATTTTTACGTTTTATGATTTGATTCTAATGAATCAGTTCAGGAGATTTTATTCTTTTTTAGTTAAAAGAAAAATTATTATGAATTTAATTAGTATTTACTATTATTGTGGTTGCGCAGAAGCTACGTAGAAGCTGCATGAGGGTTTCTAATTTCTATTACTATTATCATTCAGTCAAATTTTGCAGACGGAAGCTTCAACGTTCAACCATTAACTTATATAGTTTTCTTTTCTTTTCTTTCTTTTTTCTTTTTATGAACTAAACTCTGAAAAATAATGCTCTGAAGCTATACTTAATTGTTACAAGTTCACGTGCACAAGAAATGTTTGATTTTGCCATTGCAATTACTTGTTGACAACAAATGATCTTTGATTATCATTAGTTACAGACAATAAACGGTCATTGATCATGTGAATGCAAGTAGAAGTTGTTGTTGATGGCAAATGACACTGACTGGTTTTTTCGTGTCAAATGTTTTTTATTTCTTCTACGAAATATTATGCATTTATAGAGCCATATAATTAAAGTTTTCGGGGATTGATTTATCTAGCCGGTTCCACAACTCTACTTATAGAGCAAACCGATGAAAATAAGAAATTTTATTGAAACAATTGTATTTTTTTGACTATACACAGAGAAAAAAAAAGTTTAAATTATGAATAATTTTTATAAAAAAAAATTTATTTTTATTAGTTTGATTCATAGGTGGAACTATAGATCCAATTTAAATAAAAATAATTTAAGAATTTCAATTAAAAATTAGTTTTAGTTGTTGTTAGCTCGATATAGTTTACATTTTTGTTAAAATTTAGCCTAATATCTATATGAAATTTTAATATTTTATTAATATAATGCGTCTGCTGATGAAAACTAATATGAAATTAATTATTACATAAGAAATAATGGAGTATATAATGTAAGAGTCTTTTGTTTTGTTTTCCACGCCAATATATAATTTAGTGGTAATTATATATACGACCTGACAATAAATCCAAATTTATTTTATGTTATTAATGATTTATTAGCCGTTCAGCTTATTCATTCGCATAATAATAAAATAAACTTATTTGTTTAAGAAAATTGAACATACCACAAAATTCAAGTAATAAAGTTCATAGAGAAATTTACATATTTTGGCTAGTTTTTATATACAAAGTACTTGTGATTTATGACTAAATGAAGGTGATTCGATAAAAAATTCTCAAAAGCAGTGGAGATTTAAATTTTTGAAGTGATTAAAAAATAATAATAAAATTGCTCATCGGCATGTCCAATCTTCTATCTAAGGTTGAGAAGAAAATGGTTTCTGAAAAATTCATTAAAGAATAATATTTGCTTATTTTACATCCCCAAAAAAAATGTTAATTAGCATCTAAAATCCTTAAATTAATAGTTCAAGGCTTTTTTTTTTTTCCGGTCCATTATTATCCAATGGAACTGATTTCGGGTCGGATGGGCCATCATTGGGCTGAGTATCTTTGTTCGGTCCATCAATTATGGTAGTAACTAGTAATGGGCCAAAATTTATAATCAATTCCTAGCCCATGTTTATTGAATAAAAATTCAGTTCTTGTTGATCTCTTTCCCTTAAAAATATTTTTCTTTAAAAGAACTAGTTTATCAATTATTAAAATTTAAAATTATATTAAAATTAATCAACTACAATAATAATTATATTTATTTTAATACATTTTAAATTTTAACATTTGATAAATTCTTCTTTATACTTGGTTTACTTTCGTTTATATAAAATTTAACAAAAAAAAAAAAGAAAATTAATGCTAGTTCAGACTGTTCAAAAATTTCCAAAATAAATAAAATAAATTTCTGTTTCCATAATAATCGATATATTTTCCTTTTTTAGGACATATATAGTGATAAATTTAATTAAATAAGATCAACAGCTAAACTTTAAATGGAATAATATTTCATAAAATACTTTTTTAATTTATAAACACGAAAATAAATATTACCACTCACCATCTCAACAGCAAAATAAAATATAAATAATAAAAAAATCTCATTCATACTTGACCACTGGCAAAAGGTAACTATTCAAAAAATTCAACTTTTAAAAAACAACCGACAAAAATAAAAAAAAAAGGAGTTCTGAAGTCCACTTTGCAATAACCAGATGCAATGCAAACCGGCCAAAACAGACGTACGTATCTTGCACGCGAACAAAACTTAACAAATAAATTAAATAAAATCCCCTACGCAACAACTCTTCCATTTCTCACTTATAAAACCTCATTGTATTATTTATTTATTTATAATTTATGCTTAATAACTGTTATTTCAGTTTCTGCTTCATACAGATCGGTCTTGTCGCCTTGTGCTTCGCGTCAACGACAATGGATACGAACATGGCTTTGGTGAAGTCAATATTGAGAGAATTTAGAGTTTCTGCGAATTCGTTCTTATCGGAATATGAACCTCTCGATTTGCTTATTGCTCCGTTTCTCACCTTTCTTCTCGCTCGAATTCTCCGTTCATTTCTTCGCGTTATTTATGAAAATGGACTTCAATTGATTTTTAGTTAAACGGTTTTTTTGAATATATTAACTGTTCACTCTATTTTCTGGAATTTCAATTGATTTTTAGTTAAACGGTTTTTTTGAATATATTAACTGTTCACTCTATTTTCTGGAATTTCAATTGATTTTTAGTTAAACGGTTTTTTTGAATATATTAACTGTTCACTCTATTTTCTGGAATTTCAATTGATTTTTAGTTAAACGGTTTTTTAAATATATTTACTGTTTCGTTATTGATTTTATTGTTATTCATACGAAGGCTGGTGCCTGGAGTCAAGAGCTACATCGATGCTGAAAAGCAGAAGGTTCGTTCGTTTTTTGTATGGTTTTTATAACTAATTGGTTAGGTGAATTGTTTTTTAGTCAGTGTTTCTCTAATTCGTGGGGTCTGTTTTGACTTGGATAATTATGATATTGGCACTGGGTGTTTGTTCAGTTGCATTTAACCAACACAAAAGAAAAATTTTAAAAGCAGTAGTTGCATTTAATGCACATTTTTAGTTTTCTTGTATTAGTTTAATTAATGATTTCAATCAGTAGCCTGTCCAGGGCTCCGATTTGTTTTAGGGATTTTTAAATTATATAGAATTGCGAGTAACAAAATTAATAGCTGATGTTATATGGTCCTTTTCTTGGTTGATTAACAATTACATTGATCAAGTAACCTTTGGAGTTGCGCAGCATGAACATTGTAGTGTGTAGGTGATGTTGACCCTCACTTTGGAGATTTATTTGACACTTTTAGCTTCTAGCCAATATCAATGTGATAGGATAAGTCACTCTCCCAAGAGAAGGTTTCTGCTTAGTAAACTGTAATTGAGATTAATTACCATTTTAGAGAGACATTAATTTGTAAGTTGACCTTATATTTCAGTGTTTTGGAAGGTAGAAAGACACTAAGGAGAGTTCTAGAAGCTTTTGAGCAAATTATGATGAGAGATCTGGAGGCCTCTTTAACTGGTTTATCACACGACTAATAAATACCCTTTGTAGATTTTTTAATTTCAGCTCTCAAGTACCAATTCTCTGTTATGCTTGCTTCCATTTCCATCGTAGTATGTATTGGGTCTCTTCCTTTGCGTGTCAAATAATTAAAACCAGGGTTTGTTTCTGAAACTGCCAACATTTGCTTTAATCTTGTTGAGCGTTGGCCTTGGAACATGTAGGTTGTGGATCAGTTGCAGTCTGGTACTAAATCTAAACGAGAAAGCTGGAGGTCAGAGTTGCCAAGAGAAGGCTTAGGCACACGAGTGATAGAGGAAATGAAAGAAGAGAAAAGGAATGATGTAGTTTGGCAAGGAAAATGCTCTGGTACAGTGTATGTTTGCAATCATTACCAAGCATTCCATTTATAAGTACCTATGCATCGATGATAAGGAACTTTAAAAAGTTTCTCATTTATGTTTTGTTTTATTTTATTTATATATTATTTTGCAGCTACATTGGGGGAAGTGAATCTGAAGGACATTTTGCTTTGATAAACGAGGCATGTTCAATGTTAGTAAGAGAAGCACAAGTACTGCTTTTATTTATTTTGTCATCTTTAGATAATTAAGTTGCTTTTTATGTGAATTTGATTCTTATTTACTTCGATTTGATCGGTGAATAAACTATATGTTTGGATAAAAGAATAATGCTGCGGTAGACTTTTACATTTTCTGTTCACTGCTTCATTTCAAGATACACTATACCCCTATTTATCCACGGAAGCAAGCTGCCTGATAACTTTATTTTGGCATTGTATTTAGCTTACTGGTCAGAAAAGAAATGCTTCTAGATTTGCTTAATTATTGTAGAGTTGTGGGTGGATGTGGAGGGTGATGCATGCATTTATCTTAACTAAAGAGGGTGTTATAGTTTGTCTTGACAATTTGCACTAGTTAATTTCTCAAGCACTGCTAAGAACTATAAGAAGTCCCCTCACCTCCTATGTTGAACATTAAAATGCTTTTGAAATGATGAACCTGAAAAAATTAATATTTATTAATACCAATTAACATTTTGGATACTCAGTTTATGGGAACTGTAAAATCGTTTGATTTGAAACACCATGACTTTGCTTCCACAATATTATTATACTTGGGAAAAGCCTTTGGCATATGCTTTAGTGCAATTACCACTTTAAGCTTATGTTTTCACCATTCCTCTTTGGACTCTTTGATTGAGTTCGATATTTATTATTTACTTGAAAGCATGATAGGTATGTGGCATTTGCTGAATGATTCCTTCCCATTCACTCACTCTTTGGCTACCCCTCAGTAAAACTTATTTGGAATTTGTTTCAGGTTTGCACATACCAACCCATTGCATTCTGATGTATTCCAGAGTGTAGCACGATTTGAGGCTGAAGTGGTTTCAATGACAGCTTCACTTTTTGGTGGCAAAGAAAAGGCTTCTGGAGGAGAAATATGTGGAAACATGACATCAGGTGGCACTGAAAGTATATTGTTGGCTGTGAAATCATCCCGTGACTATATGAAGGCAAAGAAGGGAATTACAAGACCTGAAATGTATGCCAATTTTTAAGATCTGATTTCATTTTTTCGTTACTTTATCCCTTAATTAAGAATTGCTAACAAAAGTGTTTCCTTCCTAAGCATAGGATAATACCTGAATCCGGACACTCAGCATATGACAAGGCAGCACAGTACTTTAATATCAAGCTGTGGCGTGTTCCTGTAAATAAAAAATTTGAAGCAGATGTGAAAGCAATAAGGCGGCACATTAACAAGAATACCATTTTGGTATACATTCTGAACTCAATAGATTTTACTTCTTGTGTTTTTCAATGTTCCTCTCTAGCAAGATAAGTTGATTTTTTCCCATGTTAAGGCTGCTTCATCTAACGTTAGATGTGATTTACAAGTTGACCTGATGCTGTTGATGCTGCAGATTGTTGGATCTGCACCAGGATTTCCACATGGCATCATTGATCCTATTGAGGTAGATTTCCATGCCCTGATGCATGCATTCTCATTTTACTTGCATTTATTGTTCTGTGATGGCTGTTTTTTCAAATTTATAAAAAATTTCTTTTGCAGGAGCTTGGTGAATTGGCTTTTCAATATGGGATATGTCTCCATGTCGACCTCTGTCTTGGCGGTTTTGTATTACCTTTTGCTCATAATCTTGGGTATGCCTGATTCTTTTAGCAACCGATTATCTTTCTTTTGGCAGTTGCCAATTGGAGCGCTATGCTCCGAAACTGAACCATGAAATTTTTATTGAAGGAGCTGGACCTCTTTTAGTATAAAATTTAGTTTCACTCGTCATGGAATCATGGTTTTTACAGATTATGGATTCTTTTTTGAGTTTCCTCTTGAACATGTGTGTTTGTCTATGCATATGTTCTTGTGCCAAGGATTTCGAGAATAGAAATGTGCAGCACGTAAGGTTAAGCTCCAATGTGTACTAGCTTTGGAACTGAAGCCTATTCACTATATTTCTTAGACTCAATTGAAAGCTACCAATAGCTGTGCTGTTATTCTAGATGCAGAGGCTGTTTGTGATTTTGGTTCTCAGCAGTTGATAGATGGCATAATATATTAGACGCATCTTTTATTGGTTTTGGAAGGCCTCATATCAATTGGATGATCTTGCTATCAGTTTTGGGAGTTATTATGATAATTGATGAATTGATAACGTGTCTGTTATATATTGGTGTTGCATTTTTTTTTACTGCCTTAAAAGTCTTAGCCGATGATATCTCCACAGATCATTCCTCTGATTTAGGAACAGATTACAATTAATTTCCTGTAATTAATCTCTGTAATTCCTTTCCATATTCTGTTTGTATTCTCCCTATTTAAAGGGTCTTGTACATCAATACAAAATCATCAAGAATTCCAAATCCTCAAACAGGATTCCTCTGATTTCATTCCTCTGATTTAGGAACAGATTACAATTAATTTCCTGTAATTAATCTCTGTAATTCCTTTCCATATTCTGTTTGTATTCTCCCTATTTAAAAGGTCTTGGACATCAATACAAAATCATCAAGAATTCAAAATCCTCAAACACTTTCATGGTATCAGAGCTTCAGTTCTGAATTCCCTCCCTCTCCTTTCTCTCCCATATTTTTTTTTAGCTGCTGCCGCCGATAGCCATGACACAAACAGAAGTCCCATCTTCGACCTCCAACCCTAAAACACCCACCCCCATTCACCCTGCCTACTACCCCTGCCTACTCTGTGACTAACATCCAATCAAAAATAAGAACCCTAGATGGTAGCACAGTTACATACACATCATGGGTGAAATTATTCAAGTTTCATTCTATTGCATACCGTGTTCTTGATCACATTGATGACACGCCACCCCCAGCCTCTACAGATCCATCGTACAGTGCCTAGAAAGAAATAGATGCCTTGGTGTCTCAATGGATTTACAGTACCGTGTCTGATGAACTGCTCACCCGCATCCTTGACACTGAAGCTACGGCTAGAAAAACATGGCTGAAACTTGAGAAAATCTTCCTTAGCAACAAGAAAGCAAAAGCGGCAGCTCTTGAAACAAAATTCGTTAATCTCACCCTTAAATTTCGTTAATCTCACCCTTGCAGCCTGGCAGTTCCCGTTGATGATAACTGGCAAGAAATTGAAAGACATCGACCGACCAACTGAATCGATGGTTGACCAACCAGTTAACAGAATCCCCGATATGGTCTTACAACTGGTTCGTGCCTTTACTCAAAGAATTCGACGCCCATATGGCTTCTCTATTCAACTCACAAAACGTAGACTGGGACCTTGCACGAACCCAGACTGGGACCTTGCACGAACTATGTTGAATGATGAGGTCATTCGCCAGGCTGCACGACAACAAACCACCTCTGTCCTTGTCGCTCCAACCACGCAGACAAACCAAACCCAGCCAGCCGCAACTCAACAACCTGAAAACAATCAGCCTCACAACAGTTCTTACCACTCCAATTATAGAGGCCGTGGTCGAGGCAGACGTGGCAGAGGCAGAGGACGCGGCTATAGGGGAAACTCTACGGGGACTCCTTGGGCTATAACACATCAGTCCGCCAATCAAACCTACCCAAAATGCGCTTGGTGGAACACTCCACCTTGTCCCTACCCAACACAAACTCCATGGCCACCAAATCAAATTCAAAACACACCCACTGCCCATTATGCCGCTTATTCAGAATAGCAGCCATACGGCCCAGCACCACCATATCCCCCTCCACCGCATACTGGATATGATGCTTTAAGTCCTTCCGATCTCAGCCAAGCTTATAACACGATGCATAACCACGAATGCAACTCAATCTACACAGACCAAAAATCTTTGATCATGATACAGGGGCAGAAAACGTCATGTCACCGACACCATTGTAATGATTCGCAACCCTGACTTTATCCTGTTTACACTAAACTTTTTAGTCGGTAACGGACACTATGTGTACCAATTGAGGGCTCAGGAAACAGGTTACTTCCCATGCCTTAACGCGTACTAACATCCTCCCAAACATAACTTAACAGCCCACAATATCATTAAAAAATTTATTATCTGTCCGCGTTTTACACGTGATAAACAAATATTTCCTGTTGAATTGACCCTTTTGTTTCTCTTTGAAAGGACCTCAAAACAGGGACAGCTCCTTTCCCGCCACATATAGTATTCGAGATCTCTTATCCTGTGCACTACCACCAACGCCTAACCAACCACAAGCTTGTTCAATCACATCTCCAATTTACTATTGGCAACGATCGTTACTCGGTCAAGCCCACTGGGCACACAAGTTTTAGATGTTTTTAACCAACATAGTTTTGGTATCTTCCTTGTAATAAGAACAAGCATTAATTTTTTAATTGGCACATTTCTTGATCATTTATCTAATATGCAAACGATTACCTTTTAAAGAAGAGGCTTTCCAAATTCCCTTATTTTACTTTTTTGGTCACCCATATTGATATAGATACACTGATGACTTTGGTGGAACCTCCCCTATTCCACTATACCAAATCGTTTGTGATTATAAATACTACATGGTGCTTATATGATAATATTATATTCTGCTAATAGTGTGGGTTATACCCTCTCAGTTTCAAATCTGAAACTTTCACCACCATTTACTAAATTCATAAACTCATAGCCACCCAATTCAACCGTAATATCAAAAACTTTCAAGTGACCTTGGGGAGGAGAATTTGACAACCATAACTTCATAAATTTTTGCCCAACACATGGTCTGTTATTTCCGTTTTTATTGGCCCCCAAACCATCTTCCCAAAATTGTACGGGGCTGAACGATGATTCGTCGCTCAACGACATCATCCGCTCACTCCACATCCATGCTCAAATTACCACCTATGTTTTGGGTACGAAGCACTTTTGCACACTGCTGCTATCTCCATAACATCCTCTAGCCCAAACGTCTACAATTAATTTCACACCCACTTTTGACCGTAAGTAATCTCCAGCCAACCGCGACATAGCGATCACTTACATGTGTTTCGGGTGTGGCCTTGTAATCCCATATTTTACCGTCCCAACCCCACAAAATATCACCCAAGATCCGTTAGTAGTTTGCATCTCCTTGGATACCCTCCAGATTTTAGGGGGGATACCGTATGCTTTGACCCTACAATCGGGCAAGATCGCACTATATCAACGACAATGTAACCTTTTGGAATGAACAAACTTTCCCCATACGGATTACGCTATTTCTTCTGAACTCCTATCCCAAAAACATACACACATTTTCGCCTTGATAGAAAACCACCACCACGGATTTTCAGTTTAAATACAACTCACCTCAACACCAACACCACCCAAAACCAAAAAACGCCAAAAAATCTCTCTTACCCCATAATATACACATGACCCGCCGCCATAAACAACCAGCCCCTTAAAACCGCAGTGGGCCATGCTACAGACCCCAACACACTGCTGCACCTGTCTCACAAAATCCCACACTCAGAAACCACGCGCTGTAATTCAACCCACGAACAGAATAACATCCAATGGACACCACAATCCGCTCATAAGCTGCGCCATGCCTTATGACCACCTCATTTCTACTCAATTACCACACCTCTTAATGCAAAAGCTTTGGTTTGACCCTCAATTGGTCTGAATACTGCATGCAGGCTGAGTTTCGTGTTCTTTTGTAGGAAATGATAGCATGGGAAAATGTGCCTCTGCCTCTTTGACCGAACCGGTCATTCACGGTGTATGTCATTCGGTGTATGTGGCTTTTTCGTCACAAATTTAAATCAGATGGGTCACTTCAAAGGTACAAAGCACGTTTGGTGGTAAATGGCAAATCTCAAACGGTGGGCATTGACTGTGACGATACTTTTAGTCTCGTATTGAAACCTGCAACTATACGGACTGTGTTATCCATTGCAGTTTCCCGTTCTTGGCCAATACACCAGTTGGATGTTAAAAACGCGTTTTTACATGGGCATTTAAATGAAACTGTTTTTATGCATCAACCCCCGGGTTTCACAGATAGAAGATACCCTCATTTTGTGTGCAGATTGAAAAAATCCCTTTATGGGCTCAAACAGGTGCCACGGTCATGGTACACCAGATTTGCAACCCATCTGCTGTCTCATGGGTTTCGCAGCAGTGTGTGTGACAATTCCCTATTCATTTTCTCAAAGGGAAATCAGCTTGCTTATTTACTTCTTCAGCTTGCTTATTTACTTCTGTATGTTGATGATATAGTGCTCATGCCTCTTCTAATGAAGTTATTTACAGAATATTTATCCGCATGCTCTCACGAAGAGTTTGCAATTTGACAGATTTGGGCCGGTGGCATCATTTCCTGGGTAATCAAAGTGAACATCGGAGCATCTGTGGGTTAATTTTGGATCAGTCCTCAATACAATTCAAAGGGATATCATCTCCAGAGCTTTCAATCGTCCCCTGCTTGCAAAACGTGTGCCACCCCTAGTCGCATGCTATCATCAACTGAGTGCTTCTATGGTAATCCACCTCTATTGCCAATGATCCAACAATTTGTACCGGGCAGCTTTGCTTTGTTGTCTGGTCATATCAGTATCTCACATTCACACGCCCAGATATAATCATTATGTGTTCATACAATGAATGCCTCGGTTATCATGCATGAACTCAGACGGGATCCACCACTAGCACTTTCTACAAAAGAATAAGTTCGTTATATTTACATTAAGGCAACCAGTGAACTACGTATATAGAATGATTGGCCAAGACAAATACACCATACATGGTTAGCATACATCAGACGCAGATTCAGATTGGGGTGGATGCCCAGACTCCAGAAGATCAACTAGTGGCTACTGTGTTTTCCTTGGTGATAATTTGATTTCATGGTCTTCAAAACGGCAGCCTACTATCTCACGGTCTAGTGCAGAGGCATAATATAGAGGAGTAGCCAATGCTGTTGCAGAGACCACCTGGCAATTTACTTCTGGAATTACACCTCCCACTTCAGCAGGCCTCCGTTGTATACTGTGACAATGTTTCCGCAGTGTATATGTCTGACAATCCTGTCCAGCATCAACGCACAAAACACATTGAGATCGACATACACTTTGTAAGGGAGAAAGTTACTTTGTAAGGGAGAGAAAGTTCGAATAGTGCACTTTATTCGGGTCTCCATGTCCCATGTTTTCAATAAATGCTGACATCTTTAACCAAGGCCTATTTCTTCGACAAGTTGTGTCCAGTGTCATTATCGATCCGAGCTTGAGCGCGTCATGTTACCGGTCCGCCGCTCAACTGGGCGGGGGAGTCTTAAGCAGATGAGGTAATTTCCAACAGAGTATTACCTCTGAATTAGGAGAAAGTTATAATTAATTTCCTGTAATTAATCTCTGTAATCTTGTCTTTCCATATCTGTTTGTATTCTCCCTAATTTAAATGGGTCTTGTAACATCAAATACAAAAATCATTCAAGATATATCAAAATCCTCAACACTTATCAAAAAGATGTCTTATCAGTTTGAATCAATCCCCTCAATCACAATTCCTTTCCATATTCTGTTTGTATTCTCCCTATTTAAAGGGTCTTGTACATCAATACAAAATCATCAAGAATTCCAAATCCTCAAACACTTTCAAAAAGATGCTTATCAGGATCAATCTCATCACATGTCCATGCTCATTTCCTGGCTTTGATTTTTCCTTTTCAGGTACCCGATACCACCTTTTGATTTTTCTGTTCAAGGAGTAACCTCAATGTCAGTGGATGTGCATAAATATGGGCTGGCTCCTAAAGGAACAAGTATAGTTCTATACAGAAATCACGATATTAGAAAGGTAAAGTCTACTACTGCATGATTATAAGATATTGTTTTCATCTGTTAAGTGCAGTGACATATAAATTTCTCTACTTGCTTTCAAGTTTGAAATCCCAATGCCATTCCAATTTTATTGGACACAATGTGCTGGTGCTTCATGCAATTCATCTTAGCTCCAGGAAACTTCATCAGTTGATTTTATGCAAATTGATACTGCTTAGGATTTTTGTCTTTTGCCACAGAATTTGAATTCACAATACCATACATTGCTTCAATAGCTATTGGATTGTTACTATTGTTGCCTCTTTTTACTCTGTTGCCTCTTCAAGGTAATCAGTAGTTGGAGGACAAACAAAATCTTGGTAAATGGGATATTTGCATAAATGTTTTGCTGGAAGCGTAGATTTCTTGTTTTATATGTAGCTCATTAATTTGTTAATGCTTGTCCTTAATTATTTTTTTTCTAATATTAGTTTCTTGTCATGACATTGGTTATTTATGCTTGGCTCCTCGGCTCACTGTTTTCCAACAGCATCAATTTGTTGCTGGTAAGTCGACTTTCCTATCCAAACAAACTTTAGAAAGAACTTTTTTGATCAATGTCAAGTATTTTGGTTTTTAATCACAAATATCTTGTTCTAGAGGTGGCCTAACTGGCAACTACTATTTAGTTTTATCTCATCATTTTCCCTAAAAGATTACGACCGTCTGACTCATAATACTGTGCCTAAAAATGGTGAGAAAGAATGTGCTTCTTGCGGTGGGAATGGAGGACTGGTTTTCCGGTATTGCCAAACAACGTTGTGATAAATTAATGGGACCACTGGGGACATCCATAGGCAATACCTTTTGGGAAGACAAACTGCTTTTATTAATATTTTAGTTGTATAATAGGATTTCTTATTTTTTGTTGTTTCAAGTTTATGTTTTGCATTCAATATCTGTTCTCCTTTTGTCCTTCCTGCAGTCACTGAGTGGTCAGGTGGGCTCTATGTTTCTCCTACCATTGCTGGAAGCAGACCTGGGAGTTTAATAGCTGGGGCTTGGGCAGCAATGATGTCAATAGGACAAGAAGGTGTCTGCATTTGGTTTCGCTTATTGCTTATTAAGATATTTTCTTTGATGCTATATTTTTGTTTTGATAGTTGTTTCGTTAAATTTTAAAGGTTATTTGAAGAACACAAAAGCAATAATGGACGCATCAAAAAAAATACAGCAAGGGTTTGTATTTTTACTGCCATTTTTCTTTGCACTACTTTGGATTATGCAATTGAATTATTGAAATTGAGTCTTCTTCTTCTTTAGAATAAAGGAGATTCCTGAATTATTTATCATTGGAAGACCAGATATGACAATCGTGGCATTTGGATCAAATGTTCTAGATATATTTGAAGTCAATGATATTATGTCATCAAAAGGCTGGCATTTGAATGCATTACAGAGACCTAACAGGTAATCAATTTACGTGGAAACACACGTACAAAAAATGACATATTCGTCTCCGGTAGCAAGTAAATCTACTATTTCATTGACAAGGAATGTGAAAACATAAATTCCAATTTGAATTGATTGATCCTGAATGGTCACAATATCTGATAATTCGTATCCATCATTGCATTCTAATTAGTGGCAGCTGAACATAAATTTGTCGAGAATATTTTACATACTAATTGTTTCTTTCTGCTAATTTTGCGATATCAGCCTTCACATCTGCGTGACCCTACAACATGTATCGGTTGTTGAGGACTTCCTTAGGGATTTGAGGGAATCTGTTGAAACTGTAAGTTCTATGAAAAAAAATTATGAAATCAGCTTATAGTTCTTTAGTAAATATGAGGTGCTTCAAAATTTGTTTTTCATTTTGGGTGCTGGTGGAGGATGAGTTATATTGTAGTAATGTCTCAATCATCTTATCTTTCTTTACTTGAATCTTTCAGGTGAAAGAAAACCCAGGTCCCATAAGTGGAGGCCTAGCTCCAATTTATGGCGCCGCGGGAAGGATACCAGATAGAGTTATGGTTCAGGAGTTGTTAGTGAATTTCATGGACAGTACATGCTAGTGTCATTCCCTACCTTTTGAATTCAATTTTTTTCTTTTTAATTTATTACTTTTCTCACCTTTGATCTTGTACGAGAATATATCACTAATTATGATTGAAATGGACTTCTACTTATTATTTTCATTTATGGCAAGTAAATTAAATGATTAGTTTAACGGCCTAGCATTTCATCAAAGGTCGGAGACAGTAATGTTTAATCTAAATAATAAAAATAATGTTTTAGTTTAGTTAAAATATTAAAAATTATATAAAAAACTGTTGCGGAGCATATTTTAATCGTATGGGGCTTCCCTGATAAATTTCTGTTGTAAGGGCTGACGTGTTCATGGGCTAGGCTGTAAGTTTCAATTTTTGGAAAAATTTACGGCTGTTTGGGCCCGCTTGATTCTATTTAAACGTTTGACATTTTCTAACTGGACATAAGCTCATATTTCACAGATGCCATGTCCCACTCGCTGGAATGTCGTGTCGTCGAAAAACTGATCAATTCTATCGATTGAATGTCGTGTCATTGGAAGACCGGTTAATTATTTAAAGTATTTAAGAAACGACTTGTCCTTGTGGGCTGCGCCTGTTTTCACCTACTACATTATATATCTACATAAATATAAAATCAAAAGAAAACGCGAATGAGAACTGTGGCGCGATTCCACAACTGTGAACCGTTAATGGAGAATTGATCCTTAACGTCCAAGTTTTTCCCTATTTTTTGGTTTTATGGCCATCATTGATTCTATCTACTGGGTAGCATGTCCAGTCATTCGTGTACGAAAAAGTTTTAGTCGCTATAATGCAGACTCGTTTTTACGCTTTTGGTTCTAACTCTAAAGTGCCTTCCAGTTTATGTGTGGTCATGATCAACAGTGATGATTCATACAGGTCAATTATTAGCTGACCTCTCGGGTATGTAACATTTCTATGTGGAAATTAGGCTTTTTCACCGAATTACAAACAATTTATGAAGTCTTTTTCCATTAAATTAAAAATAATTTGTGAATTATTGTACTGAGTAATTACATAAGTAAATTTCAAGATAAATAGAAAAGTCATAAACAGTCTCACTTAAAATCCACTTGCCTCGATTAAATTCGTGTCGTTTGACAGAATTTACCTAGACATTCAATTAATCAGACAATAACCACCAAAATATTTTTGCCCAACAATAGCTATTAAATAAATAAAGACAAAAGCAATAAATAAGAGAGAATACTAGAATTTTAACGAGTTCGGCCAATTTTGCCTACGTCCTGGACATTACCAAACTTATATTTCACTGAAGAAATATACAAATTGAGAAAGGAGAGAAACTTGTCTACCCTACTAAGTATTGGAAGACAACTTGGGACGATTAAAATGAAACTAGGCTACTTTTATAGCCAAAAAGAGCCCCTCTCCCTTCCTAAAATCCCGACGTGGGATATTTGCCATATAACCAACAATTTCTTCTTCTTCTTCTTCTTCTTATTATGAATGATTAGATGAGTATTCAAAATATGGAGGAAAGTATTGTTGGATTGATCCATGATTTTTTTAACTTAATGTTAAATTGTGTATGTGCTTTTGTTGCATTGTTGGCTGCTCAATAGAAAATTGGGGATTACCCATGTTTTTTTGGTCCCTGTTAGTAGTTTGTTTGGAGGGAATGAATGTATTGAAACTAGTCTTTCCAAATCCTTCCGAAGATGATAAGCTAAAATTTTGAGAGATAAGATTGAGTTATAATGTTGTTACTTTAATCATAATATTGTTGCTCAATTGCATAATGAATGAATTATTTCTACATTGTCCCGAAGCCCGGTGAGACTTAGCACATCAATTTATAGCTGTGCTTATAAAGAACTTCAGCTCAACTTAATACAGTCTTTGAAACTTCATGATACAATTTGTAAATGCATCATAGAGTCCTTATGTATTCACAACGAAACAATATGCGTTACATTGCAGATCAATTGCTTAAAGGCAGCTTTTTTGGGAAGGACTGCCTCCATTATTTATTCGTTCGCCTCAAGCTCTTCATAATACAATCACTCATATATTGGTAGCAACAATCACCTTACAAACACAATAATGCTTCTTACTAAATTGAAGATGATACTTAAGAATCAAGCTTCACTTCTGACTTTTGCATCCACATTTTAGAGCTCCAACACGAGGTCTACATGCAAAACATAACTGAATTAGCATAGTTGCTTAGAAGTTAGTACCAAGCCTGAAAAAAAAATACTAAATATAGTTACTAGTGCTGAGAGCATATGGCTCTTGAAGCAGTCCATTCTTGTAATGCTTAACTCTAGAGTCACTGCAAAGATGCCATAGAATGTAACTTAAAGGGAAGCTAGAATAAGATCAACAGTGGGAAACATGTTTTGCCAACTACTGACATGTACATTTTCCTTGATCTTAAAGCAGAACCTTCCAGCTATATAATTTATGACTCTAGTTCCTCAGAAGTTGCTGACTATCTGCTTGGGTTTCAGTAAAGTATTTAAGACTGAATTATATGGATACTTACAATCGGCATCTGTTTTGATCCAGTATTCCCTGCTCCCACTTGAGTCACTGCTGCTAAGAGTAAATTGGGGTGGGTTAGATTGACTCTTGTATCGCCTTATGCTCCGCTTTGAAAGGGCTTTTGGCGGAATTATTGTGATCTCTTCATCTGGGACCATATGACCTCCATTGTTGCCGTTCTTCTTGTTTTCATTTTTTGGGGGTTTATCGGCCTTCCGTGGAGCTGTTGAGCTTTCAGGATGAACTTTTCTATGGAACATATGTAGGATCTGCACAGCACAAATTGATCACAGTTTTATACCCAGAATGGTACACATATCATTTAAAACCTGTAATGCAATACTTCTCTGGGGTGAGAATTATGTCAGTTATGCAGTGATTTCATTTGTGTATGTTGAAAAATAGTAAACAGAAGATGGTTGACCCACAAATTTGTCAATTTATTATTTTATTTCATCAATGTTTGGATGAGTATCTGTCCAGATGCATTTTGATGATCATTTGGCTGCAAAATAAGTTTATTAGGATTATTTACTTGCATCACATTGAGATAATAATTCTTACACCGAGTTTGCACATTCATGCACGAAGGATTTTGACAGAGATGGTTTATGAAGTGATACCTTTTGCAGTTTTGTTTCTGTTGAAGCAGAATCAACGGTTCCACCACCAGCAGCAGAGCTCCTAGAGGAAGCATGGAGCATTTTCTTCTTCAGCATCTTTTTCATGAGAGGTACAGAAGATTTGTCAGCTTCCTTTTCCATGCGTTTCTCATCCCTCTCACATTTGCTTCCAGAATTCTCTTCTGCCATTTTAGTCCTCTGGAACAGCTCACCAAGTGATGTCCTGTGCTCCTTCTTTGCCATAGTTGTTGTTTCCGACAGTTCAATTGCTGACCCAAAAAGGTATCCCTGAAGTGGACAGATTGCTGTTCCATTTGCATTGGTATCCTGTCCTTCCATTGGTTTGCCACTAAGGGTAATAGTGCTACCATGACTGCTTCTACCTGCACTGACATAACTGCTTCTTCCTGATGAATCATTGCAACAATCTTCTCTAGCTTCAGCTCCCAGAACCTTCTCCAACTCATCATTGATGAGCTTGAGCTCATTCTCAGTTACTTCAGTCTCTTTTTCAGTTATGTTCTCAACAGAGATGGCAAATGTTGGTGTTGAGGGGTCAGTATTGACAGGATCTGAGCCAAGAGTACCAATTGCAAGAAAACCATGGAATAGTTCAGATATGGCGGCAGATGATTCTTCTTCGTAGTCATCTTCATCTTCTTCTTCTGTTCTTGCTGCTTCTAGACCAGCAAAAGATTTTCGAATGTGATCTTTTTGGGCTTGCTTGAATTGTCTGGTGCCATAGTTTGGTTTTGGGTAGTATTGTTGGTCATCAAGTGATGGCTGTCCTATAAGACAATTGCAGGCGTGTCCTGTTACAAAAAATGTTAAATGGACTAGATTGAAACGATTCTATCATTTCATTTCCTAAGGAGAAAATTATGACTATCTTCTAACATTTTGTCAGTCCAAGATTCAAATTTTTATACATTTCAGACCAACTTCTTTTGTTTCCTGTGGATGTATTCCAGTCAGCATGCTGTATGAGGCATAGGCCCTCTTAAGGAAATAATTCTATTATAATTTATGTGAAGTTTTCAATTCAAACTCTGTTGTCTTTCTTGAAGCGACATTACACATCAAGCTTCTGGTTATGAACCATATATCCTAGTAGACTAATGCGAATCTGCATCCAAGGAATATAGGCTACTTTGTTAATAGCCTTATGGAATGTAATCTAACGCATTTTCAGTTCAAACATTAAACTGCAAATGCATTTGGTTACATTACATTAAATTCCATTATGGAATTACCAAAGTACCCTTATCATTTGGTTCATGTCTATAATCTGAGCTTTGCATGACCATGCAAATATGGTTGTCATTTTTCTTGTTCTCCTTTTTTTTTTTCTTTTTTTTTTTTTTCAGTGCGGTGTGGCAACACAAAACTACAATGATCATTATTTGTGTGGTTATATGCCTATTTTAACAGAAAAATCTATATGATGAAATGAAACTTACCAATGGCAAAATCCTTCAGTTGTTCACTGCTATTCTGCCGAAACTTTCGGTGCATCCAACCTAGTAACTGCAATAAGGTGTGATTTGGTGGTTAGCTCATGAAGCATTGAGGAATATTATTTTCTTTTCCTAGCATAAATAGTTGTACTGTTTTCTTTTTGTTGAAAAAGAAAATGGACTTCACCTTCATTTTCTTTTTCTCTCTTCAGAAGACTGGAGCTTTCTTCACTTTGATTATGATGAGAGGATAGGAGATAAGCCACTTTTCATAATCAGGGGTGGTACTGTTATGAATAGGGTTTCAGTCGCTGCTTGGAATCTCCCAAAGATGAAGATGGCTGGAGAGAAACACAAAGATAATTACAAGATTTGATTGCCTGTTCATTGTCAAGATCAAATCATGTGGACAAATTGATAGTAGGTCCTGGATCCTTCCAGCAGATGAATGTGTGGAAGCCACGTGTGTTTTGTTGCAAGGTTCATCATTTTTTTTTTCATGTTGGCTGTGATTGTTCTGTGTAACACAGTAACAGTCCTGCATTAAGCACTAAATGCAACATTCTTTCGCTATAATAGCATGCATCTTATTTTCTACAAATCTGATAAACCTGTATTTACAGATGCCTATTAACATGCTGATTTGACAGATGGCCTATATGCCTTGTTTGGAACTGTCTTTTGCAGTTTGACACGTTTACACACATGCACTTTCTTTTATCTTTCTAATAATAGCTATTGCTTGTCGATTTTCCTGCTGGGTTGGTGAAGGGGGACTCCGCATTCAAAAGTGGGGACATAAGATAAGAGAATATTTTGTGAGAGTTCAATGTGTTCAAGGACAATTTGACAAAAGAAAAGATCTTTTCTCACTTGGGAATAGCATATAATAAGCTGAATACTTGTTGAATTCCTTTAGTCCACTCCACTACTGGGGGCATTTGTCTAAAATGTCCTTTATCTGAAATATACTAAATTATGATTATCTTTTGTAAAGATCTCCATATTTACAGTATTATTTTGATCTTAAACTTTGCATATTTGCGGTGATCAACTGGTTGAACTCTCTAAAATTATAAAATTTCAGAAGAAACCTGTACAGCTTCAGTTCACTGGAATAAAGCCTTAGCCTTTATGTCAACAGTTTTGCATGTTAGGTTCCACGGTAAAATATTTGTAGTTAGTAACGTTGCCATGCTGTCTTCCACTCGGTGCAATCTAACTGTGAGAGCCTGGTTTTACCTGTGCTGATTGATGATAATATATTAACCTTTAACTTCCTATATAACTGTAGACGATATTAAAGGTTCTCTGACCCCACTACTTCCAGCTAACTTTTTTTCTGTTTGATATTGAAACTGCAAATTGAGATCAGGAAGTTTTTTTTCCTGCAGAGTTAGCCAGTCATGATAATTCTTTACCATCATAAGGTTTGTGTTTTCTCATATTTAGATGATCTGGACCAGGACTTTTGACCTTGAGATACTGAGTGTCAACTTTATCGATAGGAGTGAGCTGATTTGAAGTGAGTTTTTAGCCCAGAGAAAAACCATCTTTGGTTGGAATAAATATCTCTGCAAGTTTATTAATGATTTATGGAAGGCACAAATAGGATAGTAATTGGAAAGCTTGATCTAAATATAACTCATATTCTTCTAAGTGTGAATTATTTAATGTGTTGCGGTTATTTTTTAGAATCTGTTCCTTTTTGGCATATTTTTCACCTAAAAACCAATACTAAATATTTGTATCATTGATTGATTTGCTTAGAATTTAAAGTAATTGATTGAAAAGATTTGAGATATTAATTTCTAAGTGGGAAAAGTGAGCATATATTCCTGTTTCGTGGCAATCAATGATTGAAAATTTAATGTAATGGATCAAACTACGTTGGCTCAAAAGGGATTTGAATTCCTGACTTGGGAAAGCTACTGACTTGTGAAGAAATTGTTAATCTGATAGAAGAAAGAGTCCAAAAAAAAAAAAAAAAAAAAAAAAATAACTGTGTGCGGTTACTTTTTTAGACACTCTGTTCCTTTTTTGGCACTATTTTTCACCCTAACACACACCACATACCTACATTTTGTATCACTTGACTTGACTTTGCTACGACATTTACACACGTACACTTGACTTGACAACAGACTTTGACGACTATTACATTCTACACGTGGGACAAGTGACGCACTACTACTTCCTGTTTTCGTGGCACATCACACTGAACACTTGACACACATTTACACTGTACACTGGATCAACACACCTACCGTTGGCTTCACACACAGGGACTTTGAACACTTCCTGACTTGGGACACACGCTACTGACACTTGTGACACGACACATTGTAATCTGACTACGACACGACACGACGTCCCACACAAAAAAAAAACACACACACACGTACAAACACACGACAACACACACTTGACACCTTGTGACATGACTTTTACATACGACGACAGGTTACGAACAAACTAGCCATATTGGATCTTGGGTCAAACTTATACTGCTTTGACACGTTACACTGACTAAACCACAGTGACACACTGGACCGATGCACAGAACACTTTGACGGTCATAACCTTGCGACACCTTTACACCTTACGGTGTTGACACGTTTGGTAACTTCCACTTTCACTAAGGGACACTTGACTTACTACTCCTGGTGTCACTCACACACTACCACAAACTAAACAACACTGCTGTGGACAAGTTTGACACTACGTTCGCTGCAGTTTACAACTTTCTACGCTAAACCTACACGACTAACACTTCACCGTACGACTTTACTCACTGTGACTTGCCCTGAACTGACTACTTTCTGTACAACGCAACTTTTACTGCACTGTGTCACTCCTTGATGCTTGTTTGCACTCAAAACGTTTACACTTAACCTTCTGAAACTATGCGACTGACTGTCTGACACACTGGTCACTGGACGCCTGTATCCACGGTCCCTACGATTCTTGGACGTTCTGCCTAAAAAAAAAAAAAAAAAAAAAGAAAAAAAGAAAAAATTGAACTTGTGAATGATTTTAATAGAGAAGGTTAGAAAAATAGCCATATTGGATCTGGGTCAATTATATGCTTGAAGTTAATGATGAACCAAGTGAAATGGACCCTGCAAGAAATTTGAGGTCATAACTTGCGAACTTTAACTTAGGTTGAGTTGTACTTCCTATTTCATAGGGAATTGATTATATTCTGGTGTCATCAATACAAAACTAAAAATGCTGTGGAAATGTTTGAATAGTCGCTGCAGTTTTAAATTTCTAGCTTAAACTAAGAGTAAATTCACGTAGATTTATCATGTGATTGCCCTGATGATATTTCTGTAAAGCAATTTTATGCATGTGTCATCTTGATGCTTGTTTGCATCAAAAGTTTAATACTTCTGAATATGCAGATACTGTCTGAAAAGGTCATGGAGCTGTATCCCAGGTCCCTAGATTCTTGGAGTTCTGCTGGTGAGAAGGAGAAATTGGTACTGCTCCTAAACTGTTGAATGCTTCTCAATGCGTTGGTGAAAATGTCTGTGGTCCTGCTTTCAATTGTTCTAAATTACATTTCAGTAGGTTTGCACATTAAATTTTTGTTGTGATGTGTATACTCATGAACAAAACAAATTATGCTGATAAAGAAAGATGCTCTGAAGATGGAAAGGCGCAGATCAGACACAATCCGAACCATGTGTTAGGTTTCTACATTATAAGCTAATCATATACTAAGAGGGTAGGGTCAAGTGAATTTTATGTGCCTCGCTCTTTTAGGTAGCCAACGTGAAACTAGACCACGAACTTCTGAACAATTTGGCAATTTGCAGCCACAAACATAGCCGGCTCTGCGGTAGAAACCATAAAGGTTCATTCATCCTCACTTGACTTTATTCCATCATTGAGTCTGGACAAGCAGATTTCCATGGTGATGTGAGTTCTATATGGACCCCCATAGTCATGGTGGCTTTTGTCACAATTTAAGTTAACCTTCATTTTGAATTACCTTTTGAGATGGTGGGACTATGCTGTTTCTTTTTCTTTGTTAAAACAGAGACTTCTGGTACAACTCAGCTTAGAATATAAAGCAAACAGAAAGAGTCAAGCAGGTGGTGTGTATGGTAAGTCACCTGTATTATGTTGGCAATAACTTCTTGCATTTGTATGTTAACTAATTGAATGTAATAAATTCATTAGTTCAAGTTGTGTTGGTAATATAATTTTGATTCGATGCTGAACACATGTATGGCCATCAATTGGCCAAGTAAGAATGTGCCATTGACAGATCAGGTTGACAGCGGAAGGACTTCATTAAGCTCAAGTGTGCATACAACCTGAGACAACCCATGCTGTATCAACAAATGTGTCGCCTTTCAATGCCCAGGCCCTGCTAAGATTTTCCTGGAATCTGGCCCCAAGTGCACCTCCACATTCATATGCTTCTGAGCAGAAGAAAACAAGGAGGTTCTGGTTTTTATTGTAGAATTGGTCCTGACTCGGAAACTTGAACTTGTGTTGAAAATCCCGCCTGTACAGTTTTAGGATGATATTCAGATGTTTCATATATCATTTTGGTGCATTTTGTCTTTTAATGTTTATTATTATACCTAGTTCCTATAATTTGGACTGCAAATGTTATATTTTGCTTGTCTAGATTCCTTGTATTCTACACCTAATTCTTTGATTTGGACTGGAAATTTCAGATTTTCCTTGTCCAGAAGATCTAGTTTCTGTGGCCAGTTTCTAAACACGATTTTACCTGTTCGAGCTCAAGATTGACAAGCTTCGATTACAGGTCAGGTTCTTTGATTTGCCCTGCAAATTATTGCAGAATTATAGCATGATAAAGATACATTCTATAATCATTTATGCACCTAATCCTGTACCATAATAACGGAAACTAAACTAAAGAAATATATAACTGCACTTAGATTTTTTTTTTTTTTAATCTTAGAGTCTGTTTATTTCAAGTTCTCAATAACTGCACTTGGCTATCTATGGTGATTAACAATTGGTTAGTTGCTAGAGATTAGAAGGTCAAATGCTACTAATGTTGCAATATTATTTATTATCATTGTTGTTTATTTTATTTTCATGCTAAGATTGGAATAGCATTTAGGAAAATTTCTTCCAACAATGGTGATTCTAAATTTTAAATGATAAAATTTACTTAAAAATACAATCGATTTCGACTGATCGGACCATTTATTCATATCATTGATTGAAATGCTTTTTGATGCAATCGGTGGCATGTACATCAGAAAAAAATCGTATAAAACCTTGCACATGGAATGAAAGGGAAAAGAAAAAGAAGTAATGAAAAAGATTATTATCTCCATAGATGTTTAAAAAAAGCCGGAAATCTCGTTAGCAAAAAAGGGATTTAGGATAATTTTTTTAGGCCTTATTGTCTATTCTGAATGGCAGCAAATGCTATATTTCTCCCTCACTACCAATCTCACTCTTAAGCCTTATCAATGATTTTCTAATTTTGCTAAAAATAACTTGTTTATTTACATTTTTTTTATTTTATGTTTTGGCTTTTTGAACGACTGTGCGTACAGTGTATTTTCTATTTACCCAATAATTTAAAAAAAAAAAAAACAAAAACATCTTAGTCAATGTACATATCAATTTATTTTGATACATCTCTCATTAATCAAATTCAAAACCTACTCTTTTGTCATTTTAAGTCATGGGTTTTTGAGATTTGATTTGTGACAGGTTTTTAACTAGTTCATATCCATTTTCCATCTCTCTAAAATCCATTATAATATAATACATAAAATAATCCAAGAACTATCAGTTTTTGAAAATTTATAAAATATTAAATTAAAAAGATAAACATGTGTGTTTTTTCAATCATAAATAATAGAGGTAATTGATCCATTCTCCATTAAATGCAACATATCTCATTTCATGTTTGAACCATATCGTTTTTGTCCCCCCAACTTCTCATTTTGGCTGCTTAGCATATAAATACACCAAGGAAAAGTTATTCATGTATGACAACTCACAAAACAAGGAAAAAAAAAAAAAAAATTGAACCATATCGTTTTTTTTTGTCCCCCCCACACTTCTCATTTTGGCTGCTTACGCATACTTACACATACAACCAAACGGAACAACGTTATTCATAGTATGACACTCAACACACAACAACGGACACAAACAAAACAAACAACAACACGAACGACGAACTGTGACACTCTTCAACAATACGAAAACTTACAGTTGGTGATTACATACTTGGACACAACGGACGTACGTTTACCTTCACTCTAAACACTTGCTACACAATTACCCCTACACGTCACACTCACCATTACGTTACACGTTCCCACACTGACATTGGAACTGACTACTACTTTGCACACTAACAGTACATGACCAACACGACGATGAATCCACACTTAACGTTACACTTCTTTTTTGGTTTGTATATCAACTTTCGACTTAACACTTTCACAATTTAACGCTGGCTGAACCAGACTTCACCGACACACACGACGACGCAACACGTGTTTTCTCTCTGACTGTTAACACGTAACTTTTACTACCCATTTAATACACACTGACGACCTCTACTAACACAAACACGACAGGACTTTTTTGCTACACGCTCGACTACAAACTGAACTTTTCCTACGTCAACCGACTGTACTTACACTCTACTCTTTTCCACCGCGACGTCGGACTACGCAATTTAACTCAACTAATTTCACTTCCAACTCCCTACCGTACTTTGACGATACCACACGACACGGGGACCGACAACCACATACCTCACACTGAAAAAAAAAAAAAAAAGAGAGATGTGATGCTCAAAATAGAAAACTTAAGGTTGGTGATTAATATTGGAAAAGGAGTAGTTTACTTCATCTAAATTGCTAAAATTACCCTAAAGTCACATCACATTAGTTAAGTTCCCAATGAATTGGAGATGATATATTTGCAATCAAAGTAATGAAAAAGAGATGATCCAATTAAGTTAATTCTTTTTTGGTTTGTATATCAATTTCGATTAATTCAAATTTACGCTGGCTGAACAGATTCACGAAAGAGATGCAAAGTGTTTTCTCTCTGATGTTTAAAGTAATTTTATACCCATAATACAAACTTGAGACATCTACTAAAAAAAGAAGGGATTTTTGCTAAGCTCGATAAAATGAATTTCTAGTCAAACGATGTATTACATCTATCTTTCACGATCGGATAGCAATCTTAACTCAATAATTTCATTCCAATCCCTACGTATTGAGATACAAGAAGGGGACCCGAACAATACTCATTTATATACCTAACATGGATAAGATTTTGAGCAAGCTGCCTTTAAGGACAAACCCTAAATTGTCATCACCTCTATGCAGCTTTTTACCCTACTCGAACTACATATCACCATACCCTACAAAAGGACAAACCCTAATTTGCCATTACGTGAATGCCTCTTTGCAACCCTATCTCTCATTTGTAAGGTGTGTCTCTCTCATAATTTTTCTCTCTAATTTACTCCATGCTTTGTAAGTAATATTCTTTTCTTTCATAAAATTTAAATATATATTTTCATTGTTAGGAATCTAAAGACATGTTTAGTATTTCTTTTTGATTGTTGTTGAATAATAAATAAATATATTTGAAAAATGAATCGAGAAAATAATTCAAAAGAAAAAATCGTATTAGTAATATAAGTTCATTTATAATTGAATTATAATTTATGCAGATGAAATTTAATGAATATAAATTTGTAAATTAATTCTATGAAATTATTATTTGCTTATAAAATATATTTAGACCAATTAAACTTCAATATAATTGCGAAATCAACCTTTATCCTTTTAGCCCTAAAGAAGAAATATAATTTCTATATTCAAAACTGAATTATCTTCTCTTTGCCATCATCTTCTGTCGTTGTTGTGCAGTTATTACCATAAATTTCATGTCACATTTTGATATAAGAAACTGAAACTCTAATGGTCCCATCCTCAACCTACTTAAAATTCAAGAATTATCCCTTGTGAGAACAATAAATAAATAAATAAATAAATGAGAATGACTTGTCCAAGCCCGATAGGATCAGCATCGAATTAGCTCATTTCAATTTATCCGCATATATTTTTATGGCATCCAAATCCGAAATCAAATAGTATAATAATCAATTCAAACAAATTTAAATCAATTTGAACTTTGATTAGTTATATGCTTAATTATATATGGCAACCCAAATAAATCCGAAATCAAATGATTTTATGTATCCAAACTAATTGATAAACGAATTTCTAAAGTACCTATGTAAATCCAACCAATTTGAGTCATTTAATTCGGTTCTGCTTACCAGTGGAGCCTAGTCTATTTCCTTTTCATTTTCATTACAAAAATTAAAAATTAAACTCAATCAATCGAGTGTTTTATAATACATAATAATCTCAAAAACAACATTAGAAAAACTACCCAATGTTCTACCATTTATGCTAGTATAGTTCTCTCTTTTTCACCCTCAATTTTCCTATCTACAAATTAAAAATTTATTAAGAACCAACACCAATTTTAAAAAGACAACCACTCACCCACTCAGTGAGAGAAAGTGTTGGGCTTTTCATGGGCTTATCAATCTTAGGTTGCCCTAAAGATAGGGCACTAGGACCAAAATTAGTGGCTTTTAACAAATAAAAAATAGTAATAAAATAAGAAGCAAAAGAACCAAAATTGTTGCAAGGAAATATAAGGGATTAGACAGCCAAAAAGGAATCAAAACAAAGCATAGAAAGTGGCGGCACCGAATATAATAAAGTAATATATTAATAATTTTCGTAGATAATATCCCAGTTTATATGATTATTAATTATTATTATATTATTATTATAATCGCCACTAACCAGCGAAAAAACACAGTTTCATTTCATTGCCCCACCTCAAAAAATTATCTCTACCTAATCTCTTTATCTTAATTTCTAAGCAAGATTAAATCATACTTGCCCATCAAAATCACAAACAAAAACAAGGATTTCTGAATATTTTCCTGGAAAATCATCCATTCAAGATTTTCTGCTAGAAAATTTTGTGCTGGCAAGAAATTAAACAAAATCAAGAACATAAAAAGACTAAAATTAAATTAAAGCTTCCATCGAGATTTGAGACAGGCACTTAAAACCTTCCAGCAAAACTATTAATTTTTTTGCTTTTCTAAATTTTTTAGTGCTCAAAAAATATAAAAAAGCAAAAAATATTTAATTTTTTCTATTATTTTTTGCTACTACACATTCGGACTCCAAAGAGACCATAAACGAGAATTGAATAACCCCAGCACGTCCGGCAATACCTTCCTTGCCAAACCCTTGTGGTTACTTACTGCCGCCGGCGACCTTAAGACAACTGTAATCTCCTCCTCCTCCGCCTCCTCTGCTACAGGTTCATTCTTCTTAACTCCTTTTTCCTCCTCAACATCTTCCCCATTATCTGCTATCCCCGACGAAGCAACGGCACCATCAGGAGAAATAAACGAGGATTCATTTATTTCCGGCGGCGGAGTTTCCATCTCACGCATTTCGGGTAGACTTAAAACGCCAATAGCTGTTTTGTCATCAACCCGTTTACCCGCTTTGTCTTTTTTCTTACCTCGAGTACTTTTCTTAGACTGCTCGCCGTTGGTCAGGTGGTCTTCAAAAGCTTCAATCACTTGATGGATAAGCTCACGATTAGGAGAAGAGTCCCACCTGAACCAGAAACTGGTATAACAGTCAAAACAGTCACAATCAAAGATAGGAGATTTACGGTTGCTGTTGTGGTTGTTGGTGGCAGTAGCGGTGTTTAGTGGCTTTTTCGAGGATTTTTTCTTAGAATCTTGAGAAAGAGAAGATGGGTTTGGAGTTGTGGTGGTTTTCATTGACCTGGTAATCATATAAGCAAGAACTTCTCGGTCTTCAAGAGAAAGAACAGAAGCTAAAGCGAGAATGGCAGCAGGAAGAAGCTTTAGTATAGAAAGGACATCTCTGTCTCTGTCTTTAATGGCAGAAGCAGTAACAGAAGAAGAGGAAGAAGATGATGATGATGGAGATGGGTACACTTTACCTTTGTTCTTTATCTTCATTTCTTCTTTCCCTCAGTATGGTTTGCTTTACTTTCCTTTTTCTTTTTTTTTTTTTTTTTTGAAGGAAGAACAAGAGAGGAGAGAGTTTGTTTTTGATAGAGAGAGAAGGGAGGCGCACAGATGGAAAGTTTGGTAGGGTTTTTTAATTGACTTGATAAACAAGGCAAAAAGTAAGGGTACGTACCTCATTGACACAGAGGTCACCGTCCATTAATTTTCAGGCTAATTGTGGTTCTGTACAACACGCGCTGGCGGGAACGCGTCCCCACTACTTGCATGGAAGAAAGAATTTCGGAGCTAAAAATAAACGAAAAGGCTTTTGGCCTAGAATTTAGAAATAACAAATCGATGATAATTACTTTTTATTACACTAATAACTTCTTTTTTTCCCCTTTAATAACTTTAGTTACACTCAAACATCGTTTTTGTTATCAAAATAAATGACAAAGGAAAAAAAGGGAATTGCATAAATGTGTTATTTAATTTTATAATTCAATTTTGTAATGTCCTAAATTATGATATGATACATCTATACATTCACAAATTTTAATAAATTTTTAATATTGTAATGATAATTTTGTAATTTTTTATATTTTAAACAAAATCTCATGTGTAACTTAAGAATAATTTTTGTATTTTTTAACTATTTAATTAACATTTAATCAAACTAATTTTATTAGTTAGAGCATTCAATAAATAATTTTATAAATAAAATATTCAAAATAGATGTAATATTACAATTTAAAGTATTTAATTGATCGAAATAAAAATAAAAAGTGCCATAATACTTTTTATAAAATTTAGATATATTTGACTATATATCAACAAATACATTATTATTATTATTATTATTAAATCTCAAAATAAACAAAAATAATTATTATTGATCTATATTAATGAATTTCACAGTTTATTTAGTCCAATAGCTCCCAAATCTTTCTAAAAACTTTGAAGAGTACGAATCGGGACATTTATAATTTTATACGAGTATAATTAATGTAAAAAAAAACTAAAAATTTAAGTAAAACAAATGATAAAAAAATATAATTGTGTCAGCACGCTTCCCGAGACGCCTGAAGGTGGTCAGAGTTACTGTCTGCGAGGGTAAAAACGGAGGGATGGTCTTGCGAGTGGGCTACGCGACTTGCCCATCACCGAACAAAAGAAAGAGTACTGTTTCTGCGGCTTCTGACGAAGGGTATACTAGTCTTTTCGATATTCTCGGCATGGATAAAGACAACCGACCAAAAGCACCTTGAACAGTACAAAAATTTTTTTGAAGTGCATAGGAAGCCGGTGTGCTGAGAAAACATGTAAGAATATGATTGGTCAAAGGGAAAAAAAAAGAAGGAAAATTTTATTTTTTTTACTGTTTGTGTTTCAAATTTTTGACCCATTTTTTCCTCTCCTCGAAAGAAGAGAGGGCTACCTGAAATGGCATAGCTTGATTGAAACCTGCCATTCAAAATCTTTCCATGGTCACAGCCTTGGCCTTGTCTCCAATGGGTTGGCCCTTGCAGTTTTTGGGCCCTGTTACAAAGATATGAAAATGATCTCTTTTGACTAATACCAAAAAAATTAATTTATATAAATTGTAAAATTAAGTTAGAGATCGGATTGTTTTAAATTTAGCAAGTAAATCCAATTTAAATTGAAGACAACACTAGTAATTAATATATCTTTCGTGACAGAGAAAACTCGAATTTGAAAGTATTTTCTCTAATGATAATTTTTGTAACAGAAAAAATTTAAATTCAAAATATTTCATTCTTTATATTTTATAAAATAGATAAAAAAAATCAACCGAACTCCAGTAGTTTAGATTATTATTGCAAAGACCTTCGGTTTGAAAGTACATGGCATTTTAATTTTTCTTTTCTAAAAGCAGCAATATCCTTTCTCACAAGTCATTATCATGTACTTGGTTAACAATTAGGGTCCCAATCAACAATAGATAATTAAAATTTTAAGAATAGAATATTAGTGAATGGAGCAGCTTTCTAATAGTTTTAGCATACAAATATGCATATCTTTAGCATAGTTGGGCAAAATTTCAAAAACACCCCCACCCCCATACATAGAATATTTCAAATGGATGCTTAATCCTTGATTGTTAATTATTCTGAACAATAATACCCAAAATAAGGGAATTAAAGATTCCCACTTCCACTGATGTCTCTTAACCTCTCAACAATCAAAGTAACAACATTTACTTAGAGAATATTGAAATGCAAATCATATTTTTTAAGCCAAGTTATTGAGGCATCCAACCTAAGAAATGTGCCTAGGAACAAAAATATATGTATGCATATAGGAATTCAAGGTCAAGAATATACCTAGAAAAGAAATTGAAGTATGTTTCTTTTTTCCTTATTGTTTCTAAAGCATGGTTCCCATGAATTCCATGTGGGAATTAATCCTAGTTTATGAACGGTTCGGATCAAGTGCCGATCTTCGACTTTTTATAACAAGAATTATGCAAGTAAAAAGGAAAGTCATTTAACATTATAATACATATATCAGGAATAAGAGAAGGAAGAAAAACAAACCTACGTATATACTACAATACAGCACATGATTGTTTTTCTAAAGAAAAACAGGTTTAAGTGGAAGAACTACTATAAGTTTATACAAAAAAGAGCAATGGACTAATTAGCTTTCTTATCTGTTGGTTGGGATTTATTTGCAGCAGCAGAGCTCTTGTCCTCCGCCATCTTCGAGTGTATTTCATTTCTCTCCTCCTCGAAGTACTTCTCAAATGCCCGAGGAAGGAATCGAGGAATCAAAAACCCGAAAAGATTGATCGAAAAATATAACAAGTTGGTTGCTGCTAGGCCCCTTCCAAGCCAATACCAGGAAACGTCCTGCGGAAAGAACATCAAATTTCTAGTAATTTCTTGGCAATGCACACTCCCCAAGTAAGCAACAGTCGATTTTATTGAACCTTAATGGAAAAACTAGTTGAATTAGGCCATAAAGACTCATGGTCGGTCACATTAAATTTAGTTAGTAGCAAAATAGGACTACTGACTTGTTCCAGCTTCGAATATGGAATTCAAAGGGATCAAATAGGAAATGATACTCTGAATCATGGGATTATAATGAAATTTATGATCAACCAACATTTATCAAATTTGAAACAGAGTCGGTACAGTAACGAATACCTTGATCTGTGCATCAGCTGGTAGAGTTTTGTTAATCCACACATCACGTATCCAGTCAATAAGAACAAAAATCCTCCTCACAGTATAAAGCAATGGCACTAATGCTCTCACTGGAGGCGAGAACAATGACAACCCACTTATTATATTCTCAGTAAGTATCTGAAATGATAGCAAGAACAAGTGAGGTGTCGCTGACCGAACAGCATAACCATCGCCTCTAGCAAACCCTCCTAATACATATGCCAGTGGCAAGAACAGGCCTATTGATGTTCCCACAATAACATAAAACCTAAAGAATTTGGTTCCTTGAAAAATCTCTTGAGAGCCTGTATTGGCTCTGCCATGTGTAGGAAAGGCCCATCGAGCTAGGATTAAAATGTAAGTGGAAGCAAGAGCTGGGAACACCAAATCAAGAAGTGGAACAAGGCCACTAGCTGAGAAAACCATTATGAAAGCAACTAGTTGGAGTTCTATTACTCGCAACGATCCCATTATACCCCCCATCATCGCCTGCTGTTGCTTTTCTTTGGGATTTGCAGGTTTAGTTGTAGTACCATCAAGTTCACTTCTAGCAGCTGTAGCCAGAGATACACCGGACATTTTACTTCAATTTGGTCGAATGTGTTCTTCTTGTACTGTTTTATGTTTGTATTATGAGATCAACTTACTGAAATTAAAAAAGAAAAAAAAAAGACAATTGTCTGAGAATAGAAGCACACAACAATTAATTAAATATAATCAAAGAAAATATATCTTTTATTAGAAAACTGTCACCAAATTCAAGCGATGATCATATGGGTAAATTAACATCTATACAGACTTGGGATTTGAATGAAATGAAGTAAAGAGAGATCTAGAGAGCTTTTCCAGTCTTTTTGAATTCTTTATCCATCATCCAAGGCCATAATCTAGCTATAATATATAACACTCAAATATCAGAAGTTGGAAATGTAAAATTTAAATTTATATATGGTTTTCCCTGAATGGAAAAAGAACAAAAAACTTACAAGAGATCAAAGAGTTGAAGAAAGTTAAAAATCAAAACTTCAGAACCTAATGCCACACTCTAATCACAGATATATAATAAATTGTAGAAAAAATAGCTTAACGACAAGTTCTAATCTATAACAGAAACGATAGAATGATTAAAACAAAAATTTCTCAAGAAAAAAAGAACCCAGCACAAAAACAAGTCCAGTTGAACTTACTGAGGATTCCTTCAAGTCCTTGGCCTCTGAACTGAATACTCTGTGGAAGGATCATAAAGAATTTGGCTTTTCAGTTTCAAGGTAGAAGGCGGTGAGTAATGGTATCAAGTGTTGCTTCAAGAATGAGCCACGTGGCTGACATGTACATGGGTTTCTTGCACACTCGTCAACTCGTGTTTCTGTGAATTTTTGAGTTCATCAGGTTCAATTTCCAAGGTGGTGAGTAATAAAAGTTTCTTCTCATCTATTAATCAAGGGAAAAGTTTCTCTTCATTTTGATTATTAGTAGTTTTTAATTTAAAGCCCAAACCATAATTATTTATGGGCCAAAACACAAGCCCAAATAAAGTCCATGGGAAAATCAACAAAATTGTGCAAACTAAACTCCAAAGTTGGAAATGAATTTATTTACACTATATAAATAAGAAAATGGACAATTTGGAATTTGATTTCTTATATGGAACGTTATTCATTAGTCTTGATTTGATAGAAAATTTACAAGTGTGGATGATCCAAATAGGGAATTTCTATAAGACCTAAAATCCCAAGTAATTACAAAATTTATTGTTTGAAAAGATTTAGAAAGTTCTAAGCTTTCTAATCCTATATATTTCTAAACTTAAATCACTTAGTATCATCTCAGCTTGACAAGAAAAACTAGCAATGGGAAAGGTAAAGAGTAAAAAAGTTTTGTTTTTGTATTATCATAGTTTTTATCTTGAAAGCTTAATTTTTTATTTAACCTTTTTTGTTTGGTTTCTAGAATAACAAGAACCAGCAGAACTGGAAAAATGGGGGTGATGGAGGGGAGAGAGTTGAAGAGAAGAATGAGGAAAATAAAGGAGAAAAGAAGAATAATAGTAAAGAAGTTGTTCTTCAAGTTTACATACATTGCGAAGGATGTGCTAATAAGGTTTTCAATTGTTTAAAGGGATTTGATGGTAATTAATGGTTTCTTAATTCATATTTATGTGTTTTTCTCTTTCTTTGTGATTGTCTTTTGGATTACTAATAATACGAAAAATATTTTTGACACGACTTAATGTTAGATCCAACATGAGTGAAAAGACCGTAATGTTTTTAAAAAACTTTTTAATAGTTTAGATATTACGGATGTCACGTTAAGCGTGTAATTGTAAATGTGTACAGACGGTGCCAGATACAACTTATGTGATTTAGTAAAGTTTTCAATAATATTAATTATTTTGACAGTTTTGATTGATAAGTAGGTGTTGAAGATATTGTAATTGATAATGCAAATCAGAAAGTGATTGTGAAAGGGAGAAATGTGGATCCAATGAAGGTTTTAGGAAGACTTCAAAAGAAGTATAGTAGAAATGCAGAGTTGATTTCTCCCAAACCAAAAGTAAATGATCCTAAAGACAAAAAACAAGTCCAAAAGAAAGAAGAGGTTTGTGGATTACAACCCTATTTTTTATTATTATTATTATTTTTTTTAATTGGTTATTTTTAACACTTTCTGCATTTGTTTTCTTTTTCCTTTTCATGCAAAATTTATATAGCCTAAGATGAAAACTGTTGTGCTCAAAATGCATATGCATTGTGAAGGCTGTGCATTTGATATCAAGAGAAAAATATCAAAGATGGAAGGTAAATTTTCTCTCTCTCTCTCTCTCTCTTTCTTTTAGTTAATGTAAATATAATTTCTTTTTTTAATTTTATTTTTATTATTATTAATTATTGTTCCATTTTGTATTGTAGGAATCATGTGTGTGGAACCAGATATGAAAACATCATCATTGGTAATAAAAGGATTGTTTGATGTACCAAAACTAGTAGAAAAGATTACAAAAAGATTGGGAAAACATGTAGAGATTGTGAAGCAAGAATTTGAAGACAAAGGAAAAGGAAAGGATCAACAAAAAGACACAGAACAAGAAATTAAGGTTTATCCACCTCAGTACCATGTCCAATATATTTATCCTTCTCTGCTTCTGAGTGATGAGAATGTATTTTCATGTTCAATTATGTGATTTGAATTGTTTGTAATGGGTTTATGTTGAAGAACAACCTTTTTTTAAAAGATTAAATGTTTTTGAATTCCTAAATTATAGTGAAATTAATACTTAGATCCCTTAACATTTGAGAAATTATAGAAATTATTTTAAACGACCTAAATTATGCTACCGTCAAATATTCAATTCCTTCCATCTAAAAAGCTATCTATTTTCTGTCAATGTGAACAAAAAAAGCGATAATAACCTTTATTTAACTTTCTTCCAACCCAAACACAAGCGGCTCTAATTTCCACCATCATATCCCAAATTTTCAGAGCCCCAGGCACAACTCGCTTGGGAAGATAGAGCTGCAAGTGAAGGTGAAGATGCACTCATTACGCAGTATGAACTCTTGGGCTCATAAGGAACTGTATGTGCAGGAGATTTACTCATTGCATTCCATGAACCTTCGCATCCTGCTGATGCAAAATCTACCCGGCCATTAGAAAATTTAGCTGATGGAGGTATCACCTCTCCAGGAGATGCCATACCTAATGAAAAAGAAGGGCTTGTTCAAGTAGCAGTCCACCTCTTATTTGCCAGCACTTGAACTGATTCAGAGGCTACAAGCTTCTATTCCCAGCTTCTGTATACATTGGCAGTGCCATTAATGTTTTGGCGTAATCAAAATCCTGCTCATTTCTTCTCTATTGTATTGCAATCGAGGACGATGACATGGGCTTTCTTCAAACCTTTGCTTTCCTTTAATGGCTATTCTCATCTCTTCTTGTGTGCCTTTTCTCGTTGTGGAAGGATTTTCAGTCATCGCCCAAACTAAAAAGTAAGCCGCAAATGTGTGATCTCTGCAATGAACATGTCCTGATGATACCAAAGCAAAATTATTAGAAAAAAAAAACAAAAAAATTCCATAAGGGTATAGTTTGTCATTTAACAAATTTCTCTCTCATGTACATTCCATTTTCATGCCACGTTAACAGAAAATAAGTATTTTTATAGACAGACGGACTTCAAATTTGGACCATAGCATAATTTATATTTTTCAAAATAATTTTTTAAATACATATATAGCCGTTATCCGCTGTTAAATTTTTAAAATATCGGTTTATATGGTATCGCAAACTAACTAGTGCCACGTCATTTATTGACCGTTACACTGAAAGCGCGGCGAGAGTTACTATTGTGAGTAACGCCGGCCAGAAGCGGCACTTACGAGCTCGTGTACATACAGGTTTGACCAATCCTCATTGGACAATCTCAACATGCGGGTCCCATTGCATGCTGATTTGTCTATAGCCAATTGGCCCATGTTACCTAAATCACTTACCCACTAAAAACATGCTAGGCAGATTTTTGCCAACTAACTCCAACGTATAGTGGAGAATATAATAAGAAAAATATTTATGTCTGGCTCAAGTTTGCCATCCACGGTCCACCAGCTCACGTTAGCATTTCTCAGCCTCTCCTCCTTGAGACTTTAAATCCTCCAGATTTTGACACGTGCCACGAGAATTCTCTCCCGCCTCGCAAATCTATCCGTTAACCCTAATCTATCATCTCTCTTTCTCTTTCTTTCTCTCTCTTCTGGAGGTCTCTGCAACTCTTCTCTCTCTTCCATTGAAGGAGAGCAAGATAAGGAAAACAAGGAAACGAATTTGTTTTTCCTTTTTCTTTATATATAAAAGAAGAGAGGGTAAATGGGGAAACTACTATGTGATTCCACGGCCGTTGCGGAAACGACATTTCAACCTTCGTCGCCGGCCATCCATTGGAGAGACACCAACGGGGCTTCTCTTGAAGCCGTTGATCTTGTATCGACCACAAATACAACCACGTGGGATGATGTGATTGGTCTAGAAGATCAGCAGAGACGCCATTTACAGAAACTCCAAGCCAAAGGCGTGCTCTGGAAGCACCCTGGGGATGGTGATAACGACTCTGCTTCTTCGTCTCCTCCAAGATCGGTGGTTTTCAGGTTATCTCATGGGGGAGAGGTGTCGGCGGACGGGAACTGCCTGTTTACCGCGTCGCAGAGAGCGATGATGGCCCGTGAGATGGACGCGCGGGAGCTGAGGAGGCGGACGGTCCGGCGGTTCTCGGAGGACTTTGGATCCGCGCATGAAGAAGACAAAGAAAAGATAAATGATGCTGTTAAACACATGTATTCGCCGGATCTGAAAAGCGGGTGGGGGATTCATGTGGTCCAAGAGGTCAAGCTGTTGGCCAAGAAGGAGGATCGTGTAACTTTGGATTCGGCGATCGAAGAGCTAGTTCAGCTTGGGATGCAAAGGTGAAATTCTCAGATCTGTGTATTTCGTATAAAAGTTGGGATCTTTATATAGGTATTAGAATATATATAAGCATTTTTTTTTTTTTTTTTTTTTTTTTTTTTTTTTTGATTGTAATGGCTTATGCATTATCTTTTAAGGGGAATGACAATATCATATTATGGGAGTCTGATATTTTATTCTAGTATGTTTTCATTTGTTAATTGAAACTTTTCTAGCTTGGGGAAACTGGGGGAACGTACAGATGGCTGTAATTTTGATTAGTTCAATTGGTAAAGCAATTTCGCACCATCAATGCTTAATCTAGTGGATGGCATACAGCTATTACTGCTCTGCATGCTTGTGATTGGTTTCAGTCAATGTTTCTAATAGGTAAGCAGTACTCTCTCTATGAAATATATAACAACTATTTCTTTCACTTGTACACAAGAAGGTAATGGTGAATCCTTGTGTATCATTCATCAGCTATTTATATATCCTATTTATGAAGTTGGCCAAGTGCTGTAGTTGATCCTTATCAGTAACTTTTCTGAGTTGCTATTCTGTTCTAAGAACATCTTGTATGTGCTTTTGTTTCCAATTTCCATGGCCCTGTGTCTTGTAAATTTTTCTTGTTGATTGATCTTCAACATGTAGCATATTATGCTATTAGGATACTGTAGCTATGATTATAGATGCTTACATTTTTGTTTTTGCAATTGACATTTGGTGTTTGGCCCCTGTTTTTAACCCTCTTGATGTCGGATTATATTAATGCATAGAGAGAAAGAAGAAAGGAAATTCTACCTGATTTCCATGAAAGCCTCGCTTCACTTCTTTCTTTAGCGTGTTTGATTAATTGATTTGAATTTGATAGGCCATTCAAATTTCAATTTTTGCTTTCTCGGGATATAGAAGTTCTGTGATTAATCACTTTCATGCGGTGAATTTTGCGGTGGTAAAAAACACATATTGTTTCTAATTTAGCCTTTTCTTGTTCTGCTAATACAATTAAGGTGCAAGCACATGGATCTGATGCGATGGTTGATGAAGACAATTGTGTTTTCTTCCTCCCACACCGCCCAAGGAGTGAAATTTGTGAACTTCCCTTCTTTCTATTTATGAAAGGAACAGGTAATATGCGACTCATTTGCCACACATTACAATTCAGTTTTGTACATATGTTTGTGTATCTGTCTTGAATTTCAGCTGCTTTATACGTTGGCTATCAAGTGATATATCTGTACTTATTTATATGCAGGTTGGTGTGGTGCTGGAGCAGATCATTACGAGCCATTGATTGCGCATCCTTCTTCTCTTGTTTCCAATGAAAAGGTTGCTGTAGTACTTTGAGGGCATTGTCCTGTAGTTTTGTGGCTTAGAGAGATTGAACAGAAGTAGTTTTATTTTTTTCCCCCTCATACAAAATTCAATTATCCAATGTTGTTAGCCTGATTCTTTTTCGGATCAGGAGGATAATTTTTTCTTTTCAAATTGAGGTCATGTAGGATTGATCATTTTGACACTAGATTTGCAGGTTTGTTTTCTGCAACTGAGGCAGTCTTGTAGCATTAGTAATGGTTTTGCCGGCTTCGATTATTGTTGGTGTTGAGTTTTTTTGAGGGTGCTTGAGTTGTCTTAGGGTACTATTCTATCCAAGCTGGAATAGCACCATTCTGTTGTATCCTGATCTGGATTAATTACATTCAGCTATAGATTCTAGAAGTGAATTCTTGTTCATTTTCATTGTTTGATGGATTTGTTCAATAAAAATTCATCTATACAGTTTTGTAAGATTCCCTTCTCTGGTCTTTTTAACATTTTCTAGTGATGATGTACTTGTAAAAATTTAGTTGCAATTATATCCATTTGGTGAAATTAAAAATAATATATTCTACTATAAAATTTTTTTAAAAATTACTCACAGTAGTAGTGCCTTGCACTACTATTTATTTTCAGCAATTCAAGAACAGCAGTAGCTTTTAAAGCAGAATTCTTTTTTCTTTTTCGTAGGTTGGGTTGAACATAATGTTCGAATTATAAGCTAAATGCAAATTAAAAAATTTAAATTAAGCAAAATCCAATTATGAAAAACAAATTACATATACTCTTTCCGTCCCAAAAAAATTATTTTCTTTTTAGTTTATTTCAAAATATAGTCCACTTTTTTTTTCACATTGTAATTAATTCTTGAATTGTCTATAAATTAAATATATTCTTTCTGTCTCAAAAAAATTGTCCATATTTTCTTTTTAGTTTATTTCAAAATATAATTCACTTTTCTTTTTTTATTGTAATTAATTTATAAATTGTCTACTGTACTCTTATTAAATTATTTTTTTTTTCATAAATATTCATGCATTCCTTAAAATAGGTATAATAGAAAATTTATATAAATAAAATTATTTTTTAATTATATTTTTTAACGTGTGTGAAAATAAAAAGTAAAATATTTTTTGGGAGGGACTCAATAATTAAAAGTACGTTTCTGTTAGTCAATGGTTGGCTTGAAACTCGACAGTAGTTGACTGGAACTGAGTCAACGTCGGGAAGGGAGATAAAGAGGAGGAGAAGAAGTGCAATTAAGGAAAGAGATAGCAAGTAATAGTTAATGGGAATTTGCTGGAGTTGTTCAGCTCACGACGACCGATACCCACCTCTCAGCTCCGTCGATCATGTTTCCACTGGTAAAAGTTTCAGATTCTCTCTTTTTGTTGAAAATTGATGCTTTTTTATTAAGAAAAACAGAACCAGATCAATTTTTTCTACCTCTGTGACTTCAAAGTTGTAAACTTTCAGGTAAACTGTCTAGCGGCAGTGGACTTCAAGGGACGAGCAAAAGCCTAATATCATGGATATCTCAACCAAGTAGCAGTTTTACAGCTATTTGGGGCAAAAATAGCCAAATTACAGCTTCAACTATAAGAGAGGATGAAGCTTTTGATGATGGGCAAACTGTTATCAACTCAGATTTGAGGATTTTTACTTTTGCACAACTGAAGGCTGCCACTTATAATTTTAGACCTGATATGGTTTTGGGAAAGGGAGGTTTTGGTTCTGTTTATAAAGGCTGGCTTAAGGAGAGAGTGCCGTCAAGAGGGATAAAGAAGACTGCTGTTGCTGTCAAGAAATTGGATTCTAGAAGCATGCAAGGAATTAAGGAGTGGAAGGTATGTGTTTTGCAATGTGGTTTCTTTTCTCGAGTCACCAACTTTATATATATATATTTAGAACTTTCTTTCTTTGCTCTTTGTCCTGAAAGATGGAGAGAAAAAGAGAATTTTTTTTATATACAGTGATGATTTAGTATGAATCTTGGTTTGAATGTGCACAACTTCTGCTTCTTCACCGTGCTTTATAAAGAAAATATAGAACTGAAGCAAAATTGGGGAAGACAACAAACCAAACGGACAAACTCGAGGGAATGATAATAAGTAGAGGCTGCATATTATTTGTGGCCTATTAATAGTAAGGTGGTTGATTGGTACAATATTGTTTGTCATAAGACATTCCAAATCAACCTACTAGTCTAATTGGAGATTGGTGTAAAAATGGAGATATTGAAACATATAGCTTGTATCGATTATCTATACTTGTAGAAGATGAGATTTGCTTTGAAATGATAGATGTAGAAATTTCTCATTATTTTATGATGATGGCTAGACAGATAAAGTTCTACTGTTGTCTATACTTTAAGGGTTGGTAAGGTTCCTGAGATCATGATGAAAATTATTGAATTGATAGTTCTTTTTGATGAATTATTGAATTGATAATAATTTTTCTAAGAGGTGTGCTTGAAGAAGCTTGAAGGAAGGATTTTTACCAACATTTTGCGAGAGGAGCAAACAGAATTAGAAGGAAAATAAAGGGAAGTAGGAAGAAAGTGCTTGTAGACAGCACTAATTATTGGGAGCAACCCCAAATTGGAGGTCCAGAACTTATTGAAGTTAACCAACAGTTCTAAAATATGCTGGGTTGATTTTTAATTGATAAAAATGGTTCATTTCTTGTTGCTTATGTTTTGGATAGCTGTTATTGTGTTTGCTGGGATCAACATATAACCAGTTCTCTGATATACTTAGTGAGTTAATGTCCCATTCTTGGTTATACATATAATTTTTACTTGCCAGGCAACATAATCTGATAAGCTTGTGGTTTTCACAGATCGTCGTTGTTATATGCCATAGAACATAGGGTATGATTGTTTCTTGAACAAGATCATATTCTTGCGAAGAGCTTTTAATATTTATTGAGCTATTTCCTTGCAAATGAAAACTGATTCTTTCTTTTAACTGCTATCCTTAATGCAGCAGTCCTCTTATCCTCATTTGTGGTTAAAATTTGTTAGTGTTATATACATATTGTTGAGTCCTGGATTAGGAACAAAAGAGCAGTCACAGTTGCAACGTCATTCATAATTCTTGCACACAAAGTTATGTTATATCATTAAGCTTACTTATTCTTCAAATGGTTGTATAAAAATTGATGTTCTGAACGTTTTGAAGTACAACTCTGTCTCTGCCTCTCTCATGCACTGTTACCCACAGGTACTTATACATGCCTGCTTATTTAGTTGTCCACAAATTTACTCAGGTAGAGGTTCATTTATTAGGAAGCTTATCTCATCCAAGCCTTGTAAAGCTATTGGGATATTGTTGGGAAGATGAAAAGCTTCTCCTTGTCTATGAGTTCATGAAAAACGGAAGCTTAAACCATCATCTATTTAGAAGTAAGAGCTGTTTAGCAGAATTGACTTATATGCACTTTTTTTTTTTTTTTTTTTTTATTTTTTTTATACATGCCTTGCTTATTTAGTTGGGCCACAAATTTACTCAGGTAGAGGTGTCACCTTTATTAGGAGGAACGCTTATCTCATCAAGCGCCTTTATATATATTTGCGAATATTCTGTTGCGGAAAGATGAAAAGCTATTCTCCTTGCTCTGATGATGTTCATGAAAAACGGAACGAAGCTTCACAACCATGCATCTATTTAGAAGTAAGAGCTGTTTAGCCAGAAGTTGAACTTATATGCACTTTTTTTTTTTTTTATTTTTTTTTTTTTTTTTTTTTTAATTTTTTATTTTTGTGTTTATGTGGCCACAACTTGTAATTTACATGCTACATGTCATTTATGTGTGTAGAGCGCTCAGTTCGACCACTTACATGGGACACAAGGCTGAAGATTGCCATAAGAACGGCTCAAGGTCTGGCTTACTTGCACACATTGGAAAAGCCTATAATTTACAGAGATTTCAAGTGTTCCAATATACTTCTTGATGAGGTAAATTTCTAGGAAATATTTTGATTACAACATAAAAAACATAAAAGGAATGCTATTTTTTATTCTTCTAATGGCTTTGGCCTCTATTTCTTGTTAATCTATTGCATTAGCATTGAAGGATTCAAGGCAAATTAATTTCTTTTATCTAATGGTCTTATACCAGTTCAATAACGCAAAGATATCTGACTTTGGCTTAGCCTTCTTTGGTCCTTTGACTGATAATTCACACACCACCACACGAGTTATGGGCACGTACGGATATGCTGCTCCAGAGTACATTGCTACAGGTATGATTTAAACGAAAACCTATTTTTATTTATTATATCTTGAAGCCACATTTTATTAAAATTGGTTTAACAAACTTCAGTAAATTATCCTGAATCATGATATTGATTTCTGCCAATTGATCAGGTCAATTGTTTGTAAAGAGTGATGTATATGGTTTCGGCGTTGTTTTGGCTGAGATGCTAACTGGCTTAAGGGCATTTGACACTAGACGTCCGTCTGGGCAACGAAATCTAGTGGACTGGGTTAAGCCACATCTGATAAATAGGAGAAAATTGAAAAATATAATGGACTCACGGCTTCAGGGAAAATATCCTCCCAAAGAGGCCTCAAAAATAGCTCATCTTGCTGTTAAATGTCTTCAACCGAATCCCATACTCCGGCCATCGATGAAAGAGGTTGCTGAGACACTAGAACAAATTGAAGCTACCAGTGTAAGAAATGTTCATCTGACCAAATAGCATGGCCAATAGTGCTTCATTGTTGTCAGAAATGAAAAGCTTCTGGTAATTGCATAAAAGTTGGTGTAATTAGTTTCCATGGAAATTTCAAGTTCTTGAAGATTGAGTTGCAGAAGTTGCTATTGGATGAGCCTACAGTATATATCCAGCTAGCAGGGGTATACATTATACACTGATCATTTGTTGTATCAACTATCAATAGATTTAGTTCCATGGGGAAATTCTTTTTTTTTTTTTTTTTAATTTTTTTATGTCATAGAAGTGGTCACAGTTATCTGTGCATATGTTTAATAACTGGAGGAGAATAGACAAACTCTACTAATAGAAGCATTTTTTCCCTGAAATTACTCTATTTATCCTGGTAAACATGCAGAGTCATTCTCAGGAGAACTCTGGCTTTTTTAACTCTGTATCTATCCTCTGATTCAGACTAATAAATTCGCCCATTTAGATTGATTCTATGTTTAAACTGATTAGGCACACAACCGGAAATACCTTAAAGATTAAGACTGTGTTCGATAATAGTTTTTTTAAGTATAAAATAATAAAAATTATTTTTTAAGCGTTCGGTATCATAACTTTTGAACTAGCTTTTAGATGTTAATATAATGTTTTATAAAAGGCTAACTCTTGTATAATTTAGCTTTTAATGTTTTATGAAAAGTTATTCAAACAACTAAACACTATTAAAATAATTAATTTTGCCGAATAAATACTAAGAAGAACTTTGATCCATCTCTCCCTCCATTTCCCCTCTTCTTCAAACAATTTACTTCTTCTACAAACCCCAGAAAAGTACTTTTTAATCAAGATTACATAAACTTAAACAACTTGAGCATTAGTGTCAAAATTTTTCTATTAGATTAAGATTTTTAATGAAGATTACATACATTTAAACTATTGACTGAAACATACATAAGGATGCTCAACTGTCTAGCACCTATACTTTATGCAGACACTATATTACAAAAATATGTACTAAAAAGATGAAAGCAATAGCTTTTTGCATGTCACACTCTCCTTTAAAATTCTTTTATGAAGCTTCATTATATATAATTTTTCAAGTGCATGCAGCCTCTCAACATCCATCTCTAGTAAAATAGCAAGGCACTTTCACAAGGGAATCCAAGAAATTTCCTTCTTGCAAAAGCAAATACATACCAATTCATTGAACTCTCTTAATCACATCAATGGCATCAAATAGAAACAACCCAGTTAGTAACTTATTGCTAACTAGTAAATTAATCCAATATTAATTCTTCAAAAAAGAACTTGAATATTAAAAGCATCACTGTCTACCTGCCCAAAATCCACTAGCCTTTCTTTATTACCTCAAATTTTTTTTATTTTATGAACCGGTCATTAAATATATTACTTCAGAGTTGAATATAATCTTATTCGTGCCGTATCAGACGTTTAAGGAAAAGTGCTAACGGGAAAATTTCTCTATTCACAAGTATCAAACATTCGATCTCTTATGAAAATTAAGTCTTTTCCGCTCAGATTGTACCATAAAACTTTAATTTTATTAACTTAGTTGTTTTGTTTTCATCGCGGATGTTGCCTCAATTATAGAGAGTGAACTTGTTTTTTAATCTCCATTTTTTGCACGTGCTGCCTTAATCACAGAGGGAAAAGAAAGGCATGGAAGTTCTGGTAATGCACATTTTCTTCAGAAACTCAAACACTCTCTCTAATTTTGAAGCATGAAAAGCAAGGAGAATAAATAGCTTTCTTTCTATTATTATTACCTTTTCCTTTTCTTTTTCTTTTTTTTGGATTTTTCCTACTGTTAAGTAACATGGAGTTTAAAAGTGATGATATCAGCACAACAAATTAATTTTATATCTCAAATTACCATGTGGTAATCATTTGCTACCATTTATATAAATTATAATTCAAAATTTAAATGTCCTTTAATTAGCATAAAATAAAATAAAAATCTAGAAAACGATGAGAAACTAAATTAAAATATAACTCTTACGAAGTTATTAATTAAAAACATATTTTTAATTATTATATTTGAGAGTGATGCACGCTTAAACCCTAATTAAGACAAAGAATATTTGATTTCACATAATCATTATATAGAGTGGTAATAACAATTTGATGTTAATTAATATTTATTTATTTATTTACAGGTTTGTAGTTAATTAATTAGCAAGTGAAACTGCTCCAAATGGAAAATTCAAAACCATAAAAAAATTATATAATATATATAGTGGAATGGAGGCTAAAAAACAAAAGCACTCAAAATAAAAACACACATTGTGATTTCCCAACCTTACCAATTTTGCTTTTCTTCAAATTTTTTAAAAAGTAATCTCATATATATAAAATAAATAAAGTAGCATCCCACCAAAATATCCTCCACAAACCCTACTTTTTCACCCACTATATATAACTAATTCATCTCATTGCCCTATTTTCAGATAAATGTGAAATCCTCTCTATGAGCCTCAATTTATAACTTCCCAGAAAATCCCTCCAAAACCCACTTGGAAAACCAAAAAAAGACTCCAACTTCAAAAACATGGACACACTGAGCAATACAAAAAAGCTTCAAGCAATGAACAATTATTACAAAATTACTCAATTTCTTCAAAATATTATCGTTGATTTATTTCTTATAGCATTTACATGCAGTTTGCTCTTTTCCTGCTCTTATTGGTTTTCTTTTTTCAAGAAATTAGTATTTGATACTAATTATTACTCCTCCATTTTTAGCCCTAAGTGCTTGTTTATAGTGGTTAATGTAATTGTTTTGTTTCTTGTTGGAGAATCGAAGCTTACTGGTGATTCAAACTCATCTGCAATATATGATGACTATGTTGAGAGAAGTAGAAGCCTTAGAGCCCTCTCAAATTTTCAAGAAAAGATAGAGAATAGCAAACTGGAGTTGATTTCATTGAGTGAAGAGAAGAAGATTATTAACAATATTGTTCAAGATGGAAAAGTGATGGAAGAAGTCACAGAAACCATTGAAGAAGAAGAAGAAGAATATGAAGAAGTTGAGGAAGAAATACTTCAAGAAGCTCAAGAAGTTGAAGAAGAATGTCAAGAAGAAGAAGAAGAAGAGAAGGATATTAGAGATGAAGAAGAAGAGATTGGTTTATTGCCAACTGAAGAGCTAAACAAAAGAGTAGAAGAGTTTATTGCAAGGGTTAATAAACAAAGGTGGCTTGAAGAAGCAAGATTATTAGTCTGCTGTGCTGCATGATATTATCCTTATTGTTTTAGCACTAATTATTATATTTTATATATATATAGATATATATCTTTCAATCAAAACTTGGGTAAATATATATAAATTGTATTAGTTTTTTTTTTTTATGAGTATTAACTTTTATTTTTGAAATAATAAATCTAGTACAATTTTTCCTATTTTCCTTTTTGTAAGATAGAAAACAATCTCTTCTTTGTCCCTTATATATATATATATATATATAAAATAAAAATGAATTTATATTTAAATATATAAAAACAAAGTGTAAAGTTTGCTTCTGGGATATTTATCATACGACCAACGGAAATATGTACTTAAATATAAACTTTGAGACATCAAATCCTTAAAGTTGCAACTACTTTTGTTAGGTTATCATTAATGAGTTTATTTCACATTATAAGTTTGCATTTCTGATCCTTTTAATTTCAACATTGCAATTTCTGACTTGTGACAACAAAAATAAGTAGTGCTATATGGTAAAGGATTGATTTGCCTAGAACTGCCTGAAATGCTAAACTATAAATTAAACTTTAAGTTTGAAGATATAATTTCTGTACCAATATATAAATCTTTCATTTATAACCCAAAAACGATATATATTTTGGAATACATCGAGAGTATTTTTAGAAGGAAACCTAAACTCATTATGTCCATAATATTATATAACACATTGAGTTTTAAGGACTAGAAGTCTAACCTCTATGTATAACCTCGAGTTGTTTTTTTGTTTTCCAACTTCTTTTGGAGCTAAATTATAAAAAGAAACAAGTAATTTCTCCATATAATAATTTCTAAATCCCGATATTATCGGATAATATATTTCGCTAAAATTTGAAAAAGAAACTCACTATAATGTAAAAAAAGAAAACGAAAATTAGCTGGATGATGATATTATTGTACTATTATTTAAAAATAAAATATCTAATTATTGACCTATAAAGTGTGATAGATTTTTGTGATTGGGTCATGGTACTAAGGTGGTATTTTACCAATTTTTTTCTGTTGAGGTGGTGGATTTGAAATTTCAAGGGAATATTGCTCTTTTTTGTTAAAAGGTAAGATGGTATTTGAAATTAAGGTACAACCTTAGATTCTGAGTAGTATCATAAGGGCCAGCCATCATCCACTCTATATATGACTTTGACCCCTACCTTACATGGCTTCATATTCTTTCCTTAGCACCTAAGAGTTTCTTATGGTTAATTAGTCAAGGCAAAGACATAAAAATTTTTAACTCTCCAATGCTAAAATAGGATGACAATGATCTTGTTCTTGCTAATCATAAGTTTTAAGTTTGAATTCTGAGTAATGAGTCATTTTAAATACTTGTAAAGGAGCATTTTACTCCGTATATGCTTGCCTAACGCGAATTTGAATTAATCGGAGTAACAAGCTTTGCATACCGGATAGTTTAATCAAAAAAAAAAAAAAAAAAAAAAAAAAAAAGGTTCTTGGCTATTCTTTTGTGGACTCATACCTAACATAGTAAAATGCAAGCACTCATGTCTCTTTCAATTTTCATCAAATTACATTATTGGTCCAAATATGCAATGGGCTACTAATGAGGCCTAAGCAAAGCATATCGGGGATTTGGATTATTTAGAAGGGAAGAGCTATATTTCACCATGTAATTTTTATTCAATAAATAAAAAATTAAAAGGAGATATATGAAAATCTACATTGATTTTACATCAATTCTACTTTATAATATAATAATACAATAATTATTTCTTAAGCGAAGTTGAGGATTTGATATTTAAGAATATAACAAATATATTCAATAGGAGCGCTTTGCCTTTTAATGGGTCAACTCGATACCAACAGGGTTGAGTCCTAACTTAGTAGAGCGTGGAAATATGTGATGAATAGAAAAAAAATTTCTAACGAGCCATTGATTTATGTTATGCTAATCGTTTTTAAATGGGCCTAAATGGAAGGGCCTTGCACTTCTCAAGTACCAAGCTTATGCAAGTTATGTAATCAGATTAGGAATGGAAGTAGCACTTTGACTTCATCCGTTCTAGTCTAGACAATTTCTACTCAGCCGGGCTTCAAGCTTTCTTGGATTTGGGCCAGAGCTGTTATTTGAGCCCATTAAGAAGTTGACTCTAAAACCTTAACAAGAAGCATATGCCCAGTCCAATAGAGTGGTAGTAGAGGTGAGCAAACCCTAAGATCGATTCAAACCAAATTGAACCAAAGTTAAAAAATAATGAAGTTTCTAGATGCCAACTAAACTAATATTAGCATCTGAACTGAATTGACTCGAACCAAATAATGATTTTAGTTCAAATCAATCAATGAAAAAAATCGAACTCTCTTGAATAGGTTAACCAAACTGAATTGAAATGAGTCGGTTCAATTTTTGATTTATTTCGGTCAGTAATTTTGCATATCCCTAATTGTAAATGAGAGAAATTCTATTAAAGACAATATCTTATTTGCAATACGTGATGCAGACTCTAAATTTTTAAATCCCTAAATTTGCAAGTAAATTTTAGTTAACAAAGCAATCCATTACTGCTAAGTCAACAGTTAAATAATGGGACTTCAATAGCAACGGCAAAGCTTGAAACCCAAATGACAGAATTTGACTTCTCTATGCAATTTTCATCTTCTTTGTACATTTTTTGTCCTTCTTGACCATTTAGCTCACCATTTTTGCCCTGTAAATAATAACGGTCCACTTTGGACGGTGAAGATGGCACGAGAAAAATGCATATTTTATATATTCACTTCTCGTGGAGGTGCCTTTGTTTGACTGTCTTATTTAATTAATTGAGGCACTCCAAGTATTTATTCCATTTAATTACTTATCAAACATGTTTTAGAGGTATCAATATTTGAATATTCCTCAAATTTTAATCATTCTAATCATTTCATTGTCTTTTTATAATATTATCAAATTAAATTTAAAATGTTTAGCCTAGCCTTACAATAATTAGTATCAATAACAATTATAGATCCCATTTTGTAAAATAATAAAAGAAGCACAACAATCACCCATTAATTCCACATTATTATTTTTTTTGGCATGTTTTATATAGTATTGTACATGAAAAATGAATTATATATTTAATTTAAATCTTAAAATATTCTGTAAATTGTGATTCGATTAATCTTTTAATGTATAGAAAAATAGAAAATTATTTTTATTATATAATTTATTTATAATATTATTTCGATTTATTGGTTAAATAAAAAAAAAAAAAAAAAAAAAAAAAAAAGGAGAAAAAGAAAGAAGATTAGAGCATGCTAATTACTAGTATTCAGCATACCATCACCACCTACTTAGAAATGGAATCAAATTCTTGTGCTACTTGTCTTCTCTCTGACTCACTATATAATTTTTTTTTTTCTTTTTGCTCTTCTCCGCCTTCTCCTCTCTCTAAAGATTAAAACTTTAGTTGTTGTTGGCGAAGACAAAGGGCAGCCTTTCGGAGATCTCAAGGGCCTGACCTCTCGATAATTCCGAAGTTGTTTTAGCATTTCCCTGATAGCCATAGCCATCTTCTATTCATCTCCTTTAGAATACTAATTCCTCACCTCCGTTAAATTTCTTGATTGATTGACAAAGAAAAGGAGGTTAATCTAGAGGGAGTAATTCAAATATTTAGAAACAGAAATGGCTACACTTTCTTCAATACATTGCCGTTCTTATTCATATTCAAGTTCTTTATTTTCTTCTTCTTCATCATCCATTAATGGACAGCAATTTGAGCGCATAAACTTCTCTTCTTCTGGGATTTCAAAGAGGTTTTTACCAGTTAAGGTCTCCTTACAATCGCAGAAGAATTCTTACCAAGATGTGGTTCTCATGCAAGATGGTTAGTACTCTTGTTTTCTCATTACACCAGTGTCGTTTTAGTTCTCTAGCTGATTTTGGGTTTAGTTTTATGAATTGGGTATGCTTTTTTTTTTTTTTAACATTTTTATTTAGTCAAGATTGGTTTTGGATCGATCGTCAATTTGAAAGAGGTGAATATATGAATTCTTGTGGTTGAAATAGGTCCATCCATATATGAATCTGTGTGGCTGATTTATAATAATTTATCCATTTTATAAAGTTATCAGCTTTAATCTTCCTCCAATCCATTGCTGAAATATTTGCTTGCAAGTTTTATCTTGATTTTGTCCTTATTTGAATTGAAATTTGAGTGTAGGTGCAGTCGCCACTCCGGTAAACCCAGCAGGAAATGAAATTTCTTTCAAGGATGTGAAAGATGGGCTGTTGTCTTCAATAAAATCTGCTGAAGAATTAAGACAAGTAGCTGATTTTGATGCAAATAAAAATGAGTCAACTGTCAGTATCACTGTGGTTGGAGCCTCTGGGGACCTTGCCAAGAAAAAGATATTTCCTGCACTTTTTGCACTTTATTATGAGGATTGTCTCCCCGAGGTTGGTTTTGCGATTTTCCTCCTTTCTTTATAATGTGAAAGCTTAAAGTCAATTAATTTGGTGATTTCAAATTGCTGTTATATTTTATGTTGTTATCAAATCTGTATATTAAGTTATGGAATTATTTGATTGTAGCACTTCACCGTGTTTGGTTATGCTCGGAGTAAGATGACTGATGCTGAACTTAGAGACATGGTTAGCAAGACTTTGACTTGCAGAATTGATAAGAGGTGATTGTAGCTCTTTGCTTCTTAAAATTGTTTTTTCTCTCCCTCAAAGCTCACATGCTGTGTATACATTAATGAAGAGAAGGGATTGGGCGGAGGGGGATTTACAGTATGTATTGATTTTGAAATATCATCTGGGTTTTCAGGGAAAACTGTGGTGAAAAGATGGAACAGTTTCTTAAGAGATGTTTCTACCATTCTGGTCAGTATGATTCTGCTGAAAATTTTGCAGAACTAGACAAGAAGTTGAAAGAACATGAGGTAAGTGTGAGCTGTGGGCCTGACATTATTATTTTGGATCAGAATCTTCACACTTCTTGGAGTACATAGCTACTGAATTGTAGTTGTATCTTTTTGTTGGTTGTGATATTTTGGCATGCAGAGCATTTTTGTTTGGGATTAAAGATGGGGGCAAGTTGGGATTTTACAATTTTCAGTCAACTGTTTGACTCTTGAGAATGACAATGAAATTCGCATATGCAGGGTGGAAGACTTTCCAATCGCCTCTTTTATCTATCAATCCCTCCAAACATTTTTATTGATGCAGTAAAGTGTGCAAGCTCATCAGCTTCATCTGGTAATGGCTGGACCAGGGTCATTGTTGAGAAACCCTTTGGCCGAGATTCAGAATCCTCAGCTGCTTTGACAAAAGCGCTCAAGCAATACCTAGAAGAGGATCAAATATTTAGGTGGAGTTCTGTGCACTTCAAACAGTTTTTATTATTCTGTAAATGTAAGGCATAAACTGATTAATGGTTATTTCTTTTTCAGGATTGACCATTATCTTGGAAAAGAACTGGTGGAAAACCTATCTGTTCTCCGCTTCTCCAATCTTATTTTTGAACCCTTGTGGTCGAGGCAGTATATTAGGAATGTACAATTAATATTTTCTGAAGATTTTGGCACTGAAGGACGTGGAGGGTACTTTGCTTTCTCAAATTGTGGTTAGAGGTTAAAGTCTATTTTGATAGGTTATGGTTTAATTTTTCTACTGATTAAATTAGGTACTTCGACCATTATGGGATAATAAGAGATATAATGCAGAACCATCTGCTTCAAATACTTGCCCTCTTTGCCATGGAAACCCCTGTCAGTTTGGATGCAGAAGATATCAGAAATGAAAAGGTATTGTTATCAGTCTGAAAGTTCAACTTTTAATAATTTTATTCTTTTGGCATTTGTAAGTAAAAATTATTGCCTGTGGGGTTGCAGGTTAAAGTTTTACGATCAATGAGGCCTATTGGACTCGAAGATGTGGTCATTGGGCAGTACAAGAGTCACACCAAAGGAGGAATCACTTACCCAGCCTATACTGATGATAAGACGGTGCCAAAAGACAGCTTAACTCCAACATTTGCCGCTGCTGCCCTTTTCATAGACAATGCTAGATGGGATGGAGTACCTTTCCTTATGAAAGCTGGCAAAGCATTACATAATAAGAGGTGTGTAGCATTTGATACCACTGTAATTACCATGCGGGTTAGGTTACTAACAACTGCTATTTGTCCACTTTCCTCAGGGCTGAGATACGTGTACAGTTCAGGCATGTGCCTGGTAACTTATACAACCGGAACTTTGGAACAGATCTTGATCGAGCTACAAATGAGCTTGTTATCAGAGTGCAACCAGATGAAGCTATCTATTTGAAGATCAACAACAAGGTCCCAGGGTTGGGAATGAGATTGGACCGTAGCAATCTAAACCTTCACTATGCAGCAAGGTAATAAAATCGGATTAATATACTACTGTTTCAGTATTGGTTTACCGATAATCTCAATCTTGGTTTGAACTGAACCAGCGGCATCATTTAAAAATCATAAAAACACGACTTGGACACATTGAACTAATGTTTATTTTGGTAATTCCTTAAATTCAACCTTTCAACAAAAAGGAAAATTTCCTTGATTTACATTCTTGCATAAGATTTTCTTGTTTATCTTCTCCCAAATTCTGATTAACCTTGATTGCTCCGTGAATGGGATTGTTTTATTCTGAATGAACTTGGCTGGTGTCGTGATAGATACTCAAAGGAGATTCCAGATGCATATGAGAGGCTCTTGCTGGATGCCATTGAAGGGGAAAGAAGGCTATTTATCAGAAGTGACGAACTGGACGCTGCTTGGTCATTGTTCACTCCCGTTCTGAAGGAGCTTGAAGAGAAAAAGATTATACCGGAATATTATCCATACGGTAGTCGGGGCCCTGTTGGGGCTCATTATCTGGCAGCAAGATACAATGTAAGATGGGGTGACCTTGGTGTAGAGCAGTAAATCTGAAAAATGTTGTTTGGCATTGCTATTGAAGTAGGATAGGGAAAGCATAGAGATTCTTGATTCTTACTGTGTTTTTATAAAGGAAAGGCTTAGATACAGAATTCTCATAAACAAACTCCATTGGAGCTCAGCAAAAGCACAATGTATCAAGGGACATAAGGATTTTCCTTACCACATTTGAGTTGCCACATAATCAACGTTGTACTTCTCCATGATGGTAAATTACAAGAAAGTGCACTCAACGTTTCCTTGTAGTCTGCCCATAAAAGGGAAAAATTTTTATGGACAGGAGAACTTTTCCCTGCTACCTGTAAAATTTGTAACTTCAACGGAAAGGGTAAAAGTAAAACCTTTTCCTTGTTCAATAAAGCTGAAAGACATTATCTTCTATGACAAACAACATAACGTATCTTTGAACAATCTAGATTCAAAAGAACAGAAAACAATTCCTATTTGGTACCTGCCACAGATTGTTTAGGGAAGTTGGTTGAACACCAACTTCGGTTTTTGTTAATATTTTGCAACAAGCAATGTGCATAATAAGCTTTCTTGACCATGCACGTAAAGTTGACCAAATATACAGTTTACTCTAGCTCATCCAACTGCTTCTTAATGGAAAATTTAAGAAAATTTTCTTTATTTTTGTTTTTGTTATACATGTTATTAATAACTTCAAATAATAAAAATTGCAACACCAACCTCATAATTGAATTCCAAATTCAGTTGGAAGTTGTTTGCTTCCATAAATGTGAAATTGTAATAGGATAAAATTGATGGGAGTGGTTACAATATCTAAAAACTCTAAAACCCACTTGCAATTTGGTGAGCTATGCCACATATATATACATATACATATGTTAGGTTGTATTCTTATGTCGTATACATCTTTTGGAGACAAGTTTATGAGTATATACATTCATGTCTTCTTTGTCTATACAACAGATAAAATTGTGTTTAAGAACATGTCCATGTGCTTACCTCGCCTATTTTCAATCATACTTATCAGAACCAAATTCAATTGGTTGTATAATTATTCATTTATTTATGAAAATAATGAAAAAAAATAAAATAGAATGACATATAAAATACCTTATACTTGATGAAGTTTTGCCAAAAAACTTTTTTTTTTTTGCTAAATTCAAGATTTCTGTTAGTAAAGGAAAGGCAAATGAAGCTTTACAGATTGTTCTTTTCTGTTGCTTCATGTATGGCTTATATTCACATAAACAGAAAGTGTTTCACTACCAGAAAATCAAGATTGAATATCAATTTTAGGGATTTTATTTTGGCAATTTTATTAATTTTCCATAGTGGAGGTGGAGAGAGTTGCTGAGATTGAGCTATTTTGTCCATTTAAGTTGGACTTGAAAAAAAGTTCAAAAAAAAAAAAAAAAGAGTGGAGGTGAGAGGAAGAGTTGCTGAGATAAGCTATTTTGTCCATTTTAGTATAGGACTTGAAAAAAAGTTTCAAAAAAAAAAAAAAAAAAAAGATAAAAAAAAAAAAAAAAAGTTGGACTTGAAATGTAAATTTATAATTAATAATAATAATAATACTATTTATAATGTTTATCCTCTCACTAGAACCATGTCATCATCCACCATAATTAAGAACAATAATTATATTTTTGAACTGAGTTCTTTCACTGTCTATAAACTCAATAACAAACAAATTTAATTCACACATAATACATACTACTTGTTACTAATTTAATATTAACTACACTATGGAAGAAAGTAATTTTTTTTCACCAACTTCTACATTAACGAACGAGAGTTATTTTTGTCGATCCCGATATATTTATAAGTAAAATCTATATGATATTTCTATTCATAGAGTTAGCTTCTTTTAATTTGATTTCGATAAATCTATATGTTCAATCAGGAAAAAAAAAAAATCTAAAATGGGTGTGCTAAATCACATGATAAATAATCCAATCTTGAAAAATTATTTCTCCTTAAAAGAGAAAAAATTGTATGAATTTTGAGTCAACTTCTAATAGTACTCAATCTCTTTATGAATTGGAAAAAGAAATGAAACTTTATAGAAAAACAAAAGCTTTTCACCCCCTAGAGGCTAAAGTCATGGAAGATAACATTTTCTATAAAACCAACTAAAGTAGCATTATTATTATTATTATTATTATTATTATTAAAGTTTAAAAATCAAGTGAAATTTGGTGATATGTCAATAGAGACATTGAAAGGGCCCACCAACTTGTCCCCAATAAGAGCAGCATATATATCAACTTGTTCCCAATAAGAGGCAGCATATATATATATATATATTTTATATATATTAATCCACACAAAAACCCAATCCATTATTTTTCATCAACCCAATTGATTTCATCTTCTCCTTAAAAGAAAAGTCTTTGAAAATAATTTACATGTAGCTTTCAAACTTCAACACAATAATTGATATATATATTAATCACACCAACCCATCCATTATTTTCATCACCAATTGATTTCATCTTCTCCTTAAGAAAAGTCTATTGAAAATATTTACATGTAGCTTTCAAACTTCAAACACAAATAATTGATTTTTATGATTGTTTCTTTTTTGATTTTTTGTAATATAATATTAATTAATTGTGTTTATCTAGATTTAGGGTTCACATTAAGCATTGACACATTGCACTACTTGAATCACAAGGTGAGCATTATTTCAACAAGAAAGATTTTATTGGTTTTCTAGTATCTTTCCTAGGCCTTGAGCACCCAAAAAAAAAAAAAAAAAAGATTATTTAAATCTTTTTGTCTTGTTAATTATAGTTTTTAATTGTAAATTCTACAATTATAGTGGAAAGTAAACTTATTACTATAACATTAAAAACAAAAGTATTACTAAGTGAGTCAAAAAATTTCCCATTCTCAAGTTGTTCTTCCAAAGAACATCAAAATGGAGTGAATACTAAGCTAAGCTAAGCTAAGACATAAAAATAGACATATCCTTGTCATGAAATGCATACAAAAAACATGAATTCATGTCTTTCACAACTTTATATCAAGAAAATGATCCCTCTCTCCTTCTCCCTGTCTTGCACACCACATGTTCAATCACATTGGCCCATCAACAAGATTGAATTGTCATTATTATTATTATTATTATTATATTCTCTTTTAAAAAATAAAAATTAATATTATTATATTATAATGTAGCTTTAGCTTATAGTTGAGTTATGCAATACTAATGCCAAAACATACGCCACAACAAACGATTTAGATTAAAAGCTAAAAAAAAAAAGGAAAAATGACTTTATTCCTATATTTTGGCATAATTAATTACTTTATCATTGCATTTTAAAATTATACTATTTTATCTTTGTAATTTGTCTCCGTTAAACAAAATTTCAAATAATGTATAAAAGGATGAAATCTCAAATTTCATGTAAGAGAGACAAGATACAACGATAAAATAGCGTAATTTTAAAATGCAAGGATAAAATAATTAATTATGCTTAAACATATGAACAAAAATATAATGTTTAAAAAAAAAAAAAAAAAGAAAGACAATGGAAATGGAACCTAGATTTGTTTTTTCATTCACAGAGTGAAAGGTAATCTTATTGTATCAGGAAGCAAACCATAGGAGTCACTCGAGGCACAATAGACGGATGATTGCCAATTTGCCATAATTTTCAATGACTACATTTGTGAGAGATAAAACAGGGTTGTAGGACATCGCTTTTATCCTTGTCGGAGGTTTCTGTCAGGGTGAAAACATCAATTTACCTTCTTCAATCATTTCCATTTTCCATTGGCAGATTGCCAAGTCAAATGAATTTAACTTGTTAGCTCAAATCTTGTGCACTTTCTCAAACTCTTCAAAATGTAATATAATATGATTAAATGCATTTTAAATATATAATATTATATCCAGTATCGAAACTCACTGTCCCGACGAGTAAAACTTGTTTGATTTGTGTTAAATTTGGTATTTAAACACTAAGAGGCAGGTGACTCAAATGAATCATTATGGGCAGTGTCATTATTGAAGATGAAAAATATATACTGCCATTTAGTCAAATAAAAGACAAATGCGGTTATCTGAAATCATTTTATTAGTAACTTTAAGTTGAAACTTTGTGATTCCAATGTTTGAACAAGAAGCCAAAAACATTGACAAATAAATTTTGAGAGGACAATAAAGTATATGCCTTTTGAGGTCACATTCCTCAATCAAAGAGGAGGCCTCTGTTTTCCTCTGTTCCCATGAAATCTAATTCAAAAACAATCCCAAATCCAATCTATTTTCTTCAATCCTCCCCATGGCAGAGAACAACAAGCCTTCAGAAATCAAAGATTTCCAAATCATGATTTCAAATAAAGATGATAGCAATAAAAAGCAATTAGCACCAAAAAGAAGCTCTAACAAAGATAGGCACAAGAAAGTTGATGGCAGAGGAAGAAGAATAAGGATGCCAGCTTTATGTGCTGCCAGAATTTTCCAATTGACAAGAGAATTAGGCCATAAATCTGATGGAGAAACAATCCAGTGGCTATTACAACAAGCGGAGCCATCGATTATAGCTGCAACAGGTACTGGGACAATTCCTGCATCGGCTCTTGCAGCTGCAGGGGCCTCTGTTTCGCAACAGGAGAACTCTGTTTCAACAGGATTGCAGACAAAGATGGAAGGGTTAGGACAGACTATTGGGTCAAGAGAAAGGGCGAATTGGACAATGATGACTAGTAATTTGGGAAGATCTAATTTATCAGCTGCGGTATGGCCTTCTGTTGGTGGAATTGGGACAGGGTTTATTTCAAATTCTGGCCAGTCAGCAACCAATTTCGGAAATGAAAGCTCAAAATTTGGATTCCATGGAATTGAATTCCCAAATATTAACATGGGTTTAATGAGTGTTTACTCTATGTTTAGCGGTGCTAATCAACAATTTCCAGGTTTAGAACTTGGGCTTTCCCAAGATGGGAATATAGGGGTTTTGAATTCTCAAGCTTTGAGTCAGTTCTACCAGCAAATGGGACAGAGCCGCCCTGCAGGCCTAAATTCCTTTAATCAGCAGCAGCAGCAACAACAACAAGAAGAACAGCCTCCTGATAAGGATGATTCTCAAGGATCAAGGCAATAGAAAATGGAAGAGCTTTCTTATGATTATATAATAGTTCTTGTCTTCTGTAGACAAGAAATTAGTGAGTGAAAGATTGAAAATGGATCGGAAATGCTCAATAGTTTTCTTACCAGTAATTTCATCCAAAAAGAAGAACAGGTGCTTCTCTTCTCAAGTGAGTTCTTTATATATACGTTACGAAACTATATATTAATATTTTCTTTTGGTTTGTGAGATGCAGGGTGAAAGAGAACTTGGTTTGAAGATTGCAATTTGAGTTTCTTTCATATAAAATTTTTTGCGGAATGTGTTATATATAATTACAACAAAATGTTTGTACTATTAAGTATGTCTGTTTTCTTTCTCTTCTTGCTTATTTGAATCAAAGTAATAATCTTTTTCTTGAATATACAAACTTGACGATGTGCTGTGCAGTGCAAATAGCACCACTCTAATCTGATGATGGCTCCTTTTTCTTGTATATGTGCCTTACACGCGAATAGGAGTATTAATAAGTCAGGCCGAGCCAAGATTCACCGAGTTCGAGCACGGTTTGATACAAGTATATTCAAAGTATATGAGCTTGAAAATCGAGTTTAAATTGAACATGTTTATAATTTATAATTAAAAAGATAATTTTTTTAGCCTTATAACTCATATTAGAGCTCAAACTTGACTGTTAAACTTACTGAATGAGCAGAGCTCAAATGGGATTTTCTTGATCGGACCTTCTACTATCTCACCAGTAACTTGAATCATTTACATGGAAATGAGATATTGCTCGTTTCTATGCGTGGGTTTGTCCTCCTAAACCTTAGCCATGGATAATCTAATATAACAAGTACAAACAGGATTGGCTCAGGGTCCTTATTGTGGTGTGTGGCCTCAACACTAATCCCTTGTTTGGCCCACTTACATTATTTCAGCTCCAATTCAAAGCCATAGCTGATATCCAAAAGCCAATGGCCTTTGACTATGTCTAGTTCTAGTACAGTAGGGTTCTTATAGATGACAACTCTTTCGGCGTAACAATTTTTATACTCAAAATTCAAACTCGAGACTTTTAGTTAAGGAGAAAAGAATCTCAACCATTTCATTCCAACCAACATTGATAGATACACAAAATCTTTGAATCACTGTATGCAAATTATAAGTTTTCTCTTTTATAGGCAATTACTTAATTGTTATTAAAAAAAAAGTTCAAATAGAAAATTGGATAAAATAATATAATTTGAATTTATTTATATATGTATGAATTTAAGTTCTTATATAAAATTAGTATTTGAGACATTTTATTATAAAATCATTTTATTAATAATTTAACAGTCAAAATACCTATTTCATGAGATAACAAATTAAGTATCTAAATCTTAGCAGTTTTTTCACAGGCTTCCAAAAAATATAAATGTAGAAATAGTCAGGCAGGAGATGGAGACAACTGCAGCGGTTGAGGCAAGTGGGTTAATCACAAGTGGCCACAATGGAAGTGGTCCAATAGAGTGGGCTTTTGGACCACTTACACCCTACAAGATAAGTGGATTTCGGTCCATTTTTTAATATACTACTGCCTTCGTTCATAAATAATTATCGCATTTATAATTTTCTCATTCTTTAAAATAGTAATTTAATTTATTAAATTTATAATAAATTATTGAGTAAATTGATTATATTACCCTTATTTACAATAAAGAGAGATTTTTAGAAATTCTAGCAATTAATGTTTGTCAATTGCAAAGGGTGAAAATGAAAAAAGAAAAATTATTTTTTAAAATTAACAAACATAACACTTATTTATGAACATGATATTATTTTCGTAGATGTGACAATTATTTATGGACGGATAGAGTACAATCATACATTTATTATCTATCTATTCAACTTCTGATCTTTTTTTTATTACTAGCTTTGTAAATTTATTAGGAGCATTTATTATTATATTATTACAACTATTATGTTGTTAGATTATTGATTGTTTGTAGTAACACAAATTCAAAGATGTAACTGAATTTGGGTTTCCTAGAAGCTATACTTTCAACAACAACAAACAATTTTCAAATAGCTACTAAGAAGGATAAAAATGTTTAGCTGATAATTGAGTTCCAACTAATAATTAATATCAAAGGGCTTTAATCAGCAGTTAATAGCCGTTGAAAATCTAAATTAGTTGATCATTTTATCAAATTACTGTTGTCAGTCGTCAGCAATCATGATTACTTCTTAGTTAGTATAATCATCTAAATTAAATGGACCGTAAATTAGATTAAAAATTAATCTTTCCTTGATTCAGATAAAAAAAAAAAAAAAAAAATAATAGCCGTTGAAAAATCTAAAATTAGTTGATCATTTTATCCAAATTTATGTTGTCAAGTCGTCAGCAATTCATGATTAACTTCTAGTTAGTATAATCATCTTAAATTAAATGGGACCGTAAATTAGATTAAAAATTATCTTTCCTTGATTCAGATAAAAAAAAAAAAAAAAAAAAAAAAAAAAGAGAACACAAAGAGCATGCAACAATCACACTATTTCATCTAAATTGGGGTGGTTTCCCTCTTTTAAAGGTTTGAGTATCCTGTTGTAGAAAGAAAATTAAATAAATAATATAAAAAAATGAACAACCAATCCCAATTCTTGCATGTGAAAATAGATACCCAATAATCAATGGTACACTATATCATGTGCCAGAAAAGAAGACCAGTCACATGGCTCACTTGGCATAGCAGCAAGGTACTGCCAGGGATCCGGCTCATGGCTTAGAACTTTGAGTCGGTCTCGGTTTTACCGGTTTCGGGCTGATTTGATCTAGATCCAAGTAGATGGCAATGTTTATTTCTATTTTGTTTCAATTCAGTTCTTTCATTTTTTTTTTCTTTGATTGGGATTAGATTGAATTGAAATCGCGGGTTTAATCAATAATTTTAAACTAATTTTATTTTCAAATTTTACACGAGAGAAATTAAAATCCAAAATTTATCCTTCAATTTCATCCGATTCCAAATAATTATTACAAGATCGGATGACATAATTTTATTTGATTCAGCTTTGATTTGATTGAAATCTGAATTGGACCCATTTTACCAACCCTAAGTTGGTCTTTTATTACAAGTTGCAATCTTTACATCCTGGTAAGGAAATTTTGTCACCCTTGCGGTTCCTCTTTATTTCCCCGACCAACTGATTCCCAACATGTTGATATAATACAAGTCAAAAGGGTGTTTTTTTTTTTTTTTTTTTTTTACAAGGTCAAAAGCGGTGTTTTTTTTTTATTTTTTTACTTCGTTTTTGTTTTAAAAGGGGACTAATGCATATTTTTCACACCCATTTATGTTGAAATAATACATGCTTGAGCTCCAAAAGAGAAAACATGACCAGATACTCTTCGAAGGTTTTGTATCAATGTGTGAAATTACTCACATTTTAATAATTCAGTTAGTTAAGTATTCTCTCTCAATGTTCTATATATTAAAACAAATTTAAACTTTATTAATAGACGGACATTGAAATCATCGAAGACGTGAATTGGCATATTTGAGAGACAATACACTATGTGAAATATAGGAATTTGAAAAGGCACAATGAAAAAATTCTTACTCAGTGCATTAATTACATATAAAATCTAATATTACTACTTCGTCTTTGTCACAAAATAAAAAGTGATTTAAGTTCTTTGTATAGGTAGATTAATGAAAAATAATTTAAATCTTCCTAAATAATATTTACCCATGATCCAATAACCTCTCATACTAAGCCCCAACAGAATTACCGATCAGAACACTCCATCACGAACTGTAAGTAACCAGCCCGTCAGCAACGGTCAAAGCTGCAACCGGAAAAGGATGCCCGCCAACCACGCGCCATGACCCGATGTTTATCTGCAAAATATAAGTCGTTTAAGGTTTTTAATTGAGGATTACAAGAAAATAATTTAATTTCCTAATATGATAACAAAACTAAGGATTTTTAATTGATTCAAATTTACTACTTTATCTTCAAAATTGAGGGTTGTTAAATTGTAAATAGATAATATATTATACTCAAATGTAAATAAAAGGTAATCATGAATTTTTTTTTTTTTTTTTTTTTTTCGTTTTTGTTTTTAAAAGGGACTATGCATTATTTTTCCCCATTTATGTTGAAATAATACAGTGCTGAGCTCCAAAGAGAAAATGACGATACCATTTCGAAGGTTGAAAATGTGTGAAATTGAATTAATAATTTAGTAGTTAAGTATTTATCTCAATGTTCTATATATTAAAAATTTAAACTTTATTAATAGACGGTTGAATCAGCGAAAGTGAATTGCATATTTGAGCAAACTTTACTTGTAATATTAGGAATTTGAAAAGGCAAATGAAAAATCTACGCAGTGATTAATATTAAAATTTTATATTACTACTCGTTTTGTCACAAAATAAAAGTCGTTTAAAGTTTTTGTATGGAGATTAAGAAAATAATTAATTCTCCTAAATTATATTTACTTTATCTCAAAATATAAGTCGTTTAAGGTTTTTATGAGGGATTAAGAAAATAATTAATTTTCCTAAATGATAACAAAACTAAGGATAATTTGATCAAATTACTCTTTATCTCAAAATTGAGTGTAAATTGTAAAGATAATTATTATATCAAATGTAAATAAAGGTAATATTGAAAAATTATTATTGTTTAATATACTCAAACGACTCATATTTTATATTATAAACAATTATTTTAAAACGATTTATATTTTAGAACGGAGAGAGTATAAATTAAACTATAAGAATAACTTTCTATGTTTAATAAATGATCAATATTTGCAACCTAACTCAAGCATGTCATAGAAATTATATATATATAAAAAAAGGAAAATCAAAGAAAGGAAAGACAATAGCTCATGCATTACGGATGTGATGGTGCTCAATCTATAGACAACCTAACAACACCAACAAACTCTATCTCTCCAACTTTCCATATGCAAATCACGTGCAAAGCAAGTGGACATGAGAAGTAAGCATTAAAATAAATGTAAGGATGATGATGATGATGATGATGATGATGATGATGATGATGATGGACAAAGGTGGTATTCGAACCTTCTCCTTTCCATTTGTCATTTTTTTGTGGTTTATATTTACCACTTTTGACTATCTCCAATAACAATTGGACACTATAAAAATATACAATAGATAAATCATTACAAGGTTTGTTGGTTAAGATCCAATCCAACTCTTTTTTTATTGCATTCAAAAAGATTATAGAGATTATATGGTAAGTAGAGATCAAATTTTATATTCCAACTATGGAGACACGTGTGAAAAAAATCATTCAAATTTAAATGATTATATATGGTAGCATAGATATACTTGCACATTTCTAAGTAGTACGTCTATAAATGGCTTTTGCGTTATTAGACAAAATTAGTTATTTTAGTAATTATTAGTTATTCTAGTAATTATCAATTATTTTATTAATGTTTCATCAAACGTTAAAGGAAGTAATAGTTCGTAATTTGCTCTTTTAAACACTAAAATCTAATATAAACGTCAGTAAAAACACTAAACACCATGTATGGATTAATCGGATATACGGATGAGACTAAAAGTTATTAGGTATTTTATGAATTATTAGCAACTTTGTTCGATAAAAAGTTATTGCTGAATAAAACTTTACTCTCTTATGAGTCTGGATTTGAACATGGATTACCATTTAGTCACTTTCTTACGGGTAACAAATGCATTTTTCAAATTATGCACAAAAAGTTAATTTTTTAGTGTATGTATATAAGAAAAAGTTAACTTGTGATATAATAAACTGGGAATAGTTTAATGAATTTATATTATAGAACTTCATAATAATAAAATGACACCTATTATGTATCTTTAGCAACTTTATTTTGGATACAACATATTCCTACCACTATGTGTAAATTAATGATTTATATTCCAAGAAGTGGGGATGATGAGGTATAACCCATAACTAAAACCTAATAGAAAAATTGGAGATTTTGGTTTTATTTTTGCAGATAGAAAATTCAGACAATAATTCAATATAATACAGAGAAATGGGGACAAGTGGGTGATTCTTCTATTCCACAAGTTGCCAAACAAATGAAATCAGGAGATTGAAGATGGCAGAGATGTTTTTTAAGAATGGAAATGGAGAGACATAAGCATCCTATACAGCTTAGCAGAATCCTATAGATATGGAAAGGAAAGCTAATGTGTGAAAGAGAGAGAGAGAGAGAGAGAGAAGGGGTACCCTTGATCTTAAGAAATGGAGTGTCTCTAAAGCCCAACAAAATCCAACTAGATTTCAAAATGTTAAAAATGTTCTTCCAAATGGGTTCCTTAAAGCACAGCAAAATCTTATTAGATTTTCTTGTGATCTTGAGAAGGATTGAAAGTTAAGGGCAGGGTGCCTTTAGCTAAGTCCTTTCTTTATGATGCACCCTCTCTATGTTACAAAGCAAGAGATCTTAACGACCCAAAATGGAGAGCTAGAATTTATTACATACACTCGTATGTAATAAATTAAGAAAAATCAATATACCTAATAAGGGATTGACTTGTTTAGACCGCATGAATAATTCCATTAGTACACCAAGTTGGTGAAAATAAGAATTTTGTTGGAACGATGGTATTTTTAATTATACATACATTGCTAGAAAAAAAAAAAAAAAGATAAGTAGGAATAATTTTTTAAAATTTCCTATTTTTATAGATTTGATCGATAGATGAAATCATAAACCTGATTTAGGTAAGTATAATCTACCTGATAATATGTATAAAACTTGCCTCAATCGGTCTATATGCACATTTATGGACCAAATCAAGCAAATAGATAATCTAACTTATGGTGATTAACCCCACGAGTGCTCTTTATTACTGATCTATTCCCGTTCGGATTTAGTTAATGGTATTTTAATAATAGTAATGAGTTTTGTTCCTTTTAGTTTATAATCATAATTGAAATATTTTTGAATTAATTATATTAATTGAAAATTAAATAAATAATTATTTTATTTGCATACGTGTCTTTATGATCGGGCCAAAAATAATATTCAGCTAAAACTTTTCTAATAATGACAATCACAAACTATTAGGAATCCGATGATTTTACAAATAAAGTTGATTTATAAATAATAAAATTTATTCTTAAACTAATTAAAAAATTTTTAAAGTATATTTATCCAGGTTGTTTTAATGTTTGAAAATATTATTTCTAATATTCTTAGAGTATTACTAGTAAATGAATCATAATTTATAGTAAAAATAGATGAGTAAAATGCCAAACTAAGAGCAAGCAGCAAGAAAAACATTGAGCCGCCTTGTGAAACAGGAAAAGGAAAACACACACAACGACCAAATGTTAGGAGGAGGACGAGGTGGATGGGGCCCATCTCACCAGAGACAAGCCAGAATGGCAGTCCCATTTCCTCTTCTTCTTTTCTTTCCTTTTTTTTCTTCTTTAAATTATCATATCATTAAATAATTCTTGAATTATAATTTTTATTTTTAGTCCCTGTTTGTTTGTTTGTTTGTTTTAGCGATGTATTTTTAGTTAAGTGTTAGGTCCCTCCAAAACTCTTCGTCCAACTCAAGAGCCACTAACACAGCCACAAACTGAACTCAGAATCCGAAGGTACAAAGGAAGTGCAGAACCAGAGCTAACCCATTTCTTTGCGTCTTTTAAGGCAAGCTCTGTTCTTTCTCTTGATAAAAATCTCACCTTTTTTGTTTTCATTTTGTTGAAATGGATTGCTGGTCTCCTTCTGTTGCGATGGATGATGAGTTTGAGAAGCTCGTGATTCGGATGAATCCTCCCAGGTATTATTACGTTCATATTTCTTTGGTTTCTTTTTGGACAATTGGGGTTTCATTTTTATCGTCTTATTTTTTTCTTGAATTGAAGTAGGTTTGTTGTGTTTTCATGAAATTTTCATTTCTCCAGCTGAAATGGTGGGGCTTGAATGTTTTAGCCATATGGGTATGTGATTTTGTTTCTTGTTGATGCTTGAGTTGCAGGGTTACTGTTGATAATGTCTCGAGCAGGAAAGCCACTTTGATTAAGGTACTTGTTACAATCATTTGTATATAAATTTAATTTTTTATCATCATCTTATCAGAAAATCATTACTGGCTGAAATTTTGATTCCTTTATGTTATGTCTTTCAGGTTGATAGTGCAAATAAGAGAGGCAGTTTGTTGGAGGTGGTTCAGGTTTTGACTGATTTGGATCTTATAATTCGTCGAGCTTACATTTCTTCTGACGGGGAATGGTTTATGGATGGTTAGTTTTTTTGTCTCGTGTCTTTGATTTAGTTAGTTGTCTCTATAACTCATTGTTATATGTTTGGTTTCTTGTTTTCAATGGTTATTTTGCAGTCTTTCATGTCACAGACCAACAGGGGAATAAACTATCTGAAGATGATGTAGCTGAACGAATCCAACAGGTAGATCGGCAAACCCATTCTCCATTTTTAACATTTTATTTTCAAATAAAGAAAATTTGCAGAAAAATAGAAAGTATAATTCTACTATTTATTAAAGTCTCATCCCTTGGGTATGAAACTACGCTATTCTTCGCATCGAAAAATAATAGGAGAAAGAGGAAGATGCGCCGTATATCTTATAATGTACGCAGGGGTTAACTGCGGCACTATAGGAGTCCAATGTGACTGTGACATTGAAAGGCAGCTTAAATTGGTTTCTCATTATGACAGATTTTAGAGCACATAACTTGGAATATTGAGTGTTGATCATTGCTCTAGTCAATGGAGACCTTGCTCCTTTGAGTTCTTCTATTGGCTTAGATTTTTTCTTTTATGTTGTTATGTTTTCTAACCCACTCAAATTCTGAAAATAACTATGAGATGATGCCTAATTTTGTATTCAGTCTGAGTTTGGAAAGTCAATGTTTAAGGACCATTTAGAAAGAAAAAAAAGACACAAACAGTTCGCGGAATAGAGGAGAAATATGTTAAAACTTAAAAGGCCTTGGTCTATATAAGTCAAGGAGAAAACAGAACTAGCTTAATTGATGAATGCTTAACTTTTAGACTGCAAATTTTGCTGCTTTAATCACACTCCTTAATTTAAGACATATGTAAGTTGATACCAAAAAGACTAGACAAGGAAGAAGCAGCGATTAATTTCTGATAGAGTTGAAGGGGGGGCGGGGGGGTCTACGATGTGATAAGTATGATCCGGGGAGATACATGCTAACTATGGGTAGGAAGCAGGAACCATGTTTGATCTCTGTTCTGCACGTGAAATGAAAGTTTAGCAATATTATTTACAGAGCCATGTGAGTTCAAAGTCATGTTGATGAGTTGGTTTACATGTCACAGTCACTGGGGCCAAGAGCATGCAGCTTCCGGTCCTTGAGACGGTCTATAGGTGTCCAGGCTGCCACAGAAAATACAACCATTGAATTGACTGGAAGAGACCGCCCGGGCTTGCTCTCAGAAGTTTTTGCTGTTCTTACCGACCTCAAATGTAACGTGGTGGCTGCAGAAGTCTGGACCCACAATTCACGAATGGCATCTGTGGTTTATATCACAGATGAAGCTACTGGATTGCCTATTGATAATCCTGAGAGGCTCACTAAGATCAAACAGCTTCTCCTATATGTTCTCATGGGGGATAGAGATAAACGCAGTGCTAATACGGCTGTTTCTGTGGGTTCCACTCATAAAGAAAGGAGGTTGCACCAGATGATGTATGCTGATCGTGACTATGATATGGAAGATACAGAATGTGGGACATCAAATGAACGGCGCAAACCGCTTGTAACGGTAGAAAATTGTACAGATAAAGGATACACTGTTGTAAACTTGCGGTGTCCTGACCGCCCAAAGCTACTTTTTGATACTGTCTGTACATTAACAGATATGCAATATGTTGTCTATCATGCAACTATCATAGCTGAAGGTCCAGAGGCATATCAGGTGGTTCTAAATTCCCTCAAAATGCAGTGTCAAATATTCTGGTTGATTTCACTTTGCATTTATGCAAGTTGAACATTATTGCTTTCGAAAGTCAAAATTTGTTCTCAGTGTTTCTCATTCCCTTGCATTGTCAGGCTTATTATTTCAATTGGGGTCATTGTAATTGCTTATTCTTTCCTTGTCTTTTTTTTTTTTTTTTTTTGAAAATAAAAAAATAATAAAATCCAGCATATATCCCCTTGTTTTGACAAAACAAGTGCTTCTAAACGTAGCTGCATAGGATCTAATTTTTGTTTCTTGCTGTCTAGGAATATTATATCAGGCATATGGATGGGTCCCCTGTTAGTTCTGAAGCAGAGAGGCAAAGGGTTATCAACTGCTTGGAGGCAGCTATTAGAAGGAGAACTCCTGAGGTGTGAACATTTGCAAATTCAGTTTTGATGCTTGTTTCCAACTTTCTTGATATATGATTGTTATTGAATTCTTGCAATGCAGGGTATAAGACTAGAACTTTGTAGTGAAGACAGGGTCGGCCTTTTGTCTGAGGTGACTCGCATATTTAGAGAAAATGGTCTGTCAGTAACTCGAGCTGAGGTGACAACCAGGGGCTCGCAGGCTGTGAATGTTTTCTATGTGACCGATGCATCAGGATATTCAGTGAAGAGTGAAACAATTGAAGCAGTGAGAAAAGAGATTGGTCTAACCATACTTTGCGTGAAGGACGATGAACAATCAAGTCCACCGCAGGAACGTGGGAAGTTCTCGTTGGGTAATCTCTTTCGATCTAGATCAGAAAAGTTCCTCTATAACTTGGGTTTAATAAAGTCATATTCTTGAGCAGCTCATCAGCTAAGCTAGGTTCTGTCGTTTGCAGTAAATGCTGGTATAGTTTAGCTTAGTCATAGAACTTTTAGCTTCAGGTCAATCTGTTGTTGATCTTAGGTCCTTCCTGAATCTTGCCACAAATTTCAAACTTGTAAATCTTCTTTGTGAATATCTTTTTAGCTACCTTAGTCTCAAATGTCACTGTAAATACATACATCATTATTATATTCATGTGGGTTTATTAACCTCTTTTGTTCTATGGTGGCTTTTTATCACTAAGCCATCAAAATCATCAAAATCAACTTTCTGAATCAGTTTTCACTAAAGAATACAGCGGTGATGAGTCATGCTAAAAAAAAAAAAAAAAAAAAAAAACACATACCTTTGCCGTTGAAGGACGCAATGAACAATCAAGTCTCACCGCGAGGAACGTGGGAAGTTCTCTCGATTGGGTAATCTCTTTTCGATCTAGATCAAGAAAAGTTTCCTCTATAACTTGGGTTTACATAAAGTCATATTCTTGAGCAGCTGCATCAGCTTAAAGCTACAGGTTCTGTCGTTTGCAGTAAATGCTGGTATAGTTTAGCTTAGTCATAGAAACTTTTCAGCTTCAGGTCAATCTGTTGTTGATCTTACAGGGTCCTTCCTGAATCTTGCCAACAAATTTCAAACTTGTAAATCTTCTTTGTGAATATTTTCTCATAACGTCTACCTTAGATTCTCAAATTTCCACTGTACAAACTCACATTTACAATTCCATCTAATTAGTATTCATGATGCGGTTTAATAACCTCTTTTGTTCTATTGGTGGCTATTTTAATCGCACTATAGTACCATTTTCAAAAAATTCATGCAAAAGATTCAAACTTTACTGAATTCAGTCTTCACCTAAAGAGAACTACACGCCAGGTCGTATGGAGTCATGCTAAAAAAAAAAAAAAAATAAAAGAAAATTACGAAAAAATGTGTAACGTTTAGCAAAAATGTTTTGCTCTTTTAAGGCTTATTTCCTGGTACAAGGGAAACTCAATGGCCTTGGGGATTGAGTAGGTAAAAGGCCAGACAGACATTACTATATAAAAATGTTTCACTGTGATTATCTCATTCCTAGAAAAATTTTTAAAACGGACAGCATTTAAAAATAGAAAGAAAATATTATTATTTCCAATTTAGATTATGGCAGTCAAAAACAGGAAAAACTAAGGCACAGGCCTTAATTCATGCAAAAAAAAAAAAAAAAAAGAAAAGAAAAATTGTAACGTAAAGCAAAATGTTTTTGCTTTTTAAGCTTTTTCCTGAAAGGGGAAACTCATGGCCTTGATTGAGTAGGTAAAAGCAGTACAAATAAAAATGTTCACTGTGATTATCTCTACTGAAAATTTTAAAACGACAGATAAAAATGAAAGAAATATTATTTTAATTTAATTATGACAAACAGGAAAAATAGGACAGCTTAATTATGACATAACAGACAATGTGGGAAGTGTCAATTGGACATTAATTCAAATGGGAAAAGAAATGGACAATAACTCAAGATTACGAAATGATTAATTTAATAATAATATACTAATTAAAGAAGGGAAAGCGACAATTAACAAATGATAGTTAGTGGTCTGGTGAGTAATGATTTTGTAATTACGACTTTTTGCAAACAAAGAAACAACAACAACAACAACAACCAAGCGAAAAGGTCACCGACAGAATCTCCAAGTCTGAACGGAGCGTAGAGGGGGGAGGGGGAGGGGAAGTGGGGCCCCCCAACACGCAACTCCACGCCCACATGATGTGTCGCTTTCGCTTTTTGCCCCTGTTGTCTATGTACGCGTGTCAAGATCAGGATCACATAACAGTACAGCCGCCAGTGCAAATTGGGGTCCACTTGAACAGTGGCCAAGTTGCATCTGTTTTATTTGGTGGGGTCCAATTGGAAGATGAGGTCACGTGGCTGGGGATTCTATAGAATCCGCCTCGAAGCACGTGACTTTGAGTAGAATTTTTGGAGACCCAAATCCAAAGATGTCTATCTATCATGTCTTATCAGTTATTGTATTCTTTAAATTGTTGCTGAAACTTGAATGTATGACACGAATCAATCCGTCTTCTTCATATTTAAAGTTAATTAATTAAAGACCCAGTACTGAATCTTTAATTATCGAAAACGTTTAAAATGTAAATATTTCATTCTCCAAATAAGATAATAATAAGTCATTTCTTTCTTAATCGGAATTCTCCAATTATGAATATTGAGTCTATTTAAATATTCTAACTTTGACTTTGGTTTTTTTTTTTTTTTTAAGGACTCGGAAAAGATGGCTCCTCTTATATAATCCGTATTCCATAGTGCTTAAAAATACCACAACAGAATGAATTTCAACATTTCAAGAATTATTTTATTTCCCATTTAGTACACATGACTCGTGAGACTGAGATTCATAACAAAAGAAAAACAGCACAGGCCACATTGAGAAAGTCTGAAAGTGGCACGCTTGTTTTTAGATCTCCATAGCTTCAGGCTTCACTTCCCCACCCATCTGCCCAGCTTCAGGCTTGGCTTCACCGCTACCACCACCATCTTTGGAGCTGCTGGCAGTGGCACTTGCAGCAATAGCTGTCTTGCTTTTGCCTCTTTCTATATTGCCAGAAGGATCGGTTTCTTCAGGAGAGAGCTTCTGGTGACTAGTTTCTTTATGTTTTTTCCTGCAGGGAATCGTAGAGCAACAACACCAAACTCCAATCTCTAATAGTACCTCCATCTCTCCCCTGATTCACTCTACCAGTCATCAGACAAAAGTCCTTATAGTCAATTTCATAGCATTAGATATTTCTTTAACACCACAAATTAAATCCCTTTGCATTGGACCATTGTCTGCTGATAGGCCACAGTTAGGCCCAATTCCATCCTATTTATCAAATCAGTTCCACCATCATCAGCTCAGTAAAAGTATAGGCTCACCAAGGCATATTAACATTGTCTGTCCATTAGAACATTTGCAATCAGAGCTCACAGCCAGTAGGCAAATTGTCATACACAGATTAGAACAATGTGTAAACCCACAGAATCTCCATCGGTATCAAATGATGCCATCTCAATGTTATTAAGGAAAAATGACAATTCCGAGGACTAACTATCCTTGCTCAATATTTTCCATCCGTTACAATGTAAACTTTCAAAGAATAAACTTTCAAACTCAAGTCATCATACAAAAATGAAAAGCCCTCTGAATAGGGTTGGACGAAACAAAGTTCGCGGTTGAAGGAAATACATAGCTAGAATATCAGGACTCAGAGATTGGAAGCTCGCCGCAGTCACTGATCACCACCCTCTTTCTAGGGCGGTCTCCCCTGTCTGTCTCTTGTGACTCGATCAACTTCACAATATCCATGCCTTCCAAAACTTGTCCAAAAACTACATGTCTCTGATCCAGCCATGGGGTCTGCCATTTGCCAAATAAAGATGAATATATTAATACCTTGAATCAAACATGGAACATCTGTAATTACAAAATCTTCAGTCTTTACTAACTAACGAGCCCTTTCCTTCCTGAAATTGATCAGCAGAAACACAAAGGAGCACTAATAGAATATTATCTGTCCAACTAGAGGTGCATCAATACGGTTGCTCAAAATAGAAAACTGAGTCTATCACAAGCAATTGCATTAAATTTTAGGGGAAACTAAACCTCCTAACATTTGGCCTATTACACACTTTTCTACCTCAACACTATACTTCAATCCTTGATATATAAGATATGAATTTCTCATTAAATTTCAGTCCTTCAAATTTTGAATTCAACCACATCTCAGTCCTTGAAAATTTAAAATCGGACCTGAATTATATCATATAAACACTTTAATCCCTCAAACATATTTCACTTTTCACTAATGATAGTATAAATATTAAAGCATCTAATTTCGAAACAGTAGGACAATGAGTAGACCAAACCTCAAAGGGCCTATCAATTAACTAAAGTTTAAGCACATCATATTCTTCAAGTATATTTCATGATAACCATGTCAATCACATCCAGAAGAGAAACTGTACTTGAATGTAAAATAAAGATCAATCTTGCATTCTGATAATGATATAAAGATTCATATCACAACCTAACAAGCAATTACCCAGGAAGGACAGAGAAGAACTGAGCCTGGATAACCAGGAAAAACCAACCCTCAAAATATTCCTTTGATGTGCTGCCCCAAAGAGGAAGAAGCAGGAGAATTTTAGTGCATTTGCTATATCAAGTTTCTAATCTCTGAAGGCAGAGTGCTAGAGGGAGAAGAATATGTCTTTGTGATTCTTTTCTCCAGTAAACCTCTATAAGGAAAATTCTGGCCAATTGTTAGAGAACTAGATAGCCTATTCCTAGAAGAATTAAATATATCTCACTCAAACCTGAAATATAGGATTCTGGTAAATACACATATTATCGTATGCACGTAGAGAAGCAATTGTTCATGTATCTACATATGGAGAATTGATCTACCTTGACAGTGCAAATGAAGAACTGGCTACCATTGGTGTTAGGGCCTGCATTTGCCATACTTACAACTCCTGGTCCAACATGAGCCACTGCAAAACATTGCATGTTTCAGAACAGACGTGTAATGAAATATAAGGTATAATACTCGGCATAGAAAAGGGAAATGGCTACCAAGTGGAATTTAGAAGAACAAGTCAACAAATGCTTAGTTCTTCATCAAAATGAGATATGCTTGTTTAAACAACAAGGCATGAGATATGCATCAAGAAAATACAAAATTTTCAGACTGCTTATGCATTAACAAAATGAATATAATCAAAATACAAAAGTATCATATTTGTC